TGTAGTATGTGTGTATGTGTATGTATGTATGTATGTATGTATGTATGTATGTATGTATGTATGTATGTATGTATGTATGTATGTATGTATGCAATTCAATGTAATCAAGTGTAATTGTAATGTAATGTAATGCAATGTAATGTAATGTAAATGTATGATGTTGTATGACGTGTATGAGTATGTATGGAATGTATGTATGTATGTATGTATGTATGTATGTATGTATGTATGTATGTATGTATGTATGTATGTATGTATGTATGTATGTATGTATGTATGTATGTATGTATGTATGTGTGTATGGATGTATGTATGTATGTATGTATGTATGTATGTATGTATGTATGTATGTATGTATGTATGTATGTATGTATGTATGTATGTATGTATGTATGTATGTATGTATGTATGTATGTGTAATGTATGTGTAATGTATGTAATGTATGTAATGTATGTAATGTATGTAATGTATGTAATGTATGTAATGTAATGTAATGTAATGTAATGTAATGTGATGTGATGTAATGTAATGTAATGCAACGTATGTATGTATGTATGTAATGTAATATAATGTAATGTAATGTCATGTAATGTAATAATGTCATGTCATGTAATGTCATGTAATGTCATGTAATGTCATGTAATGTCATGTAATGTATGCAATGTAATGTAATGTAATGTAATGTAATGTATGTATGCATGTATGTATGTATGTATGTAATGTAATGTATGTAATGTTATGTATGTAATTTTATTTATGTAATGCTATGTATGTAATGCTATGTATGTAATGTTATGTATGTAATGTTTTGTATGTAATGTTATGTGTGTAATGCAATGTAATGTATGTATGTATGTATGTATGTATGTGTGTATGTGTGTATGTATGTATGTATGTAATGTAATGTAATGTGATGTAATGTAATGTAATGTAATGTATGTATGTAATGTAATGTAATGTAATGTAATGTAATATAATGTAATGTCATGTAATGTAATGTCATGTCATGTCATGTAATGTCATGTAATGTAATGTAATGTAATGTATGTATGTATGTATGTAATGTATGTATGCATGGATGGATGTATGTAGGTATGTATTTTTGTATCTATGTATGTATGTTTGTATATATACAGTATAGTTGTATACATCACCCCCGCAAGTTTCACCTTGTAGATATTGTAGGGGCAGCTGGCACTGCAGGATGTCCCCTTCTTTCTGGACATAGCCCCAGACTCTTCCTTGCTGGTGGGGGCTGCTCCTGCAAAGAGTGGCCCACCTGAGATGTGAACAGCCAATTCTGTTGTTTATCAGCCATTTACGAAAACAAACGAGGGATGTAGCCAACCAAAATATATGCGGAAAACATGGGGACGGGGACCGGCAAAATTGGAGCATCATAGCGGTACCAGCCAGCATCTCGGGAACATTGGTCTTGGAAACTTCTACAGCCAGGAAACTTCTACGGCCACCGGGCCTGATTGCAGCTGCCCACTTATCTAGTAACTCAGTCTAGGCATAGAATTAGAATCATCAAGTTTCACGCGTACGTAATCAAAGTACATCATTTGGTGGCGGGCCCGGGCCGTTTGTTTAGCTCAGCATCATTCCAGTATGTTTATGATAGCCAATGATTCAGCAGCTAGATTTGGATTCTCCGTTGAATGGAACGAACAAGGGCCCAGCTGACCCAGGAACCAACGTCCCCAGGAAGACCAAATTTCGGTTTGAATTGAAATTGTAGATTTTAATTGAAATAGTAGCATAGTAGCCAAGTTATTCGACTCTATCTGACATGTGACAAATTGCAGGATGAAATTTAGACAAGACACGTGTCACGTGACCATCTAATGTCCATTTGTGTGGCCAGTATGGTCTTCAAACTGCTTTACCCATTGCAAACCTGACCGGACATTACCACACCGAGCCCCAACCTCAGGTACGGAGCCACCACCCGCAGCGTTGCCCGAGGCAGTTTGCGAGAGAAATGGTTCATGTTAACCACATGTTTCGCCCAGAAAATCTACAGAAGAGAATACATGATTACACGGCACATGTATATGGAAGATAGTGGGGTCTTCTCACCCAAGGATTCAAGGATCAGGAAATTATTGATTGCTTGAACTCAGTATCAAATTTTCATCAGCGTGTAAATCATGCACAGTTCTGTCTTCATTGATTTTTTTGTATCTTGGAACATCGAACTTGAAAATTCGCAGGTGCGAATTGTACCTTTTGAATGGGTGTTGTCCTCATGAAGGGTTGCAGCGAATTTCTGGTGAACACGTGATCCCAGCAAGTTGATTTATTTAGTGTTTGGTTTTGACTGCCCACGTTGAAAGGAATACTTCTAAGCATCACTCGGCTATCACTATATGTTCGATGTGTGTGGAGGAGTGATTGATCTACATTCACCACAGAAATGATTCCAACAAAGACGAATTAAAACTTACACTAATATTCAGAAGTATACTTTACTATATGAAGAAACCTGTTGTGACAGGGAATGAATTGCCCAGGACACCGTGTCTCAACAGGAGGTGCCTTTGCAGGATGAAGGAGATGATATGTGACATGTCTGGACTGTTGAGGGTGGGCTGTGTGATACTGCACTATATGCTTTCGAACCGGGCTGGCACAAGGCAACTTCCAGTTTGGGGGCAGCTCGATGGCCAACCGGGCGTTGATCTTGAGTTTGATCAGACAAATCAGAATCTGAATGCCATTTAGAATTGTCCAGGTTTGATGCAGTTCCGTGACGTTCCATGTGCAATCAGTTGAACGACTTCACTAAATGTCGACAGATTCCATTTTTAACCATTTACATTCATACCCGATTCAGATGGATCTTGGTTTTCCTAACGTAGATGGACAATGAAATCAAATCCCTGCTGTATTGTTGTCGCCCCCCCATCCCCAAATTTCAATGTTGCCTTTGGTATGTCTTTTTGTCCATCTACTGTAGTAGTATTGTTGCAGTTTCTATGGGCACCGCTTGTGTGTTTTGCCTTCAAAGAATAAACCACATAATTCATCCCAACATATTTTATATGTAAGAGTTGGGTTGACGATGAGTCGTTTAGTAGAATCATCGACATATAATCATAGCAACAAATCCTTTGCATGATCATAGACTCATGGAATCAGTTTCCTATTGTAGAATCAGATGCTCATCATGTTTGCTATGATTCATATTTCATCATATATTTCCACAAAGTGCATTTCCCACAAAAGGCCCCTGGATCCCATTTTCTTCGCGCCGAGGCCTCCTCCTGAGCCGCTGGCCTTCCGCGTGATCCCCTCCACGGAGAGCATGGCGGAGGCGGCACTGGAGGCGGCCTGGATGGCGCCGGAGGAGCAGGCGCCAGGGCCACACCAGGGTGGGGATGGAGTGGTATCATGGGATGATGTGAAGTTAAAATATGCTGCAATACTTTAATGACTCTAATGATTCTAATGATTTTTACTGATATCTAAATTAATTATATGACTATTGTATGTCTTGAATAGGGAAGATGGGTACGAGAGAGTTTTTTTCACATTTGGAGGATGATACCAGCTGGATAACTGGTTAGGGACCAGGCTCAATCGGACTCTTTCAACTTGGAGACTGCAAAACCCAGTTATTAAGATCTGTTTTATTCAAAGTGAAAGGGATATTCAGACATGGGGGAAACCTCATCCTGGAATGCCGACGGTGACAGAAGCAGCCTGCAGTTTAGATGTCGCTGGCTCGAGAAGCCCTAAACGTGTTTTGTTCAGAATGGATCAATCTCAGCAGAACAATTTGGAGGTCAAGTTGCTCCGTGCGCGGAGTGGAAAAGTGATATTCTTGGAGAGCGGCCCTGACTTCGTGGAACCTCGGACAGTTAGTTTAGGGCTATGGCTGTATGGCTTTATGCTGCATTCATGAATGACAAGGCTGCTATGTAGCATATCATATCGACTTGCACTGTAACTAGTGCAGGTTGTGTGGTTCTCTATGGTCTATCCAAAGTACCAGTTCGTGGACATGTTTTCGTTTTTGCACACGCTCTTTGAAAGGATTTGAGCAAGGCTGGCCAAAAAAGTCATTACTCATCACACCGGACAAAATCAACGTTGGTGCTCAGTTACTCTTTATGGCATTTAATGACCTGGATTTGTTGTGGGTGACTTTTTATTTCCCCATTGATTTATCCTATATATATAATTATATATATATAAGTAATTCATGTATTAGTAATATGTAATTATTTAACTTTCTTTGACCCCCTTAGGGGCAACTCCAAGATGTTTGCTTTGGCTGTGAAACGTCAAGGAGCTCATGATGTCCATCATGAACGCGCCTCTCTCAGGCCTGCTTGCAATCTCCAACATCAAATCCGTGGAAACCGGCGACCTTCATCCACTCGTTGGCTTGAAGACATCCTTATCCAACTTGGGACCTCAATCCTTTGTGCCTGGAAAGTCTGCTTCTACTGCCATTCCCGGCACCTTTTCCATGCAGCAACTCATGAAGGGGTCAAGCGTTGCAAACATTTTAAACAATCCGTCTTGGGAGGCTTGTCCACGAGGCTGTCAATACGCCTTTCCCAAGGGATATGCTTGTCCAGAATGCGAATACGAACATGGAGCATATGTAGCTCCGCAACATCTGCAATCGGTCGTGGCCAACTTGAAGGACAATGGAAAGTTCATGGTGACGGATGCCTTGGAGGTCTTTGAGTCTTCCACAATTATCGCAATGGAGCTCGTGAAGGAGCACGTGGATGATTTCCGTCACATCAAAACCTCCACAGAGACAGTGACCGAAGAAATCGTGAAAACTCATTGTTTGCAGCATGCTTGGTTTTAAGGAGGTGCTTACGGAGATTTTCCCCGATGCAGACGCACATGAAACCGAGTCGAGCATTGGTTCCGACGGATCCTTTGAGGCCATTGACGCAGGAAAAGGGCAGAAGAAGGGACCTTGTGCTGGGAAGCAGGAGGCCTAGCCCGCTAGCCCAAGTCATTTCAGCTGGCAAGGCTGTGGGAAGCGGCATGCAACAGACATGCAATTCCGATATTGTGCAGTGTAGTATGCTTTCCACGTGAGCCAGCAATGGAAATTTCATTTGAATTCATTTGATTATATAGGGCCGTGACGTTCATTCTCAGAGCTGCCGCAGACAAATGTGCAAACAGATGCAAGCAGACTTGCTGCCCTCAGAGTTCCATTTGCACTAAAGACGTGTGCATCCATCACCATATAGCTGAATTGTAACAATAGTTGAACACCCAAAAGTACACCATGCAACATTGGAATACGTTGAAGCTCCAGCTCCCAACCAGTTTAATCTTTTCAGGCAGTAGGGCTGCGAGTATTCATATAACTTGAACAAGACATATTCATTTTTGGAGATCTCTGTGAAGACATGCGGCACTTTAATGATTTTACTACAGTAACTGTGTCTTGTGCAAAAGGGTTGTTTTGTCGTTTGGTTGGCAAATGTTCCCGTGCCTATACGCCTATACCCATATCCTCCAACAGCCATAATCAATTTCCCCCCCAGATGAGATTAACTGACAGCTGCGCAGCTGCGCCAAACAGCGTCGCGCCAGGAGCCGGAACACGAGTCTTTGGATCGGTTCTACCGAGAGAATGAGGCGGGGTCAAGTCAGTGCAAATCAAACTGATGGAATTTGCCACTGGGATTGAGGCATGGAGGATGGAGGGGGTCCAAAATGTTGTTTTGTGGTTTCACATTGACATGATCCTTTGCATTTGAGTCTCGGGCTCTTGATCAAATTGTCACTGTTTCAAGGGTTTTAGTTTTAGTTGTCACCTGTTATGCTGGATTGGTAGATTACAGATTGTTCCAAGAATTTCCACCACTTTCTTTGATCCTGCAGTCGAACGCTATCGAATGCGTAGACCGGGTTGGACCATAATTGTAGTTGAGTATAGTTTTGTTTCATAGGAATTGTGTTCTTACAAACTGAGTGAGCATGAACCCGTCGTCACTACAAATCAATACAAATCATATGTATAAAGACTGGTGTTTCGCTGCTTTGGATTTTTCACTCGTTATCGTTAAACATTGCTTATCCAATCTTTAAAAATCAAGTTCCCCGAGGATCCTAGAGGAAGAGGCCCCCAAGATAGGTGAATTGAGTTATTGTATAACACTACAAGCTAAGCAAAGTAGGTTTCATAGCAGATATATCATGATATATCTATAAATTAGAGTACAATCAGTCGTTTATATTGGGGTGAAAACCTTTTTTTGCTGGCCTTCCTTTCCTGTGACTTGGTGGTGCAGCTCAATTTCACGATAGATATGGGGGTTATATCCCAAGCTATGGAGGTTATCACCATGGTTGTGCCCATACAATCTCCCAATTTTGTTTCATCCATGTTCATCCCAATTATTCTTTGATTGTGCACCCCCTAGATTCTCATTTTTGGTGATAAAAAATCATCAATTGTGCTGTTAGTATCTATGCTAGCAACCTCAACTGCACCCCCAAGTACTTGCTCTAGCGGCTATAGCGCCTTCCTGAGATCTTCCACAGGCCAAGCGCGCAGAGCGCAAGCGCCCCGTGCAGCCGCGGTACTATGAGGGCGACAAGACTGGGAACCCTGGGCCGTGCGTGGAGGGGTTGATTCTTTTTGTTTGCGTGATTTTGTTCTATCCATAAATTGGGAGAGAGATTATCCTATCATGCCTTATAACCAGCTTTATTTGCATAATTATATAAATATATTTCTTGGCATATGCATTTTTTCAATATATCAAGCACTTGGGCGATGAAGGGAGACGTGTTGTGTATCATTGTGTGTGTCCAAGGTTGGCCATGCATAGTTAGTTATCTTGCAGCCATGTGGGTTGGAAGATGTAATATGATGTGAATGGTTTAATCTAGTGTCCTTTCGTTGTGTAGGAGAGGATGGGCGGTTGATGTCTTGTTTGATTGTAACAGTGAGGATTTGACCTGTCATGTTTCTACGTTCAGGTTGGGTGACATTTTTAAGGACACTATTTATATAACATATATATATATATAACACACACATATATATATAACATATATAAATATATATATATATACTCAAATCCAGAGACTTGAATTGAATCTACACACTAAGCCATCCAGGGGCCATACTCAAATCCTGCCGCATCAAGGCTGCCCGGCTACCCTGAGTGCCAGGGGATGTCATGCAGACAGGCTATCAACTTTGGTCAATGATACATTTGGTTACTGACAAAGAAAGTCATCCTTGGTAATCTGGGAGCCAGCTTCGTGCAGTGTCTATTGTTTCACTAACAGCGATGTAAACGCCTAGGTACCCGCAAGTACCCAAAGATGACTAAAGAAGGTACTGTCGTCAGGGACAGCTGTGATGTTCCTTAGCTGCCGACAAGACCTTTCAGACCGCCAGGACCAGCGAACAACTCTCATCAGCCTTACGTACCGACGATGGCTATTTGACCAGGTGCCTTGGGACCGGGCCGTTGGGGGCACGGATGGGACAAGGTGTGGGAGACGCGTCGAGCATCGTCAAACCATTGATTTGCCGATGGTTATTTGGATGTTATTTGCAAATTATATTTATATGTATTGTATTATTTTGCAGTATGTATTGGATATGTTTAAATGGTCTATATGTTGGACGTATTTGAATTAAGGTGGCTAGAAATTGTAGACTTTCAGCAGGATGGCTGCCACTCCCAGGTGTCGATGAGCCACTGTTACAATTTGTGTTTTAAACATAGCAACCCTCTCTCTCTTCCATGTGATGACTGTCCTTCAGAATCTTGTGAACAATCATATATCTATATGTATTATATATATATATCAGATATGTATTGTATAGTGTATAGTCTGTTTTTTTGTTTCCCACACACGGTTTGACATGCCAACGGGTGAGCCATGGTCTACAGTCTTCAACATAGTTCCATGTTCCTGCCCATGATCTGCCAGTGAAACTCCGATGATAAATAACTGACAGCTTATGTGATCAGCTAGCAGGTAAATCACCTGGGACTCACAGAGTTTTATCGCTGCCAGAAACCATTAGGACATCCATCACAGAAATCATATATCCAATGAGCAATGAGGTTGTGCCACCAGGCAACCCTCCTTGAACGTCCATCACACTAGCCATCCATCATACCATCAGGACAGTCGGACATAGCCTACCCCAACAAGGATCAGACCGTCACTGGACATCTCAGCCCCCATGGGATCATCGATCGTCCAGGCTGGGCAGCAAGATCTTCTGCATGGTGTGCTTCGGCACGGGACACCGCGCGCAGCACTGTCCCGAGTCCAGGCATGGCAAGGGTCACAGGACCCGGGAGGAGAGGAATTTGTTTTCCAAACGCCAACTCATTGCAGGGTTTATATCATTTATATGTTTTGTTTATAGACGGGAGATGATTCTTAAATTATTGGGACATTTTTTTTTAACTGGGATTTGGCCTCTGGAAAACTCTGGAAAATCAATGAAAATCAAAGATGTGACCAAAGGACGTGATCATTGCACGATCAGGTTTTGAGCAATCCTGTTGATGGTTGTTTTCCTTCAATGAAACATTGTATTATAATCCCCTCAACTAGTCAGGGTCTGGAATGCCGGTAGCTCAGGGAATTTTTTTAGCTAGGTCTACAGTCCCTACTGAAGTATAATAGACCTTCGTGCTGGGAAGATGTTAGACCTTCAGGTTTGTACAACATAACCCATCTTCGAAAACAAATATGATATTAGACCTTTGGCCTCAATGTTAACATAACTTGATCTTAGACCTTGTCTGCCTGGCTGAATCTGCACATGCGTTTGGGGGGTCGGTCAAATAAATCTGTCAGCAAAGGGTTCCCTGTGATCGGGCGGCTTCATGCTGTGGCGACGCTGTGTAACACCCTTTTTCAGTGTGTTCCCTTGCATCAGTTGTCCAATTTTGTTGGAACCATCAAGTTGCGAAACATCACTTTTAGCTTTTGAAAGAAGAGTGACACGTTGTTTCACGAAGACATCCCCAAAGACTGACACAAAAACATCCAAAGGGAAACAGCAAAAAACTTGATCAGGTTTCTGGATGTTTCTGGATATAAAATATAAAACCAAAAAAATTAGAAAGATGTTGAGATATATCGGGTCTACCATGAATGTATTGTATAAAAGCAGCTCTGCTGCTGTATCATATGGATTAAGAACATCATTCTAGACCTGCACTGCGCGTCTCACTGTGGTCCCGCACCGCTTCCAGAAAGGAAACTGTGGTAGCAACCTGGGTCTGAAATCAAATCCTTGTTTCACAAAAGCCTGGGATAATACCAACTTTGAAGCCACAATATGATGTCAGACCCTCAGGTGTGAGGCCATACCTTCAAAACAAACAATGATCGTCTGCATTATTAAGGGAAATCATCCAGTCCAAAATTCTCTAAGCTGCGTCTGGCAAACACAACAGGATCCAAAAGGGAAACAGCAAAAAAAACACCATGATCAGGTTTCTGGATGTTTCCGGATATAAAATAAAAATCTATATATTATAAAAAGATGTTGAGATATATTAGGTCTATCATGAATGCATTGTATAAAAGCACTCTGCTGCTGTATCATATGCGCTAAGAATGTAATCCTAGACCTTGACATCTCACTGTGGGCCCGCGCAGTGTCCGAAAAAACGCACGTACATGCACCTCATGCACGGTTGCTGCACGCTCAACATGCAAAGCCATCCCCAAAGATTCTCACATCTTGTTCAAATCTTGACACTTCCAACACTGACACAACAACATCCAAAGGGAAACAGCAAAAAACTTGATCAGGTTTCTGGATGTTTCTGGATATAAAATATACAACTATATATTTTACAAAGATGTTGTGATATGTTGGGTCTACCATGAATGTATTGTATAAAAGCAGCTCTGCTGCTGTATCATATGGATTAAGAACATCATTCTAGACCTGCACTGCGCGTCTCACTCTGGGCCCGCGCAGTGTCCGAAAAAAACGCATGTACATGCACCTCATGCACGGTTGCTGCACGCTCAACATGCAAAGCCATCCCCAAAGATTCTCAAACCTTGTCCAAGTCTCGACACTTCCAACACTGACACAAAAACATCCAAAGGGAAACAGCAAAAAAACTTGATCAGGTTTCTGGATGTTTCTGAATATAAAATATAAAACTATATATTTTACAAAGATGTTGAGATATATCGGGTCTACCATGAATGTATTGTATAAAAGCAGCTCTGCTGCTGTATCATATGGATTAAGAACATCATTCTAGACCTGCACTGCGCGTCTCACTGTGGTCCCGCACCGCTTCCAGAAAGGAAACTGTGGTAGCAACCTGGGTCTGAAATCAAATCCTTGTTTCACAAAACCCTAGGATAATACCAACTTTGAATCCACAACATGATGTCAGACCCCAAGGTGTGAGGCCATACCTTCAAAACAAACAAGGATCGTCTGCATTATTAGGGGAAATCATCCAGTCCAAAATTTTCTAAGCTGCGTCTGGCAAACACAACAGCATCCAAAAGGGAAACAGCCAAAAAAACTTGATCAGGTTTTGTTGCATTTGTGTTGCGCAATCACAGTGCAAAAAAAGATGACACGCTGTTTCGATGATTTGGTGATTGGCATGGATTGGTTTCGCTTTCACGAAGTTGACGTTCATGACATTTTGAACCAACCATTCTAGACCTCACAGCGCAGAGGTCTATATTGATTTTTCCTTCTGACGTTTTCCCCAATTTCCGTTGTTTGGGTAAGGGGATCAGATATCTTAGACCTTTTCGGTGGATACCCTAGCCTGTTTTTGAACGTATGTTTCAGACATACCTAGAGAACCATACAACTTGATCTTAGACCCCGGTTTTAAGGTCTATTTTGAACTTTTGTATAGCGCCTGGGCAGTAGTTGATGGTATGTATTATATAGATGTCTCTATTTTTTGCTTGCTGACTGAGATGATTGAGTCAAAAGCAGCGAGCATTTTCAAAAGGATGTATGGCTCAATCACTTATATAACGAGTCTGGAATGTTGGTTCAATATGCGCCGTACCCATTGCACATGTTTGCATGCATAGCTGTCATGGGCCGGAAGTTTTGAACCCCAACCTTGACGAGCCTACAATACTGTAGAATCACTCTAGAAGGGTCCCATGTGGCTGCAGGTGCTGGATTTGCTTCTCAACTGGCCACAATGTGAAACATTGCCCTCGAGCCAAAGAGAAATGCACCTGGGCCCATCGTGCGATCGGGAAGCATTATTATTATAAACCCAACAGTTTTATAGCTTCGTTATTTCCACCAACTTAGCCAACAAATTTGATCACCAGATAAATGATTATCCCGCAGATGTTTTATCTGTCATTGTTAGATGATTATGCCATATTGTGACCAGGTTATTCCCATATCATGCGATATTTTGATATGTATATATATATATATATATGCATATAGACAGATACATATATATCTTATAGTGATATATATATATATATATATATATATATTCATTTATTTATTGTCCCCATCATCTTCTCATGGTATCCCCGTCCCGTTGCCAAGGCGCCAGCTGCTGGCGCAAGGGCCACGGCGGCGACCCCTCCACGGCCTGTCCCTTCGGCACGCTGAAGGCGGCGCAGCGCTACCGGGAGCAGTGGAGCCACGTCCGTTGCGCCGTGTGCCGGGAACCAGGAGCCGGTTGTGGGGAAGTCATGGGGAACACATCTCGGAGAGACGGGAGATGATGGGGTGATAAAGATGGGGATGAAAAAGATATATGATGGGGATAAGATATTGTCTGATAATTGGGATATGCTTGGGATATTGTGGGATATAAGTTGGTGAACATTTGATGTTTGATATGGCTAAGGAACGGTTTGATGTTTGGCATTGAAAATCGGGGGATGCAAGCAGTACAAGACACTTGACAAAACATGATCGACGCTTTTGTTGATTGACTGAAAGCATTCAATCACTCCAGTATGAATTGGGATTGCACGGACCCACCGATTCTTTGGTCATTTCAATATTAGTTTTCAGATCTTTCTGCGATACAGATGATGAACGGTGATGAACGTCTCATTTTCCATGCCAATGTTTTCAGGACATCCCATGTGCGATGGCACTGGGAAGCCTTTCCTTGGCTGGTGGGATGATGATGCAACTTTCATGCAAAATGTAAGAATGTATGTTTATTCCAAACCCGAGTCCCTGCAGTGATTACACCAGGGCTACAGGATCATACGGGATCATATTGGTATGCGGACTCAAATTTCAAGACCTTATTTTGCGAGATTTTTTTTTTCAGAAGGCAACCACCATGTTGGTTTTGGATTTTTGTTCATGCCATGTCTTGACATTTCATACTGCCCAAGGAACCTGCAGGTCCACGGCAGGACGAGACGCAGAAGGCGCGCGGCTGGGCATCGCTGGGGGGTTCCATGGGGATACCGCGATACCCCATAGCTGGGGGTTTTATTTTCATGGAAAATCCTATGTTTCAATGGATGACTTAGGGGTACCCCGATTTCGGAAACCTCCAGTTAGGTGGGATGGCCAAAGAATCTTTGGATTCGACGGGGTCACTTGCACAGTTTGCACGCTTATGACACCACTGTTTGGCATCCCCATCTACTTATTAGATGACTAAAATATGAAAGACATGATGAAAATAGAATCCAAAAATATCCAAAATATGTTCACTTTGACTTCAGGAAAAAAAACGGTTTTTCAAACCACATCTATCTAATTATCTATATCTTTTTATTTGTATATACGTATATATATATATATATATGTGTATCTCTCTCTCTCTCTTTTCGCGGGCCCTTTTATGGTGGGAACATGAACTATTGCCAGGCACACCGCTTCGCGGCTGCGCTGCGTGGTGCGGCAGGTGCCTTGCTGGGCAAGGACCACGGAGGAACAAACTTGGGGAGTTGTGGTTATTAATGTGGTAACCGTACTGGGGAAGCTGATTACACACTATTTGTTCGGAAAACTTTGTAAAACCCATGCAACAACAAACTTCATAGTGTAGATGTTTTTTCGGGGCATATATTGAAACATATCAGTGATGATGAAGGACTACACACATTACAATTACTAAAGGTGCATCAGTTCTTTTAGTAGTCCTTGCTCTACAGGACATGGGCAAACCATCGTTGGTATAGGGGTATAGTGAGACTTCCCCCATTTTACCTTCCCCCACCCTAGTATCAAATTTCGGGAAATCTCGAAACCCTGTTCCAAACCCTGTTGTACTACAGTATCTATTCAACGAATTTCAACGAACGGGATGGGATGAGTAAACATTCGTAAACCATCCCATGCTTGGGTGCAAAATTGTGGACTCGCCCCCCGCAACGTGTAATGACACCAAGGATGATGGTCGATTTTTGGCAGCCAGGTACGTGGAATGCCGGCAGAAGCAACTGGGATGAGCACAAGTGGAAACAGGACGTGCCTCAGACCTGGGGTTGTCATCCCGCAGATGGCGACTCCCATCGGCCCAGAAAGGGAATGACATATGGGGCCTTTTTCGGGTGGATGAATGTGTTTTCTTGGTTTTCTTTGAAGCCATGAAACATGAAGGCCGTAGATACAACATGTTTTTCCAGGTGTATGTAGATTTTTTTGGGGGTGCACCATGGCACGCAGTGAATGCCTCCTCTAGGACTCCTGGAAACGCTCCCACGACTGGAAGGATTGGGATCGATCGGATCGGAAGAGACACGATGGGTGGAAAGTTGCTCAGCTGAGAAAAGGTTGCAGAAAAACATAGTTCAACATGGTTCACCTAGTACAAGGTTTGGGCCTAAGCTTTGTGCACGTGGTTGGGGTGGCAAGGATTGCTGCATGTTTTTGATACATATATATATATATTACATACTGAAAGACAATTCTGATGTAGATGCTCACAAGCAAACAAACGAAGATCTTTTATGTTTATGTTCAACATGTGGCACCATTTATAGTGGATTTTCCTATTAATCCAGAATTTTCCAGAATTTTCCATGAGGATCTTCCATCGCCACCTTTGATCACCCAGGATAGCGCAGGATCCCCGCGACACCGTCCTCATAACGGCGCTCCGGGGACGGCCCTGTTGTTGAGATGATTAAACAGTGGTTGACAAGTGGGTTTCACAACAGAAAAAACAAGATTCAAATCCACTTGTCAAGAGTGGGTCGCAAGATGGTTGCGCCATACTTGCCTTTACTCCATTATATGTTTTTTTTTTTGAAGTTGCCTTCAACGTCCTTGAGCACATCGCCCATGGCTCATGGGTGGAACAGTTGCAGAACCTAACCTTGACCATTCCCCATTGGACCAACATTTGGGGTTGAGCAACCATGAGCTACAGTTGGTGAGCTTGTCCACAAAAGTTGGGCACAAAAGCTCACGCCCGAACTTGTATTTCCCCAATGTGATCCACTTAGAACAGATTCCACCAAAATAAATTCAACAGATGTGTCTGAAAGATTCTGAAAGTGCGGTACCCCTCCCCTTCCAAAAAGAAAAATCGAGTTTTTGAATAATCCCACATTCACTTGGCAATTGTTGGTGTTAATCCCCAATTTTCAGACATTTCACCAGGCTATCACAGGGCCGGCGAATCACAGCGGTGCCATGGCAGAGCTTTTCCCCATAAAACATGGGGAGCATTTTGGGGGCTATAGGAATTGAGTTTCCCAACCACATTGCCAGATGGTAGTTTAAAGGACTAGACTCACTAGACCCCAGGACTTAAAACTTGCAGGGTTTGATTTATGGAGGGACAACAATTTCAACAAAAAATGCTTTGGAAGGGTTTGAACCACCAACTAGCTACTTTTGAGCACACCTACTTGCGCCCGTCAGAACACCATTGAATGCTCTGAGTATCCATTTCCCCAGCGGCGGTTCAGCCGAGCAGATCTACCCGGCCATTCAAGTTCCAGTGATATCCAGAAATGTGGGGTGGTCTCCTGTTAGCACCCGTTTGCTGATAGCGGGCTGCATCCCCGCTTTCACCACAACATAAAGATCAAACCAAGGTATCTTTGATTAGACCCTCCATCCTTGTTGAAACCATGTCAAATCTTAAAGCTATTTACGTGTCACTGATGCTCTGAGTGTTTTCATCACCCATGCGGATTATTAGGGGTACACCATGGTACACCGAGAAGACCCTGCACCACCCAATCCAAATCTCCACTTTGACGGAGACTAATGTGAGCCCATAAGACACGACCCCGCCAATAGGGTCATTGTTTGTTTATTTGGGAATTACTTCAACTCTCATCTAATCCCATTGGAGCCATATGTGAGCCCCAAGGCCAAGTCCTGTACCGTTCCCTCAAGACAGGCAGTTTTGTTTTAACTAGGCCAACTAGGATTGATGGTGGATATATCTGGCGTTGTCGATCAGTTTAGCAAACAGCCTTTGTCACCGGGGTGGGGCACCATATTTTATCATGTTAAAATTATTTAAGTTGCTCTTGTTTTTAGCCTCCCATTGTTAATGGTCAACTCATTTTTTTCAGGGGTTAAATGTTTAATCACCAATGGTATTGCTAAAACATGCTGAAACCCTTCTTTTGTTGATTAAATCATGCCAAATCATTGTATTTACTGGTTTAAATATGTTTAAAGCATTTCTTTTCAAGGTCACATCACCTTTTTGTTAAAATCCGACTTCTGTTGGTTAAATCCCAATTGTCCGCTCCAAGCCCCCCAAGGCATCACCACTCCGTGCCCAGCATGCGCATCCGCGCCGCGCCCTCGGCGCGCTCGGCGCAACGGGCGGCAGAGAAGCTGCGCCTTGGTGCTCCAGTTGGGTTATCACCTCTGTCAACTATAATTAGATATAGCCCCCATAACAATGGGGACATAACAGATATAACCATGAAAAATGGAGATATGATATGGTATTATGGTTATTCTTACCCCCATGAAGTGTAGATATGGGGGTTTCCATAAATGGGGGTACCCCCAAATGGATGGTTGATTTCATGGAAAACCCCAAACAAAAATGGATGATGACTGGGGGTACCACCATTTTAGGAAACCTCCAATTAGGCATAGCCCCCATAACTATGGGGATATAACCATCAACAATCGGGATATAATGTGGTTTTATGGTTAGTTAACCAACAAAAATGGAAATCTATGGAAATAATCCCATCCCCTTGATTTAGACACACCCAATGATGTGGAAATTCCCGAAGCCATGGTTTCCAGGGGGTATTTAATATTAGGAGGAAGGGATTGGATATAGCCCCCACAAACCCTAATGAAATTGGAGTTATGTTGACCCAACCAACTTAGCAAACGAGCTGGCACACGACCCTGTGGGATTTTTGTTTATAACCAGAGGTTCCTAACCAAACTTTCCCAGAATGGTATCCAGTTGGGGGTGTTGACTGTTGTGCCATCTCGTGGGTGGGGTATAACCATCCGATTGATGATGGAGCCACGGTTGAGGCGATTGGGCTTCAGAAAGGCTCTTGCCAGATGATATGTATAATTTTGGAAGTATTATATATAATAAGTACAAGGGGACTTGGCATTTCTTAATTTTGTGATTTTTGATTTTGGATTTTAAATATATATATATATATATATTATATATGATCGGTAAGGACCATTGTTCTCTGTTCCTTAGGGTTTAAAATTACCCATATGGATCCACTGTTTCTTACTGTCTTGGAAACCCAAGGGGATGCCTCAAGAGGCACCAGCTGCACGCGGATTCCGAGGAAGCGAAAGCTCCGGTGAGTGCTCTCCCATAGGATCCTGCGACTGTAGGACACCATGATGGGCATTTAGTTGACCTCCAAGTAGCCATGAAAAACTATGAAAATGTGCCCCAGTCCCAAAATGATCATACTGGATATGTTACACCAATTTTCCGTGTGCATGCCCTGTACGGTCTAGTAGTATGTCTTTCTTCTGATTCGGGAGAACGGGGTTGGTGCTGACAACTTGCAGTGTCATTATTTGGTATGCTTCGATGGATTGGTTTGAGGGCAAATCTGCAGGAAACCATGGATTCTTCCATGAAATGTTGGAGGGTGTCCTGTAGTTTTTCCCTTGAAACCAATCCATTGAATGCTGAGGGATAGGTTTGCTGTCACAGATTGGTGAATACCCTGCCCCAACTCCTTGCAGCCCTGCGGATGACAGTGATGACAGTGAGAATCCGGGAGAGTCGCGAAGATATCTTGCTCCAGGCCAGAGAAATAAGAGCCTGTGACCACTGCCAATTCAAAGCTACACCTCCACTCTTGGCATTGCGATTTGCTTAAGTCAACATGCATCACTTACAATTTTGAAATTGGGTTGACACATGTTTACCACTGGTTATCAATGTTAAAGGCTGCGCATTTGGATCTGCAAATGCAAGTCTGTTTAGTTTTTCGCATGTCAAATGCACCAGAGATGCATCGCTGCTCTTAACGTTTTTCACACATGAAAAGTTTTACTCGACTCGAGTGGACGATGGTGACATAGTGACAACCAAATCACTTGATTTGGCTTATAGATGTACCAACTCAACATGGTTTGTGATTCAGCAGATTCATTGGTTTGTTTAAGGTGATTTTGTTATTTTGCCACTGGAAAACCCACCATCTGGGGGATCAATAGTGACTATTTGTTTTTTTTGGGGACCCCTTCAGCAAATCCAAGGATTTGAATTTACAGATGTTAGACATGTTCCTAAATGATTTGTGGAAGGTGCTCACGCTGATTTGGTGTAGCCATTGTGATGACTGCGGCTTGACATGGCAAAATGCCATGGTCCTGACGCGCTGTCATGGTGAAAAGCGTTGCAGCTCAGGCATCCACCCCCCTATGTGGGACTTCAAAATGGACAGATCCACCAAAAAAAGCAAGGTCACCCAGGGGGTAGGATTGTTTTTCAAGGGTCAGGACCGCTGTTATTTGTCCATCCGTCCTTCCATCCATCCATCCATGCAGCCATCCATCCATCCATTTACTGCATCCATCCTGAGATACCTTTGCAGATGTTGACCACAAGAGACCAGTATACTTAGTTCGGCCACGGAGTTGGTTGCGTGGTTTTTAACTTCAGAACGCGGTTATAGTCCCGCATGTGATCGGTTAGAAGGGGATCTATCCCAGCTACTAATTTTATTCCCTGATATTGAACACCCCAATTTATCCTCCCAAATATGTGCAAAAAAAGACCTACTGAACCGTTTTGTTTTTTTTTTTTCTGGGGGGTGTTTAATAGTAGGACGAAGGGATTACGCCGTCAACAAACTTAATGACCCATCAAAGTTTAGGACGTGCGTCATTCGGCCTTGGCTTCGCCTATTGGCTCCCAGCCGCTCTCAACTGCTCGACTTGTCCAGCGAAGCTCTTTGCAACTTTCCCCTCCCTTCTGCACCTCGGCATTTCAGCATATTTGGGCCGTGGGACTGGCCATGTTTGCACGTGTTGTGTTACAATGTTCTTCCGATATGGGTGTAACTGAGGTATAATTGAGATACACGATGGTACAAGCAGTAACCTAACAATACTTTACTAATATCAACAGCTGGAGACCAAGTGCTGATGAGGATTATACATGCCCGGATTGTATATGTAGAAGGGGTCCATGTTTGCAGATTTGGGGGTATTACTATATACATATATATATATACATATATATATACATATATATATACATATATATATACATATATATATATACATATATATACATATATATATACATATATATATAGATAGACATATTTAATATTATATATATATATATTTGTATATATTTGGGGAGCTAATCCTTGAAGATTCCTCCATGTCCCATCTTTGATGATACTCATCAAACTTGCATGTGGCTACGTGCCTTCATCTTCCATTTGGGATGGTGACATCATTTAGACTCAACACATCAGCGATGCCAGGAGACAAAAATGGCTTCCCAGGGTGCCACTCTCCAGAACTACAACAACGCATCTTGGTCCTTGCGGGGCGCCATAAGGTGTACGACTGGGAGTCCAAACATGGCTTGAATCATTTCAACTATGGTTGGGGATGAATTGTAAAGTGTAAATTAAGTTCAAGAAGTTTATCCGTGTGGTTCGAAATTGGAACTTCAACTATTAACCAGATGGTGGTTCTTTGGGGCGTCTTCATGCGTTTCCAGAATCATATTATTGGTTACCCTCCGATCATCAAAAGTGGCATCCACCAATTATACTGTAGATCATTTTCCATGAAAATATCCATGTATGTATATATATATATATATCTATCTATCTATAGGGAATTTCCCTTCGCCATGTTTGATTAAATTTGATTACCAGTTATATCCATTAATATTCCATCTTCACTCCATTCTTCTCTTTCTATCCCTATTGTACCACCATTTTAAGCGTTGTTTCATCTCCATAAAACCCATAGAAAGCCCCAGTTGTTTTAAATCCCCATGATGACCCACTGCACTTCAAGGAGCTGGTGAAGTCCATTGAAGATCTTCGCGAGAAGCGTGAAGAGCTGAACCGACAGATCCTGAAGGACGGGGTGCTTGGGAAACTGAACATTAAATCGATCTGTAAAATCTATTAATAATCATTACCCTCTGGTAAATCAACATAGACCCTGAAAATAGCCTAGTTTTGATGGAAACTAATCTTCCAACCCCTAGAGGTCTATGTTAATTTACCAGAGGGTAATGTGGGTGAAACAATGCCATAAACCATCCCCTGAATCAGCATTTTTTGGTTGGTGGTATGTTTACCATTCCCAAATGGCTGGTTTATGATTGATTTACCCATATGAAAATCCTGTATGCTGATCTGTGATTCTATCAAATAACGACCTACTGTAGGATGTCCACCCAGTTCATCCTATCTCTATCTTAGTATTCAAGTGCTCTGGAAACTGAAGAAGGGAAGCCTCCAACAAGGCAGGGGTGGTGAACGGGATTTCTCAAAAAGTAAGTGGGTCATGGCATGTTTTTTTTCCATGTTACAACCCGGTGATGTACAGAATATCACAAGTTTTCATGTTGGACATCACGAGGTGTTCAACATGTTTCATCCTCTGGTAAGATGACATAGCTATGGAAAATCACTATGCTTGTAGGATTTTATAGGTAAATCATCTATAGATGGTCCATTTCCCATGGCTATGTTAGTTTACTGGAGGGTAGGCTCTAATTCTGGCTTTGTAACAGTTCAAAATCTATGAGGTTTATGGTCATTGGATGCCATTTTCACCCATTAAAAATACACCACCCCAAAAGGGTAAAACAGTGGAGATTCCAACCAGCATTCTGGCGGGAAATCAAGCCAGACCACAGGGTCTTGCGAATGTCCCACATGATGGACCAACATGTCCAAACATGTTCCAAGAGTTGCCATTTGATGTGGAGATGTGATGAGATGTGAGGATTTATCACCATATTCTGACAGTAATGGCCATCAATTGAGGCATCCCCCATTTACAGGTCAAAACCCTATACAATCCTGTATATATGTATTCGATTTCATGAGCAAAGCCAATGTTTTCGAATGTAGACTTTCCCTTAAACCAGCCCAGCAAGGGGGGCAAGAGTGCTCGCTTCGCTGTGCTGCAAGCTGTGCTCCGCCGCCTTTCTGCCAGGAGGAAGAAGACAAGGCCAAGATCCAGAAGGAGTTGTCCATTCTGACGGACCGCCACTTGACGCGACACCGGCCCGGTGGGAGCCAGCTGGATATCAAACAGACGTTGGGTGATGGGCGCCCTGTAGGAGATAACCCAAAAAGTAAGATAACCCCCGAACGATTCAAGGTAAATATATCGATTTCAAAACCTCCAAGTGGAAAAATCTTTTGTATCTTTTGTGGTTTGTTGGATTGCTGGGCTTATCAACCCAGTCAACTCCATTCATATACTCTCTTGAGGCCTCCAGAAGGTGAATGAAAGCCTGGTGCGCAAGACCCAGGCCCTGCGTTGGCCACGAAAGGTCAAGCCTCCTGAATTCATGAATCCGCGGGCCCCACTCAGTACTGTAAGTGGATTATGGACCATGTTTATGGTTATTATCCACTTACTAGCTGGAATGCACCCCAAGTATTTTGTGAGTGTTTGTCTTGTTCTTCTCCAATTGGCAATTTGGTGTATGAAAGGGCCCATACCCTTGCTGCGATGCGTATTTCCTCGAATTAGATGCCTTAAACCCTAGTATGTTGATGAACAAATGATAAATAAACTCACATTCTGTCATACCCCAATGAGCACCAGAGGCTCTATTCTACATGTATTTTGAGGATCTCTGAGGGCAAAACATATAGTTCCTACGTGTGCACTGACTTTTCAAACGATTGCAATTTCTTGAGTCAAGAACATTTGGCAGCATGCAGGTCTAAGGGCTGATATGTTTTTGTGACAACGGAACCTGCCGTGCCCCTAAATCCCGACAAATAAATGCTGGCGTTGCTGCACTTTCTTTGCCGACAAGCATTGCAAAAGACCACCCGCAACCAAATAACACACATATATATATATTAAAGAACTAAGAACATGCTTACTTTCCTTCATAATCCATCATATATTTGTATAAACATGAGTTTTTAGGATCCACATTAGATCCGATTCTGATTTCGTTCAGGCACGCAACGAGTATGATAAGACGATCCAAGAGACCGAGGTTCGGTCTTGCTGCCAGCAGGTGCTGAATCATGCGTAGTAGTCCCATTTAAAGATGGACATGTGTTTCCATGGTACAGATTTCCAGGTTTCCACCCTTTCTATTTGTTTTGGGATTGCTATAGGCCTTCAACATTCTCCCACAATGGAAATTGTTCTTCATCTGGGTGGTTGTAGCAAGCTTTGCAAAATCATGAAATCCTATAGGAGCATATAGTCATAAACCTGCACTCATGCAGATCCAATACAGTCTCATAAATCAGTTGTAGCATCTGAATTGTTTAATGGTCAAAGCCCATTAGAATCCGCTTGACTATGAATAACGGCCCCGCAAAATTACAAGAGATATCAAGAGATCTGGTTGAAATCCCAATATCTCATCATATCTCATCCCCGACTTATGGCCACATGTTTTGACGCCATGTAATTTTGGTAAGCCAAATGCCATGTCGTCACCATCCCCTAAACCATCGATCCTCAGGGCGCGTACATGAAGATCTTGGAATCTTCCCAGACTTTGCTCCACGTTCTGAAGCGCGAGACCGTGAACCTCACCAAGTGCGCCGTGGTGAAGCGGGTGGTGAAGCGGGGACTGCCCGGAGTTTTGTTTCACGGTGCCACTACGGTGCCGTAAAGGTGATCAGTGTTTACTATTTATAAGTGGTTGGAGAAACATCTAACGTATTAACGTGACAAACTTGTGAAAGGACTGAACACCCTGATGAAACAAGATGAACAAGATGAAACGACTCTCGAAATGAGGGATTCCATCTATAAATATGTTGATTTATATATACTGTACATGATAAAACCATGCTTACAAAGCAGTTCTTCTTTGGGATGCACATCTTAAATCCAAGTTGAGGTGGGGCTGTCACGCCAACAGCTTACCGCTGGGATGTTGGCATATGGCGAAGCACCTTCCCTGTCTGGGTAAAGCCCATTTATGATCGGGAAATACTTTGAATACCAATCATGGAAGATGCTGTAGAAGATATACGAATAATTCTGATTCAAAGCCCATAGGGTCTCCCATGATGTCCCATTTCAGTTTTTTTTTCCCCCACCTGCCAGGTGAGGGTTGTTAGATTTTATGTCAGTTGCCTCCTCCTCCTCCTCCTTCTCCTCCTCCTCCTCCGCCTCCTCCTGCCTCGTCCTCCTCTCCTCCTCCTCCTCTCGTTGTCCTCCTCGTCCTCCTGCTCAACTGCGACTCGCGATCCACAGTGTTCGCTGTCGGACCTCAACCACGACCATCCACGCCCAGTGTTCCCTGCCGGACCTCAACCACGACCATCCACGCCCAATGTTCCCTGCCGGACCTCAACCACGACCATCCACGCCCAGTGTTCCCTGCCGGACCTCAACCACGACCATCCACGCCCAGTGTTCCCTGCCGGACCTCAACCACGACCATCCGCGCCCAGTGTTCCCTGCCGGACCTCAACCGCGAGTATCCATGCCAAGTGTTCCCTGCCGGACCTCATGTAGGAATGTCAGATAGACTGCCAGATAGAATGCCAGATAGAATGTCAGATAGGATGCCAGATAGAATGCCAGATAGAATGCCAGATAGAATGCCAGAAAGAATGCCAGATAGAATGCCAGATAGAATGTCAGATAGGATGCCAGATAGAATGCCAGATAGAATGCCAGAAAGAATGCCAGAAAGATGCCAGATAGACTGCCAGATAGAATGTCAGATAGAATGTCAGATATAATGCCAGATAGAATGCCAACATATATGCCAGAATATATGTCAGATAGAATGCCAAAATATATGTCAGATATAATGCCAGATAGAATGCCAGAATATAGAATGCCAGAATATATGTCAGATATAATGCCAGATAGAATGCCAACATATTTGCCAGAATATATGTCAGATAGAATGCCAAAATATATGTCAGATATAATGCCAGATAGAATGCCAGAATATATGCCAGAATATATGTCAGATAGAATGCCAGAATATATGTCAGAATAAATGACAGGTAGAATGCCAGAATATATGTCAGATGAAATGTCAGAAAATATGTCAGATAGAATGCCAGATAGACTGCCAGATAGAATGCCAGGTGGAATGTCAGGATATATGCCAGATAGAATGCCAGAATATATGCCAGAATATATGTCAGATAGGATGTCAGAATATACTAAATATATGTCCAAATATACGTCCTGACATGTCATGGTGGGGATCACACGAAGTAGAGTATTTTTTTTTTCTGGGCAAACTCTGCCAGTTTTTCGTCAATCCATTTGCCATGCTGATAGGAAGAAGCCGGAGCAGTGAGAGACGACACCGCACGTGAAGGCGGTTGTCGCATGAAAGCGGTTGTCGTGCGGCTGCCGGTGAGGCACAAAACAAGGAACTTCACGACCTGCTTGGGTACATTCTTTATTAGAGACAACGTAAGATAACGTAAGTATTTGCATCAGATGTCTCTTGGGTGGCGTCAGTGGAGTCTGATATTTTTGAACTTTTCAATATGTTCAGTCTTTTCAGTCTTGAATAGCTCTGGACGATCGTGCCATTTGGCATTTGTTTATGGATTGAAACTGCAGACCACGAAGCTTCTGACTCTTTTTGAGATTGCCGCCATTAGACTTACATCCACTTCAAAGAGTGGCTAGATATTTTTGCCATGAGCTTGCGATGAATTTGGGAAGTTTCCCTTTTTCTCCTTTCTTTAGATTTATCCATAGTATTCCATAGTTATTCTGTGGGGGAGTTCATGGATCCTGTCATCGAAAATGTAGGAAAATGAATCGAGTTTCCCCATAATTTTCAAGAGTAGCGGCTTAAACCATATGTAGGTGTGAGTCGTGAGGTGGAACACCGCTTTTCATCCCTTCACAAATCGAAGCATGGTCTCCCAATTCTTAGTCTGAAACGGCGGAGCGTTTTTGAAGTTCCCAGGTGACGTGCAGCCGCCCCCGACGGCCAAATGGTCGTAGTATCAACCAATTGCTCCAGGTAATGGTTATGTCTTAAGGCCATGGAAGATTGGATGCCGTATTCATTTGTTAAGGCATCCAGATGGTGGGTCACGAATGGTCGTAGTATCATCGAAGTTTTGGTGGTGAATGATGAATGGAAGCTATAAAGATGCCGGAGCTACCACGCTAGTGGGTTTGAGGATCCACAGGTAGTGGGTTGCCGGTTGCTTATTGGTTTCAGTTACAATTGGTTGGAATAGAATGCCCAGTGCCCATATATATATATAACTATATTATATATACACACACACTCATATAAGTTTACTATGCGGGGTGGATCCTAAGCTTGGTTACCAACCTCATGCCATCAAGAAGTAGCGGGAAACCAGTCACGAGCAGTCCTTTGAGTTCGAACCTCTCATGGAGCTGATTTTGGACGTATGACTGATCTTAAATCATGACATCTCCTTGCTTGTGTTCTTGTTTGGGAACATCCCAAACCTGGCTTAGAATGCTTAGACTGTGCCCCGCGCTTAGCTAATTAAATTTGGAGACCTGGAGCACCTGGTTGGGACGGGGCTCGGTTCTGCAGCTGCCATGGCCCAAACATAGCGCCATAGGCAGAGGTGGAGCCACGAATCGCAACTGCTTTGTATCACCTGTGCTTTGGACGGGGGGGTGGTTTCGGTTTCGCTGCAAGGTACATCACTGTCGCATTAGATTGCAGCACATTCAGGTTACGGTTGGATATATATAAATAATTTGAGTATTGCATAATCATGTTAGTGCGACCTAAAAGGGCAAAAACCCCAGAAATGAGGAACCAACATGGGGCAAGCCCTCAACAATAGCCTTCAATTTGGCTCATGTTTTTTGATTTTTTGAGATGATCAATAAATATCAAGATGTACAAGGTGGAGGATGGCCGACATATACCGCCGGTTTCATCCAATTTCTCAACATTCTGGCACACTGGGCATTGATGCAATGAGTTCAAGAATTCAACCTCAAAGCTACCCCCGTAGATGACTTGGGCGCTGCAGAACTCTTCGGCCAGAAACTTGGGCGCTGCCTTGCTCTGTCGCCGGCATTGGACACAGATTTGGACATAATCACTTCGATCCAATTGTTCAAGTACCCATCAGGCAGCATAGTTGTTTTATATTGTTTGATGTTTTTATTTTCATGTTTGACATTGACCATGATGATTCCACTTTACCATTCTAACTGTTCTATGTGTTTTCTCCAGGCGGCGTTAGGACACGCACCGACTCAAGAGGTATTCACCATTTCGATGTCCATGTCCTGGCTACTTGCTAGGTCCACATTCTGTCCATTTAAATGATGGCCTCTTGGTTGTTGCTAAAGGATATAGATCATTGTAAATTCATTCACTTCCTTTTTGGTTGCTAAAGGCCTTCCGTTTTCAGCTGGCCATGCACTACTTTGACCCCTGCCTCTGCAATGCTTCGCAGGCTTTGCAGGGTGCTGAACTACCACGCCTATGAGGAGTTTTCCCCCACGGGTACGGGCGTAAGGCGGTGATGGTACTTTCAAAACGATAACGATGATAATGTCCGATGGGACTCATCTTGGTGCACTATGTGCACTGGATGGACTCTAGTCACTAGTCATACACGGACAAGACCAGAGTCTGGACCACCCAGATTTGAATCAGGTGGTGTGCCTTGATCGGGCCGAATTATACTAACCTCACTTTTTGACGTCACTGGAGTGATGGCTAGCAGGGCCAACTATCCCAAAATGGTCTTGTATTTGTTTCTATTTCAGGCTGGTAAATTCATCGTATTTTCATTGTTGATCATTACAACATTCATGGGGAAAATCCAGCAAGTTGATGCACATCACCATGAATCCTTACCAGACAAGCTTGGATCATGTTGACCCCTTATACCTTTCAGTAGTGAGGTAGTTAATCATGGCAATGTGAAATTCTCATGTATATACTCGGTATGTATATACTCGGTATGTAATAATTACATGCTCACGTGTTATCATTGTTCATTAAGAATTGGAATGTCCCATTGCCATGTTGGACTGTTTGAGGGTAAATGATAGGGTAACCCCGTTTGAGTATGGATTTTATCAGATATCAGATGATGTCTCCAACAACCCCCAGTTAGCCTATAGCTATGAACGTAGCTAAATACGGGATCAATCACTTTCTCATAATGTCATTTCACTCACACACATTTATATACGATCCTTCACGCCTCTGGGCTCCAGCTGGCACTTCGCGCACGGAAGACCCGGCGCGCGATGCGCATGGGGCGCAGATGGCGTAGGGTTCCAAGATGGGGACTTTCACTAACAACATGGGGATTCAGGTGTGATTTATGATAGGTTTTCGCTGTTGAATTTGACTGGGATTCATGATATTTTCATGGCTACTACATACAGAATCCCCTGTTGTATGAAACAAGACCAATGTACAAGTGAGTAATGTAGGCTTTAGTGTCTAGAAACCAATGGGTGCTGGATAACTGGTCATGTGTTATTTGAAATTAGTTTGATTCAATCCCATAGATGTTTATAGATTCTAAAAGAAACATATTAGACACATACTGTTAATATTAGATAAACTGTAGATACACATTCTATAACATAAACTGCTGTACCATTCAATTATATATATAAATATATTATTGTCTGTCTAGAATGTATAGATTGAGTCTGTTATGGTTATAGATCTAGACTAAAAGTTCAATTAGATCTATTTCCATCTGCCCAGCCTGCAGGGGGGCAGCAAAGCATCTCCTGAGGAGATAAGTCGGCGCACCGGTCAAGGGTGACGGTGGGTGAGGGAGCAACGAAACATGTGTCAAGTTGAGCAACGAAAACAGTGGTCATATAATACGTTAGTTTTGATGATGGGTTCATTGGAGTTTTTTGGAGTTTATTGGATGATATGATAGAATAATATAGTGGAAGTGGCATGAGTAGATTGGAATGTAGCTGATTATGGCGTGTCTATCCCCTCAAAAAGAGCTTCAATTTCTGAGAGGCAGATTTTCCATAATAATTACCAGTATGTTATTTTGAGTTGTACTACGGATAATTATGCTATAATACTTTCGGATTATTCAGTGGTCCCTATCTATTTGATACACTATGGAGAATCTCTATTATACGGTATTCGCCCAGCGAGAGCGAGAGAGAGAGAGAGAGAAAGAGAATAGTGGACCAAAATTAGACAGGTGATCAGTCCTGGTCAAAGACTGAACACTCTAGTCAATCCGCGAGGCCGACCTGGTAGCCAGGTGATGGTGAGCCTCCCCTTGGGTCTGGCCGTGGACCATGTGCATGAGGTGCTGCGCCAAACATGAGCCAAAATTGGTATTGAACCATCAGACATGATGAAACAAACTGATTAAAGGATGGAAACATGATGGAACAAATCAGATTTAAGCCATGTAACCAATTTTCAGCATCAATTTTATGCCGATTTGGATTTGTCGGTCAATTGTTTATCCCATTTTTGCTTGTTGTTAAGTTTGAACAAGAATTAGGATTTCGCCGATTTAAGTATTAATGAAAAACATGGCGATGCCCGAAATCAGACTGGCCATAGGCACTGGAAAGCTGTTCGGAGGGATAGCGATCATATCCTTACTAAAAGGGGGGCCAGGCCCAGTTACCACTAGGAAATGATGAGTAGGACAGTTTAATTTAAGCGGAAACAGAACAATTCGTGATGTGAATTCGGGTCACCTCATTCTAGGGCTAACAAGCCGATCACAGATGATTTTCCGATGAAAGCAGATCCATTCCCGCAGCGAAACCTGTTTGTTTATTGAATGTGTGATTTATTCATCTTGGGGACCTATGCAGAGGAATTTCAACTTGCAAGTCCATAGCCATATTCATCATCTATGGTAGCGGATGCGCACCAATTTTTGCCATATTTTTGCAGATGTTTTGATATACTATGTGGCCCAGATAGGGGGACAATTGATGTTAGGGGGGTTGGTCTAACTCATCGCTGCTGGATGCTTGTGTCGTTCGAGCCTGGCAGGGATTGGAAGAGCTGCTTGGCTTGATTTCATGCGATGACGACCAAGTCGTGATGACGGTAAAATATTGGTAAAATATGGTAAAATGACATTTCGGATCTCATCATGGCATCATGGACACAAAATCAACCCCAAAAAAAACGCATCCATTACGAGTGCTGCATGATATGCCCAGAGACTTGTAGCTTTGGTATCCCCTGTCTCCAAACCATCCCCCGATGAAACGACCTGGACGACCTGGCTCCCAGATATGATCAGACGACCTGGACTCGTGGTCATGGTATGTAACCCTCATGGTATAATTGGAGAACGTGACTTGAGCATCGTTATTGACCTATGGGAACGGGGTGCCCATGGGAATTAGGTGCATATCTTTACACATGGTATATAGATGTATATAGTGGGTGCCAGCGCGACCTATACTGCTCTATTGACAGTGGTGTTGCGGCCCTGGGCTGCGTCCTAAAGTGACTGAACCCCTAGTGGGATATCCCTTGGTCGCCATTTGTTAGTCCATCAAAAACTCGCAAGTTTTAACAGTATTAAATAACATATCACTACCCTTGCAAACATAGAGATGTAAATTGCTACTCGAAATCGTGCGATGATTTCCGTGGACCTTGGATTCGCCCTTCAAACCAATAACCAGCTGCTCAATTTTACTCCGTTAATCAAGTATTTTGACGTGATTATCATTTTTTTGGGTGCTTATACCTACCTAGACTTCCAAATACCCAAAACTATAGTCAAAGCATGTCAAAGTATGCAGTTTCACGGGGTACCATGGGGTACCATGGGGTAACATACAGTTTTACATACGCTACGGGGTGCATAAGCCCTCCATACCCCTCCTATGACCGAGGCCCGGGCGGCGGCGTTCCAAGACGGTGGCCGAACAGGCGAAGTTGGCCTTGCAGGTGCAGCCGGGATTCCATGAGATCTATATATCTGGGATATTCTGGGATTATCTGGGTAAATTATAACAAGCTCACTGCGACCGAACCCTGGAATCATGGTTTATTGATGTTTATTGAGGGAAATCATCCCCTTCTATGGCCGAACGATTCAGGTTAGTGAAATACTATTTACCCAGATCAATGGTGATACCCCAAGGGCTGATTTCATGGAAAATCCGACGTTTTAATGGAGGATAAAATGAGGTACCCCCATTTTAGGAACTATATAGTTTATTATGTCACTCACAATTTGGATTGTTTTTTGGGGCATAATACCAGTACAATTGCAGCTAGGTCATTGTAAAACATGATGAATGATAATGCCTAATGCCTAATGCATTAATTTTGCTGCATGCTATATCAGTGTATCATTATGACGGCTATGTATTTATTGCACACATACAAAATATTTTATATAGTGATATAACATGCTAATTGTGGCTGTAGTGGGGGCAACAAAAATCGCAGTACTGTATATAATAGTGAAAGTAATGATACTGATAGTGAACGCAGACAATATTGAGATAGCCAACATAGAAACACCGCACTGATAATCACAATGGTAGTGCCAGTAGTTCATAGAGAGCACGTATGGGGATTTTCTTGAGGTATGGGGGACTCAAGTTGTCTGCCCAACCTTGGAATGGAAGCTGAACAACGGATGCTTCGTTTTGAAGCCATAATTCTGATCAAAAGACTAGCCATTTAGCAATGTTTTGCTTGGCAAGGTGAATGGCAGGTAAACTAGATGCCATGTTCAAACATGGTGGATTTCACCGAGGAACTCGTGAATGTTAAATTATGATAAATTATGATAAATGATTTATATATACGTTTCCTGCGGACGGATTAAATGATTAGATCGAATGTTTAAGTTTTCATGTTATAGATTACGATATCACTGTTTTTATGCGGAAGGTTTAAATCATGTCAAATACCGCATTAATAAATCGTGCATGAAAATCAGTTTACCTTCCTATAAACTAACGTAAATGCAGAACACCCACCATTTGATCATATTCCTAACAAATGCATGGGCTTTCCATATATATATATAGTTTACCATAGGGTAAATTTCATGGCAAATGCCCATGGCATGGATGATTTGGACCACATGTACACCCTGAAGCCAGGCATTGGAAGCGCAGGCGCTTTCCGGTGGCACACTACGGTGATATGTTTGTCTATAGATTTCAGGTTTTAGTGTGGTAAGGTAGGAAAAATCATGAACATAATCTATAAATGGAAGGCGATGGAGAATATATATATATATATGTGTTTTCACCTGAACTCCTGGAGAGGGCGATGGAGAGAGAGATATGTGAAAACATGGGAAAATCCATGAACATCATCTATCAGCGGAGGTTTTAATGGGAAGTATACCTTGTAAACAGATGCATTTTATGGGAAAATCATCAAACAAAACGGATTTTCCAGCTAGCCATGTTTGATTACTGGAGGGTACTGTAGTGTTCCGAGATCTTTCAGGTTGCACAGGTGGTATTCTGACGTTTGTTGGTGTATTAGTATTATCCTATATGTCACCCTGTTGGTTGGTGTCGTGGGTAAGAGATGGTAAGAGTATGTTCCCCTTTTTTGTTGGACAATCATCTCACCTTTGAATATGGTCAACGTTGCAGTTTGCTCGTGCATTTGTCAATATGTCATTATGTGTTTGTCAGTTCAACATAGTTCAACTCCATGTGTTTTTTTCCCTCTCCGGCATGCATAAACAATCCTAAACCAGTCTTGTCTCCATCCTAGATGGAACTCCACTGCTCTGTCCGCAAGAATCACCAACGCAGGCTGAGACACCCAAGAAGACAGCTGTGGACGAGTTGAGCCTGGGCTGGTGAGTCAAACCTTGCGACAACCGACAATCTGAATCATTCATGATGGCAAATTTGCTCATGATTTCAGAATATGTATATATATATATATATATGTGTAATTATATATATATAATATATGCTGTGAAATACATATTTATATTGACCAACTTGTTCAGATGGGAATAGTACATATATGCATCGTAAGACATTCGCATTATCCAATGAAGTAAACAGTGCTCCGCATGTCAATCCCAGCAGATTTGTTTCTTCTTGGAACTACTAGTGTGTTTATAACGCTCAATTCCATGTTATCCCCCCGCAAAAGCACTTCGACAGCTAACAACTTCCATTTACACATGCTTGCACATGCTTACAGTATTTTACACTTTTCTTAGTCGGAAATTCTGCCGAAAATGAAACCTACCTTCGAGATGGGTGTGTTTGAGAATGGGGTACCCCCATGTCCAACTCGTCATATTGTTTTTCCATGTCAATGGCTAGTTGGTGTTAAAAGAACTATGATATAGAATGATCCATACTGAGTCAATGGAGATGCTCCCAGTAAAACAAACGGAACATGACATGATATGACCAAGCAACACAGGAACACTCCATGGACAAATTCAGATCGATGGACATCTCAGGAAAGACTTGACCTTGCGAGCCAAGTGCTCCAGTGCTTTACGGGCCTGGTTTCGGTACTTCGATAAAGATCAGAACTACCGTGCCTTGGTGTCATGGCTTCGTTGGATTTCAGCTACCAAAGCTGGGGATTTTAGCAATGAACGTAGCTCTTGAATTTCACCAAATTAATTTGGAGATTCAGCACACAAAACTGGGAATTTCAGCATGCAGCTGAGATTAACATAGGCAGCCTTAGGAGGAGCTCCTTGCAACTAAGATGAAGCTACTTTGCCATGATGGCCTATGGATCCACATGGTTTCACCAAGAGTCCCTGAAGTTTGGGCCTTGCATAAACCGTACATGAGCGAGATACAAGTACCTTTGATTTGGAACCCTGAAAGGTCCCTGATTGTTTCAAAACCCGGGCAGTACCCCCCAGAAACAAGAAAGGACCAGGGTCGGTTTCATCCAAAAGGGAACTCCATTGAGAGTATCAACATGTATATCTCTGTAGCTATGCAAAGGCAGATTGTGCCCTCGCAATTCAGCTTCACATTGATGATGAGGATGCAGCTGATATATATATATATATATGTAATTATAATTGATCATATATATAATTAAATGTTATATACATATATGTATATATATATATCATATATATATATATATATCATATATATATCATATATATATATATATCATATATATATATATCATATATATATATATGTCAAACATATATATATATACACATCTTTATATATATATATATTTATATTTATTTATGCGTGTGTATACTATATATATATATAAATTTGCTGGCATGTGGGAAAAATGGGGCTACTCCCAAATCATTGATTTTCATAGGATGTTCCTTTATAAAGCTTGAATTGTGGGGTAGCACCGCGTGTGGACACCTCCATGGCTCCGCATGACCTGAGGGATTGATGTGAAGGAGTTCGACAAAGGTCTCAAGGCGGGTGGACTTTTTTGATTTTCCCAATGGACAATCCACCATGACTGGGGAATCTATAGTGATTATATCTGGGTAAATTATAACGACCTCACTGCGACCTCACTGGGAATCATGGTTAGTAAGGGAAATTATCTCCAAATGGCCTTAATTCAGGTAAGTGAAATATTATAATTTACCCAGATTATACAGTTTTCTATAGTTTTCTGTTTTTTGGGGACCCCTTAAGCAAATACAAGATAATTTGGTAAATTGTTTGATGTTTTTGTTTGGCATATTGGTAAGGCGTGGGCCTGATGACTTAGATTTGGGGAAAATGAGGTGAAACAAGGGAGAATACTTGGAAGTGAAACTGTGAAACTGGAGGCATCAATGTATGATCCGATGTATGTGATGTAATCTCATGATATCTAATGTGTACAGTATTAAATATTATTAAATGTCATCTGTGTATGTGATGAATTGTCGAGTACGCTTAGATTGAAGGATGGATTTCGCTGTGCCCGATCATCCCACTCCACTATCCGCGCAGGAGTTGAAGTTTGGCGGAGGAAAGGAGGAGTGCTTGAAACTCTGGCAGGCCGATGGCATCCGGAATGTTTGAGGGTCGTTGCACCAGGCTTGTCTGGGATTGGCGATGAGACATGTGAATTTCTCCTGCTTGAATAGATGAATTGGAAGGTTCCCAACGTTTTCTCTTTGGAAGATTTTGCATCCAGGTATCATGACGGATCCCTATATTTGAAGTACCCATACAACAACCTCATGATTATTGTTGTTTTAACCTGTTTTTCCTACAATGCAGACACCCAGACCAGTGTTGTTTCTTGTCCCCATTATTGGTCAGAACATCACTATTGGCTTATTGTCTCGAGCATTTGCTGTTTCTCATGTCCCAAAAATAGAATCGTTCTCACAATCGACTGTCAGACGTATGTCATATTGATATGTGGCATGGTCAAAACATGCAAGGCGGCACGCCACAATTTCAAGTTTATTTATAATTGCCATTTTCTATAGAATTGCCGCAAACCATGGTTATTGGAGTTACAAAGCAACTTAACTATCGACGGCCCACCTTGTAATATATGGTGGGTGTTTATGTTCAGCCATCCCATAGTGGAAAATCCTTGCGGTATACAGATCTCTGGTAACGGATTGACCATCTCCCAACATTGGCTATAGAATCTAGCTGTTGACGATGGATGACCATGGCACATGTTCAACTGTTCATCATGTGTTGATGTGCTATATATCGCCATCTATTGCTGCGGTCATGTTGAAATAACCAGCTACAGGACTTGGACGATGACAACAGTGGGGAAATCAGTTTCGAGGAATTTGCTCCCCAGGAGGCACGTGAGGATTGTGGCACCATTTGCCCAGAAAACTGTGGCTAAACTATGCGAAACCTAGGATAAACTTTGAGAAAACTGTTAGTGAATTCTGAGAAAACTGGTGGGTTGTGGGTTGATCGGTTGTTTGCGTTGTGATGATATTGTTTGATTAGTACATGCATTCTTGATGTGGGGCAACCGCGAGCGCTTAGCCATGTTTAACCGGACTTGTTTCGGAATTCTTTCAGCTCGGGAGATGTGCAGTGATGTACTACTTTGATGCTGGACCCGTAAGATAGGAGCATGAATTGATGTGCGTGAATTTTATGTTTGGCGGCTGAGTGGAGTATTTTTTGGTATGTTTGCGCGTGTACGTTCTGAACTTGACATGTAAAGTGGAAAAGCTGCTGTTTGCCAATTATGTTTGCAAGATCAAATTAGCCACATGAACTTGAATCATGAGCAGAAAAATTGTTCGTCAGGGCTCCCACTGGAGCCGGGGAACCAGCTGACTAGTTCACCAATACAGAGGTGGGTACACAGCCGAAAGCCACGTCAAAACCCTGGACAGAACCTTTGGATTGGTAATGAATGACAATGATACACACATTCACACACATATTATATAGATCACACACACACATATATATATATATATGTAAATACTACATGTGTGTATATAAATCACATGTATATATATATATATTATAGTATAGTATAGATATAAATATGATATTGGTCAATGCAACGTACGACACAAAACAATAAACAATATAGAAGCCCGTGAAACCTTCAGGACGAACCTGTTGGCGATTGAGGAGCGGGTCACCCCTCAAGGGTGCTACCTACAGAAGCCACGTTTTTGCGGTCGCATGCATACGGACATGCGCATTCTTCGTTCCATGGATTGATGCGGAGCCATGGCTTGCGATTGCTGTTTGCTTTGAGCCTACCCCGTGCTGTGTGCACGCCACGGCCTATTTTAAAGGTGCAAATGGACCCCTCTGAGTATCCAACATAGCCATCGGAAATGGCCATGTTGTTGTCGGTAACTCATGGTACATCATCTACAATGCCTGTTTTCCATGGATAGCCCTTGTTCCGAGCTGCCAAGTGCTCCCGAAAAAACGTGGCGGTGGCTAAGTTCGGACAAATGCTGGCCATAGCACTGGCGGGCGAGGCTCCTGACACATCACCCCTATTGGGGCTCCAACATGTCCTTGAAGGTGATAGAAACCCATAGAAGCCGCACATCCGCAAAAATCGGGATATGGAAACCAAGCTCTGTGGATGGCAACCCAGGTGTCTAGATCAGTTTGAAGCTTCCCGACAGGCCACGGGAATCCGGTGCAGCCCGCTTCCCACCTCCACTATGTCAGATGATTTACCTGTATTGACCACCCAAAAGATAGAAAAGTGGTTTAAGACTATTTTAGAATGTTTTTTTACTGTTTTCTCGAGATATGGGTTTCTTTAAATCAATGCGGGGTTTTCCCATTTCCATCCATTTCCATGTTTCATTACCAAGTCTTGGCAATTTGCAGTTTGCAGTGGAGGTATCCGTTGCAGTTTCCCTGGTGTTGTTGTTTGTCAAAATGAGAAGAACACATTGGTTTTGAGGTTAAATCACTTATCATTGAAAGATTTCTGTTCTAGTAAATAGGTGCCATTAGACATCATACTAGATCCTCTGCAGTAGAGTTGTTTTTTTTCAAGTGCCCGCCATGACACGGCACATGTGGCATTCGCCTGCGCCGCAGAGGACTTCCAGACATATTCCCTGTTTCCCTTCAAGATCGTGCCCGGTGAGCCCATTCCGTCGGTCCGGCGACCCATTTCGGAGGCATGGAGTGGCCTTGGTAACCCAAAAGATCCAGTTGTCCGACAACTTTTTAAAGCCTGAAGTTGTTGGAAAGCGCAAACCTCTTCAGTTTGAATATTTGCCAGGCGCATATGTTTCTTCTTTATTTCTATGTAGCATGATGATGATAGCAGATAGCCTTACTCTCTTCATTAAAGAAATGGATGGCATTGCTCAACTACCAGCCTGAGGCGATTTTGAAGTTCTTTGAGATGGATACTTTGCCAGTCGAAAGTGGGGCCTGGGCAATTCGTAAAGGATGCGTGTGATGTAACGACTTGAATAGGAATTTGGGACAATGAATCAGCGAAGCAAATTTGCTGACCTCATTTCCGGTTGCTGTATGTTTTTCTTTCACTACATCATTTTCTCTCACATTACTTACTGTTTTTTTTCTTGTAATGGATTTAAATATTCACCTGGATATGTTCTTTGTAATGCTTCTGTTGTATGTATATTATATTCTTCAAAACTTGCATGGGAGGAATGCCGTGCTTTGTTCTAGCAACTTTTTGTCACAAGACGTCATTACAATTCACTTGGAGAATTATTTTGCACACACACACATACCTGGGGCGCCCTAAGTGCCAGAAAAAAAGGTGATATTCAACAAAACCTACTTTTTGAAGATCCGGGATGGGAAAGGCTTGAAAATTTGAAATATCGCAATTTTTGGTCATTTCAGGTGTTCTCAGGTTCTTCACACGCTTTCGCCGCCCTTTCCATTACATAATATGAAAAAGGCAATCTTGGCTGAAGATATGAAAAAGGCAATCCCAAAAAATTGGGTGATATGCCTGAGCTAAACTCTCACAACAGTTGAAAACAGGTTTGCAACATATTTCTTGTAGAAACAAAAAACAAAACACACATATCGCGGAAATTTGCGGGAATATCGCGGAAATTTGCGGGAATATCGCGGAAATTTGCGGACATATGTTTCAACCATTTTATAGCCAACATTTCCGGCATGTGTGGCCATGGCCCAAAAATTTCAAGATCCCGCCTCTCTATCTTTTATTTCCACAGAACCAATTCTCCGAATCCATGGCGCCCAGACTTAAAAGAGAACGAGGCTGTGGGTGCCGCAATTTGGCAAAATCATTTATCGCATTTTTTGGTTTTATCGCAATTTTTGTTTTCCATCGCGTTTTTTCAAACCAAGATGGTCCATCGCGTTTTTTTTCCTGCACTCGGGTTTCGCAGGTATATATATATATATGTGTGCATCATACATCATGGTTGCATCAATTGGCCATGCCATGTCTCCCAAGGAGCACGATCCCTACGTGATTCAATTGAGGAAGTACATGGACTGGGCACATCAGATGCTTTGTTGGAAGCGGCCTCCGGGGCTTGTGTGATAATCCTCAGAATGGCAGTATCTTGGCAGCTTCCCGATTTGTGTAAAACATATATGTTTCAGGATGGTTGAATGACACACATACATATAATAATATATATATATATATTTATTATATTATGTTTTTTGTTTACATAGATGCATATTGCCAATATTTATTTACATTTATAAGTCATTATATACATACAGACAGTAAGTAGATGATCGCCGTTTGCCAAGCTTAGGATGCTAATGGCATGCTGGTCCTCCAATGGCCGCGTTTGGGAAGTTCGGCTGCGTTGCCCGGCGGGCCCTGGTCATATGTACAGGGAGGTAACAACCACCAAAGAAAATGAGGAAATTGATGGATCTATTGGGATTTCACTGTGATTTTAATCAACATCGATGGCTATTGCATGCTTTGGGTTTGGAATGAAAATCAGTATTGAATTCTTTTCTTGACAAGAATGACTCCTAAAATTGTTGGGTTTCAACATCGTTCAAACAGTTTTGGGGCGAGTCCCCGACCTCACCCCATAATTGATTGTTCGATATAGTTGATCATCCTATCATTTCCCATCATAATTATAGATATCACTGCAACGGGCGAAACTGGAGGCAACCAAGGGTACAGCCCACAGAATCACCCATGTTTGCTTTTAGTTTTGGATTGTGTAACCCAGATCAATGAAGGCATGGGTTCAAGCTGGGCACCGGCATGTATCAAATCACGACCTCTAGATCTTAGCATCCATCTTGACAGGTCTGCAAACTGACAAGTGGCTTCAACATACCACGCTTGGCCGCAGGGGCCAATACCGAGGTTGGAATGCTTCTGTGATACTTCATGGCCAGCTTGAGGACACCAAGGGGTCGGCCAGAGCAAATAGGTTTCTGTACACATATATAGGTTGAATTCGGTTAAATAATGTTAAATATATATGTGGCTCATGTTTGCGCATGGTTGATCGAAAAAAAAAAGATATCCTGGTGAGTCTTGCTTGGGTGCCGTGTGATGATGGAACTGTCCATCGCAGTTTTCATGTTTGTTTACCAGGTGTTATCACCAACTTGATTTTCACCAAACTTGGGACACTGATCACTGGATTCCCCTTGTAAACTGAGTATCATCACTTTGTGAGGGAAAACCCCGCCAATCAGTCAACTGAATTTATTAACTTATTAACCCTAGTGCTCCAAACACGATCGGAGAAAAGTGCTTCGACCCTAAAAACAAACTAAATGCAGAAAAACAACTAAGTTTCCTGGAAAAAGCACATAAATTTACTGGAAAAATAATTTAAGGTTCCCCTGATCCTTTGGTCGCTCGGTCCTCTGGTCCCTTGGTCCTCTGGTCGCCTGGTCCTCTGGTCCCCTGGTCCCTTGGTCCTTTGGTCCCTCGGTCCTCTGGTCCCCTGGTCCCTGGGTCCTCTTGATCCCCTGGTCCCTTACCCTCCTCATCCTGGTCCTTTACCCTTCTCATTCTTTGATCTCCGGAACTAACCCTTTCTGAGCCCGAAAGCAACCTTGAATAGGCCACAAACCAACCCTCAATAAAACCTAAACCAACCATCCTAAACATCCCTAAAACGGACTAAAAGAAGCACCAAAAAAACATCCAAACAACTCCTACTAAGCCCTAAAATGACACCTAAAAACCTGAACCAAAACTGAATAAACCTTAAAACACAATCAAACAAGCACCAAAGCGGCCATAATTCGGCACAATATAACACAACCGCAAACACAACAAAGAAGCACCAAAACAACCATAAATATACGCAAATTAAATCTTAGATAATGCAATCCAAATAAACCATCAGCAAAGCCCAAATAAAAATAAGCCATAAAATCAAGCCCTAAACCAACACCAAACAAACCCATGCACTACACAACAAAAACCGAAATGGACTTCAAAAGTACCTCTAAACAAAGTCCAAACCAACATTCAATAGATCCTAAAACAACCCGGTAACCCGAAAGAAGCACTAAACCAGCACTAAATTCACACTACAACAACTTTAAATCGACACCAAACAAACACCAAGCCAACCCCAAATCAACACTATAGCACAAGCCAAAGTAAACCTTAAAGGAAACCCTAAAGGAAGCCTAAAGCAACCAAATCTAAACCGTAAAACAATAAAAAAAACACACGCCCAAACTAACCGTACAGAAAACCTAAAATCAACCAGAAGTAATCCCTAAATACACCCTAACCAATCTGAAATAGATCCTAAAACTAACTCTAGACAATATTTTGCAAATACCACGAAATACTGAAGATAATACCCTGTGTAGTACAGATGCTGGCTCCAAGATGCTGCAAGCAAGGTGCAAACAAGGGATTCAAGGCAAAAACGATTTAAATACCATGCAAATTGCATAATTAGATTCCAACACCCTGCAAATATTGTACAAATAAGAGATTTCAACTGCAAATAAAATTCAAAGATTCAAGGCCAAAATGCTTTAAATATCATGCAAAATTCATGTTTAAGTGCCCAACCCCTGCAAATGTTGTACGAATAAGAGATTTCAGCTGCAAAAAGGTTCAAAGTACAGATTCTTAAGTTTTTTTTCCAGTGTCTTAAGTTTTTTTCCCAGTGTGGAGAGTAGGGGTGAACCTTTTTTTTCCAGTTGTCAAAGTTGTTTTTTTCCCCAGTGTCTACCCCCAAATGCAATCTCAGAATGTGTTTGGAGCTGTAATGAAATTGAATTACCTACCCAGTTAGCCAATCAACTGGGTTTGTTAATGTCAATATGTTCAGAATGTTTTCCATTATATAACATTATATTAACATTATATAACTATATTTAAGCCCCAAACTATGAAAAAAACAGGGTGACATGACTGTGGGCCTCCCTGGGTTGAAGCTGGTCAGGAGAAACTGAATGAAGTTCACTCCACCGCCTGTGCCCCACAAAGCCGCCTCGGCTGCAAGACCCTCTGAGGAGGTGTCGAAAAGCATTCGTGTGTGGGTAATCTTATTGAGACCATAGCCATAGGCCATAGCTGTGTTCATTTTCCAGAGCTTCACCGGTATACATCATGATTATTAGCTACCTTACCAATGATTGCATCCCAAGAACGTTTCAAACAATACTTCAAGACATTGTGACATTTGTGACCGTTCACCATGGTAATACATGGTAATCCAAATCATGCTATATAAATCTATTTTGCCCCATATGATTGCTCAATGATTTATAAATGATAAACATTAATTTAGAAACCAATCATTGGTTTATATAGATTGTTTTTTAAATCACAATTGGTTTCTGGTTGGTGGTTTGGGACATTTTGTATTTTCCCCAATAGTTGGGATGATGATCCAATCTGACTTTCATATTTTTCGGGGGGAGGGTTGAAACCACCAACCATTGGTTTCAATGATTTATCAACATTTACTAAACCAATGGTTGTTTCTAAACATTTCCCTCTGGTAAACTTTCACATAACTATGGAAAACCACCATTTTATAGCTGGGTAAATCAACGATTTTTATATTAAATTAAATGACCAGAGGGTTACTAAACCAATGATTGTTCCTCCAGTGAGGTGGTCCTCCGAGGTTGCAAGATGAGTCAGGTCATCCAGCAGATTGCGCCCAGGCTGTTCTTCACCAACCACCAGGCGTGGCCCTTCTGCCTGATGGCGTTGAAGTGCCAGTTGATGGCTGTGTTTTGAATGGTAGAAAAATGATGAGGAAACCACGGAAACCACCCAAAAGTCGAAGTTTAGGGCTTCAAGTTCCAGTTTATAGCTTTTGTGGTGGACAATGATGATGCCCCACACAAGATCATAGCGATGTCCTTACATTCCACTGGTTTGGTTCTTAAAAAAAAGGAGGTCACCCACATTCTTCAACAAACCAGTAAAATAGAACAACTGGTGTGCCACACCGGATTTGAAATTCTTTTGCAGGAGGACAATATGGGTTTAAGGGGTTGAAGTGAGAGGCTGCCTGATGTGAAAGACTGGGTAATTGAGATGTAGCACAATCAAAGTCACAATGTGGAAATCCTAAATACACTGGTTTAGGCACCCCTATCACATGGCCAGGTGGTACAACATTTTCAGACACACGGATGGGGCGCTGGGTCACTGATTCACCAATCTTCCATTTGCACAGCTCAGACACAAATTTGGTTTACGACCAACCGAACTTTTGTTGTTTCCGACTTTCAGAGAATTGTTTGAACACCACCAGATTTGGCCCACAGGTAGACAAGTGCAATCCCAACCAAAAGAGTGGGAAAACAAGTTGCTGCATTTTCTCCCAACCCTGAAAAATAAAAGAACTTATAAAATATGTGCAAGCTGACTATCCTTGTAGGTACTGTTACATGGTGTTACTCTTTATCCCTTGTGTGTTGTTCTCGATGGTTTTCTCAGCACCATATTTGTCTCCGGGTTGTCTAGGTCTACACAGGCTTCACAGGCACTGCGAAGGCATTGTCCAGTTGGAAGTTCGTGAACGTTCCTTCGGTGGCGATGGTGGCCGCAAGATAGCTTTGTAATGCTTTGTATATGTTGAAAAATAGCTACGGTTCATGGTGATATTGACTCTTGTTGGGTGGGTTATGGTGGGTTGATAATCCAACTTACAACTAAGTGGCCCCACATTGCAGTCATCCTTGAGTGGTTAGGACGATTGTATATCTATCTATCATCTACCTGTTTGTCTGTCTGTCTATCTACATGTTTGTCTATCTATCTATCTATCTACCTATCTATCTATCTATCCTCTCCTCTCCTCTCCTCTCCTCTCCTCTCCTCTCCTCTCCTCTCCTCTCCTATCCTATCCTATCCTATCCTATCCTATCCTAACTATCTATCTATCTATCTATCTATCTATCTATGACTGGCCATCGAACACGGCTTGAAACTATTTTGAATTCGGGATAGTGCCCATGTGATTGGAATCCATGTGCCTATTTGGATAACCAACTCGCATAGTATGAATATGACATGGTGCCTAGTTACGATGTCACTTGGCATCGTCACCATCAATGATGCTCAATATATTGTAAAGGAATGTGTTTGTAAAAACTGAATCATTTTGTTCAATCTGGGTAAGCGTGAGCTGTAACCCCTTGGCAATCACAGTTTCGAATGGGCCAAATCTGTTTGTTTTGGAATTTCCCATTTGGCACGTATGTAATTGAGTAAACATATCCATACAACAACTCTAGTCAACATCTAGCTAGATCATCTAATCCTTTTTGATCAGTCCCCTGAATTATGAAAAACATGGGCACACATTACTTTCACACCCTGTCCCCATGACACCCCTTACTGCGTCCTAGGTGCAGTTTGCTATCGTGGGAACTGGCGGCTGCGGAACGACCTCTCTGCGGAAGAATTTGGAGCAGCAGCGTGGCGGGAGATGGGCTGATTTTTCAATGGGCAAACCTGTGGATGTTGTTGGTTTCAAACATGGCTGTTATTTTCCATTTCATATATGGGATGTCATCCTTCCCATTGACGAACTCCATCATTTTTCAAGATGGTTATTGCACCACCAACCAGTTTGGATGTTCTGAGTTGGCGATGGTTATTAGATGATTATATAGTATTATCATGTATTATCCCAGTTGTGTTCCTCATATCCACCAAAAAAAGAACCAATAAGTTTCCATTGAATCCGTTCAATGTTCAATCGACCATTGGAGCAAGGTTGGATGACACGAGAAGGATCGATTCCCATTGGATCTCCACATTGATGGTCAGAATGCACCTGTTTTGGTGTCTATCTATCCTTTCAAAGATGCAGGAACCCCGATTGATCCATAGTTTCCATCAAAAACAGATTGTACCCTCCCAACCGTCTTGTGGATTTATATTCTAATTGATGGATTCCTGTAGGGTAACTTTGTTTACCTAGATATGATCTGATTTTTCATGGCTAACCTATCACAGCTATCACCAATTGGCGATCTTCGAACATTGCTGAAGGGTCGGTAGGTCAATTTCGCCATGAAGGAAGGACATCTACTTCTTGGGAGTGCAGGATATCTCCTGATAGCTAGTTAGGTGATGTTTACACAGTTTACGGCACATGTTGCACCTCCAGATCTCCAGGACCATGTTTTCCCTTGAGACCCAGGCATCCGGGCGTGCGCTTCACTTATGAAGGCGCCTTGGATGACTTGGGGGTGATTACGACTATATCAGTTTGTATCACAAACATCTTTGAACATGAAAGATCGGAAAGTAAACAGGACAGGCAAATTCAGAAGACCCCCTGGCCGAACACCTAGAACTCAACACTAATTACCAAAGATATCTCAAAATAACATACGCAGTTTACACCTTCCGGTTTGTATCCATGGCATGCTTGTGTAAATCATGGACAAGGAATTTCAACTTGTTGTTTTTGGTCAGTTTATTTATTATTTTTCAGTAAAGTACCCGGCCCGGGAACGCATTTGGCACAGGACATGTAGGAGTGTCAACACTGATTTGCGCACAGAACATGATTACATTAAGGTCTCGCGATCTATCGGGGAACATCTCAACACCCAACACCAGAATATTTGGAAAGAGGATGAAAGAGGTAAAGGAGAACTAAAGACGACAAAAATCAATATTTCTCCACATTCACAATGTGCATATATTTAGTATGTTTAAGTGCCAATGAATGTCATAAGATCCATAGAGGAGAAAAAAATCCCAGCTCTCGGAGGTGATGATGTGCTGTATGCCCCTGGCTACAACCACCTCTACCAGGGCGGATTTCGAATGCTCCCCACTGAGGTGGGACAGTGTGGCGGCTGGTTTGTTTTTGGGAAATGGATTCAAACCACCTGGAAGTACTGGGCCAAACTTCTTTTCGATTTTGAATTAAATAATTTGATTGGAAAATAGACTAACCTTGTTTGGCAGCGTTTTGGGGTGATTTCCCAACGTCGGGGGTAGATAGGTACACATGGGCAAATGTTCCAAATGACCTGATTCAAAAGAAACAACTATCAAGTGCTTTTGTTTGCACCTGACCGCTACGCGTATCAACTCGCATCATCAAGTTGCAGTATATTGTTCATGGAGTAATTTTGTCAGTGTGCTGGTGTGCCCAGCTTCCTTTGCGCTTTGCAGCTTTCCTGCTTTCATTCTCAGGGGATATATATATATTATATTATATATATATAGTATATATATATGGGGGTTTCCTAAAATAGGGGTACCCTTAAATCATCCATTGTCATAGGATTTGCCATATATATATATATTATCCATTTTGGGGTATCGCCATGTACGGAACGCTTCTTTTTTCGGAGCCGCGGTTGGTCCCATTTGTACCCCCGGCTACCGCAGGAGCAGGTGAACCAGCTGAAGTGTGGCAAGGGCAGGTGCCACCGGCCTCCATCTTAGGTCTCACCGGGGCAGACCGCTGGAAAACGTGAAATTATATATATATATATATAATATCGACTACATGTATGTATATATATATATATATATTATTCTATATATATATATACATTTGTTTTTTCTCTTTGTTACAGTAATGGTTCTCTCCTCGTATATGCATATTGTTTTTATGATCCTGTACGATTTCCCGCACTTAAAGCCCAATACGTGTCTTTGGATGCTGTTCTAGCCGGTAACCGGCGCGTGTCTTTGGTCACCACTGAAAAGGGGATAACTAGGTTTTACCCTAAACCTAAGTTAATAACCCCAACTGCACCTTAAATAGTTGAACAAATGACATGTTCCCAGCTATAAAGGTAGCATTGCCAGACTCAGCGGTTCAAATTCTCAACCGTGAGCAAGAATTTGTGGCAGACGGGAGCCAACAAAAACCATGTGGTTTCAAAGAGTTTCAGTCGTTCATCCCTTTCCAGCAAAGCTGGGTCCGCTTCGGGGTCCACTTCGGGGTCCCCGTCGAGAGTTGAAGCACTTGCTTCGCTTTCATACCTGCAGGTGAGATTTGGGGGTTTCCTAAAATAGGGGTACCCCCTAAATCATCCATTTTAATGGGATGTTCCATTAGAAACCATCCATTTTGGGGATCCCCCATTTGTGGAAACCCCCATGTGTTTCCCTGCTTTAGGGGGGTGCTGTGTAGACATCATGTTGACATGGAAAAATCGCACCTGCCATCCGTCGCAGGTGCAGAGCTGAAGATGTGGACGACCGAATCATTGGCCTTAAGAATTACAACCTCTACAACTTCGATGTTGGAGACTTGCCGCGGTCTCGCATGGAGCCCATCAGTGTTGAGCGCGTTATTGTTGAAGTGTGTCTGAAGAGGTTTCTTGAACATGACGGCAAATTGGCTGATCAAGTACCAGTATGCACTATGCACACATATTAATCATACAAACATGTCCCTTATATGAACAAACCATGTATGTAATTAGTTTTGCCGTCACATTACATTTCACCGGCAGGTCCTGGTGCCCTCATGGGGATCACGCTTAGGACTGGCAGCGTTGAGTTTGAAGAGAATGATGCTTCGCAGCAGATAGTGCCGGCTCCGGAACCGTTGATGATGGGGTGAAGACGACATGCACTGTTTAAACTCGGAGGGAAAAAGTCAAAAGACGGTCAATCTTTGTTGAACTGACTGGTGCATTTTGAGCTGTACATGGGTGATTTGGAAACATGAAGGAGTGCTGGCGCCGTGGGGTCACTAAGGAAGATCATCCTGCTTGTATGTGATCCACTTGATCGTTTGGAGCCTCGGTGTGTGTTTAGTGAGGTGCCGTACCTATCCGTACCTGGGGTTGTTGAAGACTTGCCCTTAACCCAACATTTGTACGCGTACAGAGGTGATTATTTGGGTAGCCAAGGGGGCCAATTGGGACCTAGCTCATCTCAACATTGTTTGCTAAAACAAAAGTCGTCATTGGGATATTACTTGCGGTTAGGTATACCCATAGGATCCATGTATGCTATATATGGTAACATTTACCATCAATATACCCCAAATGTTAGCACATATACCATACATGGATCCTATGGAATATGGTATGAAGCGTTGGTGACTGTTATGCGAGATGTTGAGCTCCAAGGTCGGGCTTTGACGTGTCCGAATCAACTCGACTAGGAGGTCCACATGTTTTGCGATTGTTTCCCCCTTGCAGAGCTAAATGTAAAGGCCGCAAGCGAATGCCTTGGGGAGACAGTTTTGCCTATAGAAAATTGAATTATGCAGGATGGAAGCAGTGAGAGAATGTGTTTGTTTAAAAAACCATTCAATCGCAGATATTCAGATATACTCACCATAATTCCGTCCTGAGCCATCCTTAGCTTGGTTTGATATCAACTGTATCCAACTGTCCTATCTTTAGAGAAAATCACCTTTCAATTGTTGCGTACACCGTGCTTCAATTGTTTGCTGATGAATTCCTATCGTTTGGGAAACCCTTCTTAAAAGAATCTCTCAGGAGAAGGCTCTCTACTACAAGCATTGCCAATTCACAAGCACCCTGGCTATGGCAGCCGCTGCCGGAACTTCAGACATGAATGCTTGTCCAAAATGTGAGATGGGAATATCATGGGGATATACGTTTTATTCAGTTTATTCAACCAACAATATGTTTGATGGTTTGGGTGTAATAGTGATTAATAATAGACTATATTTTTGATGGTTTGTCCAAAAATGGGGATACCCCTGCTCATGGCAGGCAATTTTGTTGACAACAAAAACAATATTGATGACTCATGAGGTTGTTGGGTAATCCTCAAATTTTAAACCAAAGAAAGGGTCAGATAGCAGGGACGTATCATCAGAAACCCCAAATGCATTTTAATGTTCTACCGCCAAGTTTGAAGATTCCTAGGCCTATAGAAGCCGCTTGCAAGTATTTTTGGAGAGATCACCCTTGCATGCTTCATGAACATCCTAAATCAAAGCAAGTGCTTTATGTATTTTATAATATTTTATTTAGCCACGGCACAGTCTTTGAAGAACTAACTATATAAATTGGAATGGCTCTAACCTTGCTCCAAGCTCGATGTTTTGATTGTAAAATTTGAGTCTAATCCTCAAGTTCAAAAAAATGCTGGTTCATTGTCCGTCCCATCCTACCAATTCATACCAAATACCCTGGTCTAATTTTGGATCTATTCATCCATCGGGGGCCTTTTTACATGGGGTCACATTTGATTTGGTATACAATTCTTAGACCCGATTCGTGTTGGGTTTTATCAACCTGACTCAATCCCATAGACCAAGTTATCCAAGTTTGATCCGCCTATCTGGAATTGGGAAGATATTCACTGGCTAATTTCACGTTGTGATTGCCGTTTTGCATTATCTAGGACCAGGATGCACCCATTAAAATGCTCATTGCTGATCGTTAAATGATAAAAATATTTTGTTTAATTAAATCATATTAAATCCCTATGTTCGACCCATTCCGGTGCACGGCCACAGCTCAAGGCCGCTGTGAAAACCGCAGCGTAATTGATGAGATCGTGGCGGGCAAGGATGTGGCGGAACTGGTCACCTGGAAGAGAACTTGGGGGCGCCATTCACCCAGGTGCTTGATGGTTGCCATGTGATACCAATGATACCAATGATACCCCCAGTAAAATGATTAGGACGAGGACGACAGTCCATGTTTTCCCGTTCGGATCATGGTGTGCAGAGGGTGGATGTTCCAGAATATATATATATATATGGAAAAATACTTGAGGGTACATAAGAATCGTAATATACCGCACCACCTCAATGAGAAAGGCTATAACCAACGAAAACTATAGGGATATGAAACTAATCAGGAATGTAACAATGTATCCTTAAATTAAAAAGCCAAATGAGCTGCAGTCAGCTGTTGGAACCCAACTTGCCGATGAGTCGCTGAAAGCCTTCCACATCAACCATGTGGCTTTTCGGCTTCGCTGGGCATGAGCCGGGAGCAGTAGAACTTCCAGAAAGAGAGAAGCTGTGTGCAAGGGGCGCGCCATGCCAAAAAAGGGGGACCTTCTCCCAACTGCAGAAGGATTCGACTCGGCAGCCGGTTTGAGGATGTCGATGCAGCTGTAAATTGGGAATCTGCGCGTGTGCTCTCCGAAAAGAAAGGGGAAGAGAAAACAGAGAGAGAGAGAGACGCAGCATTGCCAAACAGTCACCACATGGATGGCAACCAGTTATCATGTTGCTTCGAAAAGTTTTATATAATACTCTTCAACAAAACGAGGAACACGCAAAGGAAACTAAACCAGAAATTACCTTTGAATGTTTGGTTATGAGTGCTTAAGTTGGGGAAACTGCAAGATTTGCATGTAGCTGGCATTTGTATATAATAGGACACTTCTACTATAGTTTCCATTATATATATATATATCACCTGCATAGTATCTATACATTTGCTGTGAAAAAGCAGCATAGATGGATTCTTGTCATTTGTTGGCCGGAACCAAGCCGGATACATAAATTCTGCGGGTTTGTCCTTCACCCAGGTCGCTGAGCCCCTTGTTGGCAAAGACGAGAGGGCTTGGGTTTGTTGTTGCTAAATCCAGATGAGAAGACTCAACTTGGATGCTTATATCATATCATTGTTATAATACATACATGTTAATTAATATGTACATGTATTCCACCCAGTACAAGAGGTCCCATGTACAGTTGGAGTAGGTCTTGTTTCAGAGAAATGTTCCTTATGGTTTATTCACCACGGGCCAAGTGGGATGCACACTCAAGAAGGGATCGCGCCAACACTGGTTGTGGCAAGTCCTGTTGGCCAAGCGCCGCTTTGGATGCCATTGCATCGGAATGTCACAGAAAACCTGATCAATAGATTGGTTTAACGGATATTCGAAGCCGGAAGCCATGTTTTTTTTTTAACCATCAAATATAGGGGTGTCCAGCAATTTTCCCTCATAGAAGACCTACCCAATGACATCAAATAACAATACAATACACAATATATTCAATATATAATGTTTTATGACATGTGTCATTCTACCCACATACCATGGACTAGAACTGAACATCCTGAAGCACCTTGTTCTCAATGATATCCCCTCAATGGACCTATATTGAAAACAGCATTGCAGCAAGTGCTTGTGCAACTTCATAAGCGTAGCATCAAGAGCGTGTGCAACTTGCGATTACCCCCTGGTAAACTAACATAACTATGGAAAATCACAATGTTTAATTGGTAAATCCACTATAAATGGCAATTTTCAATAGCTATGTTAGCCATTACCAGAGGGTATGTGCCGTGATTGCCTCACATTTTTTCCATCGCAAATATAAGTGGTCACCATTGGTCACCTGTTCAGCTCCATGGTGTGAGCTGAAGTCGCCCGCTGGGATTCGGCCGGACCCGTTGGGAATCAACGCAGCCCAGGCATCGAGAATATTGGATCGCTTCGGAGCGAATCATGTTCTTAGCCATTTGGCAGAGTCAGCCAGTGTGGGATTCGGAGAGAACCCTGCAATTCAGCATGGAAACTTTGATGACAGGAGTCCATTTGGACATATTTGGATCATCATTCTGATCTGGCCCCCAATTTTTGGTGGGCCTAGTCATCCTATACCCGATCATTCCATCCTTGATATTCGTCCCTCATGATCGGCTCGGCGGTCGGCAAGATCCACACATTTTGCACATTTTGGCCCATTACCCATGCAGTTGACAAATTTGAAGTCCTGGTCCCAGTCCCGATTCTCGCGGACCTATGTTTTTGTTGTTCAGGGTTAAGAACCAGTTGCCTAAATACATATATACATATATATATAGATATAGATATAGATAGATGGAGAGAGAGAGAGAGAGAGAGTGTGTGTGTTAACGTTTCTAAAGTAGACAGTCTTGACATGCAGAAGCTGATAGTAGCTGCAAATTACGCCGGTGACATCCAAACACCAACGTGATCCGCTGGTCCATCTGGCAGCCGAGTTTGAAGCCCTATAATTCTGTTCCAAAGCCTGACTGAACCAAACATTGATTTATGATGGATGATTCAAAACCAGATGCCACGTAGTATGTCCTTCTACATGTGTAGGTGCAGCTGCACATAGGCTCTAGGTGGACGCTAACCAAAATGGTGCATTTTTAATCGTTGGCTCGCTCGCTCAGATGAGTCTCTTCAAGCCGCCGGATGTGATCATAGTGCCTTGGTGAACTTGCATGTGAACTTGGATGGTGGTTGATGACTACAGGGGGTTATACTACTCTTGATAAATTGATTATGCTGGGTATTATCACACACTATGATACACTACGGGCTTTCAATTTGTTTCTGGATTTCCTGAGCGCGGATGAGGATCCGAATTTGCGGCCAATATTTGGGATGGCTAGGAACATGTGGAAACCATCAGCCAAGCATATCGCCCACGAGAACTTGCCCAAGAGGATGACATGAAGACCACGTCATCGCACCCCCGGATGGGGGGAAAAACAACAACATCCTATACAGGATGGGGCCCCCAGGAGAGCTTGCGTTCAGTTGGTTTATAAGTGGCTGAATTCTATGGTTCTAGCAGATATAACTAATCGGGATTATAATGGTTTATAAACCAACTTATAACTCAGATATAACTATAGTTAATGGGGATGATTTCATGGTTTATAAACCAACGTTCACATCACTGGGGGGCCCCATCCTGTATCAAAATCACCCTGGAAACAAAAATCCATCGGCGTCCCTTGAGGCCCATCAGGAAGTTCTACGCACCAGCCCCGACTTCCTCTACCAGGTGACCTGGGCGGTTCTCGTTGTGCTTGTCCAAACGTTTGGGGCTGCATGAAAAAACACCACCATTTGGTGGACATTACGGGGATATCTATGTATATATATATATAATATTTATGACTTTTATATTCATGTAATGTTGTATAGTATAGATGTGTATAGTTTAAAAAAAATATGTGTACATTACGGGAATACTAATTCAGTAAATGGTACATCGCACGAAAATGACGTCCTTTGTTTGTTCCCGTTGTTCTTGTTTTAAGGTTAAATTATCTTGCACCAGTATCCACGGTAGACTTGATGGAACATAAATCTGAAATCAGTTTGGCACCCGAGATACTTAAACAGTGTCAGACGTATCAGAGATTGCGAGCAAGAATAAACAGAAACTGAGGTAATTTCAGGTAAATATACAATTTCAACATCCTCTTGAGTCACCAGCAGCAGCTGATTGTGCAGCGGGTTGTAAGCCCTGGGTCGCGGCGGGTCCAAGATGATTTTTGATATTTTTGTCAGTTGAACAGAAAGGTATCAACATTCAACATGGTTGCCTTTGTCTTATCCTCAAACATCCCTCAATATCCGATCCACCCAATACATGATGGACTGCAAAATCATGCTTTTATGTCAGACATGTCAGACCATCCCTGGCTGCAAGACCTTATTCAAGCAGATTGGCGCTGGGCCGTTTCAAATGAGATGCTTGGACAGCATTTCTTACCCCAAGATCCCATATGCATCGCATTAATTAGTTAACCAATTTGACCTTGTATCCCCTGAGACACATCCTTTTGGGAGAACGGTTCTGTTGTGTCTTCTGCCCTGCAATATAGAGTGGTTGTTTGATTTTCTTCTTTTCGGGATGTAAGATCACTTTTTGATGTTTGATTAGTGCATTAATCTATTAAGGCCCCCTCAAAGTTTACATCCATGAAGGAAATGTACGGTGTGGAGCCTCCAAGATGGGTGTTAGTTGGTTTACAACCAAATCATATAATCCCACCCCCCAATATTAAACACCTCCCAGATGGTCCCGATTATGTGGAATTTCCCTATCAAACCCTAGTTTCGAAGGGGGTGTTGAATATTAGGGGGATGGGATTACCAAAGGACAGCCAATAACCAACGGATTTTGGATGGTCATTCACCACATTTTTGTGGCAGATTCTGACAAGGCCTCTTTGGTCTTGTCAGATGGTATGGCTTTGAACCTTAAGGGGGTCAAAGTATGATGTTTTAGCAGAATACATGACTCCATGTAGATATTAATTTCTATGGGTATTTTTTGGGCCTAGGTTTATGTATATACATCTATACATCTATCTTGTGGGTCACAACTTGCAACGCAGTCATCCCAGAATTGGTTGTGCCAGTTCAAACATCGAGAGGTTTGGTCAACATAGTCCATGTTGAAGATAAGCTGTGGCTCGAACATGTTAAAGGAGACATGTTTGGTAAACAACTTTAACAACATCAGTATGCAGGCTGGTTGAGGGACATGTTTTATGAGTTTCAACAAGGGTGGGCCAAAGGTGACCATCACTGGTGGATTTTGTGGCCTCAAAGCCCCCCCAGGCCATGCACGAGCCAATCACTTACCCAGAAACTCATGGTTTTCTATTATATGATTTATAAATATAAGTATATATAATTTTATAAAACTATATGATGATATATATATATATATAGTTACTAATGGTTATATATATATATATAGATATGGTTTACCTGAAATCGTTCTGAAGTTGCCGTTGCCATTGACTAGCAGTAACTAACATGGATCATCCGCGCAGCAAACCAAGGATTCCATCGCTACAACAGCCGCTCGGATTCAGCTATATAGACCTCTGCAGCAAAGGAATCAGGGGCAGAATTTAGGGTTGGACATGGAATGTCTACCAGTATTTTTTAGTCAATTCCTATTGAAATTCATGGCTTATGGCGCCTTTTTTCTGGTGAAATCATTGTTTTCTCTAGGGAAAATATCATTTTCCTGGATTTTTCCTGATTCACTCTCTTCCTGGATATGTCCTGGTTTGGGTACTTCATGGTTAAAGTTAAACTCCGCTTTCCAAGATTTTGCCTGGTTCAATGTCACTTTCTTTGATCAAGTACCATGTCTGTTGCAATTCGTGTTGATCTTCGGCAGGCGTGGGCGGGCTGCGCTCGGGCTTGTGCCAACGGAGGAAGCTGCTGAAGGTGGGGCTTCCGGGGTCACCTCCAATAATGAACCTCCAAGGTTGCAGGGTTTTTTCTACTATACCACCCGTTTCTGCTGTTTTTTTTGATTTACCTATGGTGACTTGGGAATCCCCCATGACTTAGGAAGCCCCCCATAAGTGGACGAATACAACCATAACTATCATGGTGAAAGTACCAACTTATGAAGGTTAGAATCCTACTGTTTTAAAAACGAAGAAACATTTAGTGCATTGGCTTCCTTCGAACCAGGGAAAAAATGATGGCTTAATGGGAGAATCAGAGGAATATACTGTATCTGTAAATGAGTTCTTGCTCGTATGAATTTACTTCCGGTAATCTGTTGCTTTCTTGAAAATCCGCTATGGACGTTGTGTTAGAAACATCGTCGACCAACATGTGGATTCTACGATGCGATGTTTACGTACAAGGGGGTCACGGATTTATTTGGTGCATCCTAGATAGTAAGTGGTCAATAAGCCTTAGTATTTGTTTGTTGTTTGCCCAGTGACATGTGGGTTTTGGGCGGGGCTTACCCCCTTGCAAGCTAACGTAGCGATGGGGGATTGCATTTCGATGATTAACCGGAAAATGATAATTTTCAACAACTATTAAATGTTAACCTACCAGGGGGTACGCATCATTGAATACCACCGGGTATCATGGGATCCTTTATATATTGATGTGAACTGTATATATTATTTATACATAGTTATACATATAATATAACATATATTATATATATACATAACTGGAGAAACCTTGGATTGATACTTTAGTAAGTTGTAACTTCAGCACTGCGATCTTTTGCCATACCATAGTAAATGGATTTTGTTGGAGAACCTTCAGCATTGCGGATCATTGAAACACAATACATCACAATACCAACTGTACAATTTGATTTTGAAGGAGTTGATGATTTTCCTATAATTTCCTTATGCTGGTTGATGTTGGTGTCACTATGATTGAGGTAAATCAAGCCAATAACCAAATACGGTTTGGTTTGGCATGGTGCCATGCCCAGTCTCATGATTACACCATTCTTTGGTTTTGTTGAGTTGAGCTGCAGCAGTGTTGACAAACCCCCCTTGGATCTCACATACATTCATACACAATCACAGACACACACGCACACACACACATATATATATATACATATATATATATATGTATATACATATACATACATGCATACATACATACATACATACATACATACATATATATATACATATAAATATACACACATATATATATATATATATTCATTTTTTCACATATCTATCATATATAGTTTCCCCTGAAAAAAAAAGGAAGGAAACATGCCTAATAACTTCACTGCCAGCTTTGCAGCCGACTTGAGCAGGAATTCCAGCAGGCCTTGGAACCGGAGTATGCGAAACTTGAGGCGCCCGGGACGTTTGATGGTTTTCAAGCATCAGAATGGGACATCCCTGCCAAATGCGCGGCAATAGGAACATCATATATAAACATATAATATAGAGTGGTGATATTTCATGGAATTGATCTAAATGTATTCTGAACATTATATCATAGACATGGAATCCAAACAACCTAAACATATATAATTTCCATTGGCCAGTTGGATTGATACCCGTGTTGCCATTAAACTGTAGAATGATAGCCATTAAGCCACTGGAATTCTTAGTGCCAATTTTCAGCTAATCACTTGTTGTGCCTTCTATGTACAACCAGATGATCAGGGGTAAAAAGAGTATAGACAGAGTTGATGATCGCATATCATTACCATTTTGATGGTGAGTTACCTTTCTGCCTTTTTGGAATCCCTACGCATGAGAAGATGCTTACCCCTAAATAATGGTCATTATTGTGCCCTTTTTTGAGGTCAGAGCCTTGCCGAACTTTATTATCCGCGAGCTATTTGTGTTTATTCACCACAACTGGGATCATTAGTAAGATACCATTCTAAGTATACAAGAAAATTTATTCACCATATCACATTTGTTCTCCATAAAGAAGTCTTATTTCCAGCTAAACGCTCTCCAGAAACTCTTTCCGCAGGGTCTCCAGGAGGCCAGGTGTTCCCCTGGAAATAGGTGGTGGCCCCCTTAGTATCTATAGGGATGTTTGCCATTGCCATAGATTTTTTAGAATTCCTCTAGCTATGTTCACAAACTTGGCGTTTAACAACTCATAGGTGATTGTCCATACATGTTGCACGTATAGGTGATTCTTAGCAATTATTAGATATATAGATCTCCCCTAATCAAATCCCCATTCTCCAAACTTAAACACATGCCCTCCACCAAAAATCCACTGGCTGCCAGCATTTGTTGACAGCGATTGGCCACCCGAAGGTCAAAGAGTCTCTCGGTGGCACTGTGGCATATGGATGTTTTTTATTGTGTGTAATCCTCGTGACATCATCCAGAAATGTTCATGGAAATGTATCAATCAACGGGTAGTATTTGCAATAAACATGGCATCCATAGATACGCATTTTGTTTGGTACCTAAGTATTCAACACGACTCTAGACATCTCTAGACAAAGGCGTTACCATGGAGGCTACCTGGGAGGATGCGGTGGTTCTCCGGTGTTGTTGTAGCCGAAACCTGAAACACTCTGCGCAGCAGCTGGTTGAAACCTGCATGTTTCTTGATGATATGATGATGAGTGGTTTTTGTATTTGCAATGTTTAGTTTTATCTAGTCAAGGACAATGATCCATTAACATTACATTGGGCTATGCCAGGCTATACTGGAAAAAAACATGAAGTTGGCAGATGGTTAGTAAGTGAAGGCATATCCCAATATCTTCTGGGTATGTTGGGGGCTCAAAACCCGTTTACTCAGCATTTGCCTATATCTAAAACCCGTTATAGCGTCTGTTATATCGCCCACTTATATACCAACCAAATACGTCCAAATACTAACCAGCGCCCTTGTTAAAAGATGATTGCATTCCCGATGCTGTCACTTAAATTGTATTATATGTATACAATATATATATATATATATATATGTATCTATATGCATGTATATATATATGCGTAAATTATATTGATTAAAATGATTATATATTGTAGTTTTTTATAGTATAGATGATATAATATATTTTATTTATGCATATAACCATATGATACCCCCCCAAAGTTGGATCATTTGTTGCCCACCCACCCATTGCCTCCTTGAAATACCTTCCTTCGAGTATTACGCCCCTAGAAATCCAGGCCTAGCACTGGCCCAGTCATCTTGGAGTCCTGACTGGAGGTATTCAAAATCAGGGTGAAGGGAACATTTTCCCTTAAATACTCCTAAATTATTTGATGTATCCATTTTTTGATTTTCATTTAATTGGCGCCAATTTACATATTCCCTATCTCAGACTCATACCGGTGAACCAATGAAAACATACGTGACATCATATCATATCGTGTAAAATAATGTTAAATCATATTGAATCCCTGGTCGCTAGGAGCCAATAGCCCAATGAAATATCAGCAGAAATCCCTCATAGCTTCCGGTGTCATCAAACGTGGCTGGAAAATCACCTCATTGGGGTCGATCATGTTCCCAGCGAACTAAACCTCCAGCCATAGTTCGGAGTTCCCAGCTAGCCACGTTTGATGACACCGAGAGGTAAATAACTTTAAATGTAAAGATCAATAATTATCAATTGGTAATTGGTTTCAGGGATTGTATTTGAAACCATGGTTTTACCATGAAACGTATATTAGTTAAATGACATCTCATCAAAAAAAAAAACTCACATTTCTCCAGGTTTCCCCGGCCTCATCTCCACCGCCGTAACGAGCTACGAAGCACCCGGCGCTGCGTCAACCAACGCTGCGAGTGACAAACAACACGGGACACGGACGTGTCGGAGAGGGCGGTGGTGGGGCGGATTTGATGTCGCAAGGTGCCGGAAGTCATAGGGACTTTGACCATCAAAAAGGGTGAAACAATAAAATGTTGCATGACTATCCCATCAGAAAAGGGTAAAACATGGTAAAACAATTGGAATTACACCAAACACCAAACACCAATTCACCATCGTCCTTTAGTTGGGTATGACAACGGGAATCTATCCCAGGTTATGTCCTTTCTAATTGGGCAACGTCTGATGTCAGACATTTTCAGACACCGATTCTCACAACCATGGGATGGGGTTCCCCGCAGTTGAGCCGGATGATCCTCCAAGTATGTTGGCGGTTCAGTCTGTTCTTTAAGGGTTGAAGTACATCTCTGGATCTTTCCCCTCCATATGTTCGAAACGGAAACTGAAAGTACAGCCAACCATCGTTGAAACGATGGGTACAGAAGTTATAGGCTGGTTTATTGAACTCCTCATTCAACTGTACCTGAAATCTCCAGCATCAATCCAACAGTTATTGGAGATTACAACCCAACAGAAACCTACCTATAGGTAAACCACAACTTTGATAATGGCAAGTTGGGATTATCAACACATTTTTCACGGGTGGTGGTTGATTAATCCCAATCACTTAGCATTAGAAATCACCATCTCTGGCGAAATCCAGGTGATTATATTAGTTTAAATCAGAACTAACTAGTTAAACTAACCATAACAGTCTATTAAATAATAGTTAAAACTAATTAGTCCAAACTAACCATAATCTTTAAAACCCCCCAGCTTTGCTGAAATCGACATCACATCCAGCGGCCGTTAGGCGGAGCTGTGGAACAAGTTCCGACACTTTGCAGGATCGATCTTCAACGGATCCAAGGCGGGTCAGCTGGGAAATCCCCCTTTTAGGGCTGGGAGATTTGATGATTTTTATCCTCTGGTTATGTCAAAATAGCTATTGAAAATGACCATGAATAGTGGATTTTCCCATTAAGAATGGTGATTTTCAATAGCTATTTTGACATAACCAGAGGGTAATGGATTTCACTGGGAGTTTAATCAGATCCAATTGGATTTAATGGGTTTCTCATGTGTTTTGATAGGATTGAATCTGATGAACCAAGCAATAGTTGCAATGTAAGCTGCGGATTTTTTTCAATGACCCCATGTCCCGACGTCACTGGATTCGGGTAAATACCCCCAAGTAGCCGATTTGGTTAGGTGAGTGAATCATAACATAGTATCTGTATCAAATGATGGGGATGCAAAGTGGGATCTGATGGGTTACGACTACACCCAACAGTATGATATCTGGGTTTGCTTGAACAAAATGGCGCCAAAATAAACAATAGGGAACATGATAAGCCGCTAGATTTTGTGTTAAATGGGAGGGGAGGTTTGAATGAGAGGGGAGGTTTGACTGTGGACATCATCTATTGAAACCTCCGCTAAGTTTATCCCCAAGCCGAACGGTTTGTCATCATCATTGTTTTTATGTTTTTGTTTGCCAAGTTCTCACTCTTCTCAGTGCCCAGTTCACCCCTGGCGGTTGATGATTCACAATGCGGTTCCATACTGCCACTGGTGCCATGAGCTTTTGAGGAAGGAAGGAGGATAGACTAGGATATGCCCCTGTTTCTAACCCATGCTCCCAAGTTAAGGTGCTCTGTTGGGGTTGTTGGGACCACCAACTTTGTCCAATGATCATCCCAAATCACAATGGCAAGTCCTGCTCCATTTATTGAAAATTGTAAATTGACACTTCATACAATATTGGATATAGTGAGTTTTTTTGTACATATTCTATAGACTCCAAGATGGCGGCTATAGATGCAAGTATGTATGATAAATGTTCTCATATGTGTATATATACCTGCGTGTGTAAACATGCGTTTCTAATTTATACAAATATGTACACATAGGATAGTTTACCACATGTTTATCATGTTTCTCTGTTTTTTGGTTCCAAATGCCACCAGGAAATCACAACTCAGTTTCTGCAGGGCTCCGCTGCTGTTCTGCGGAGCGGCTCAGGACATGATTTTTCAACTGAAGGGCTACTACGCAGAGATCAACCTACTGGATCCTCCCAATGATGAGGCGTGGGCGCTACTGGGCCATGGGGGAAATCGTAGGTAAATCATGGTAAAACATATCGAAGATGATCGAATTCAACGGCAATTCTCCATAGCTATGTTAGTTTACTGGAGGTTATAGAAACATTGATTTGTCTTTCCTCTGGACATGCCAACATATGCCAACTATATACCGTATACCGTTTTGTTTCTTTGGTCAGGGTTGAAGACTGATCTCGAGTTGTCATTTCCCAGTTCGGCTGGAGTACCTATCACCTATGGCTCCAGGCTTGGAAAATTAAGAAACATCAACGCATAGAAGCCAACTAAGCCGAGGTTTTGGGCACCATGGGTATGGGCCGGTATGGGTCAATGCAAATCACTTCCATATCAGAAACATCAGGATATACCCTCTGGTAAACTAACGTAACTATGGAAAATCATCATTTGCAATGGGTAAATCCACTATGATCACTATAAATGGCCATTTTCAATAGCTATGTTAGTTTACCAGAGGGTACTGTAGACGATTCCAAGTTTGTTTTCACCAAGGTTGGTTGAGGGGATGGTTATCGTTTCAATGGGCAGTGGCTTCCACAGCTGCATTTTTTTCCAGATCCAGATGGTATATCCCCACTTTCTGTTAATCCCCATTATTATCTCTATGGTCACTATGGTCACTTTGCTTTAATCCCAGTGATCATGGCTAAATATGGCTAAATCCCATAAAATTCTTAGTTAATCGCATTTGCGATCGGTTAAATCTCTATTAATCACCATCAAATCCCAGCAAACTGCTCCGCGATTTCTCCGCGCTGCCAGGTACTTTACGAACGTGAATTTTGTGACAGCCTGATTGGCTTTGGCTGGCAACAAGGCGGCTAGGGAGACCATCGGAACACGGGGAAAAAAACATATGAAAACCATTGAACCATGGATAACCATGGGCAATTCCTTAAAAATTGAGTTTTTAATGGAAAAGCCATCTCCAAGTAGTGGATTCTCCAGCTAGTCATGTTTGATTGCCGGAGGTTGCAGCATTCGTATCGCGGGAAGGTTTTTGTTTACGGACGAAATCCTTCCTTGGTTAAAAAACATCTCACAGCATATTAACTTCACAAAAATATGTTTCATGACGTGACAATGATGTTTAGGCATAGTGAGAACATGTAAGATGTTATGAGTTAGAGCCAGCTGTCATTCTAACTATAAAAAAACTATCCTTGAATAGCTCTAGTTTAATGGTGATCAGTGATTATGTTTAACCATAAGTTGTGTTCATAATCACCTTTAGCCTAATTGCTATAGTACCAATAGGAGAATGGTACAGTAACTATACGGATAATGTTATTACTAGTTATCTTAATGTCACTACGTTACTACTTCTGGTATCAGTATTATTTATCATAATCACCAGGATCCTTATTTTATATGGTGACCACCTGAGATGCATCATCAGGATCACTTATGGAAATTTGGTTAAAAAGGATCATATGGTGCGTTTCCATCTAATCACATAAACCCTTTGCCAAAAACCATCCCCAAATCATCACCACTTTCATGGGTGCGATTCAAACCACCCCTAAATGGTAGTTGTTTATGGCATTGGGTTTGCCACATGTTTCCAGTTATCCAGTTTTCTTCTATTCTTGTTGGTCATATACCAATTATTTACCATTCTTAATTAATCATTATTAAACATGCTCATTAACTATCGATCATTATTAAACATTGTCATTGATTTTTTTTTCTTATTGAACATTATTAATCACCACTGAGCTCTTGGAGAGGGCGATGGAGAGAGTCTTAGTCACCATCAATCACCATTATGTAATCACCATTAATCATTCTTCACCATTGATCTGGGTAAATTATAACCTCACTGCGACCGAACTCTGGAATCATGGTTTATTTTTTGGGAAATCATCCCCAAATGGCCGAACTATTCAGGTTGGTGAATTATTATAATTTACCCAGATTGATCCATAATCCCTATGACACCAGCGCGCAGACGCCAGGAGAAGAACTGCTGCTGTGGGATGCCTTCTGCTCCGACGGCCAAGGCCTTGCCGTGCCCTGCGCCTTGGTGAAGTTTCGGCCAAAAATGCTGGGATTTCGCTGGAAAAAATGGCGATGCTGGGAAAATTTGGATGGGAAAATGGGGGAAATATAGGATGAATCATGAGGATTAATGATGATTTAGGATGATTCATTTTGATTTTAGGCACTTAAGGGATGAAATTGAGTCATCAATTGGGGATCTTGAGGAACTTTGAGGGATCTAGGGTGATTTTAAAACATTTTAAAACATCAATTTTGGCCGCAGGATTGGTGACACATTGAGATGGAGGCAAAATAGAAATCCTTATTTCAGGAGGTATCAACTACTGGACAAATGTCTACAAATAGTGCATTTCTTGTTGCAACATATTGACTGTTGACAGAGGATTGGTCAACCGCCATCTGGCCATGTGCCCAACATGTCCGGATCCATCCCGTGGCATGGGAACTGAGGCATCTACTTCAAGAACCTCAGGCGGGCCGCGGCGAAGCGGCGAAGCGGCGAAGTACAGCGACAGGATCAAGATGCAATGCACACTGGTACAACATGAGAAAACTTAATACTAGTAGAACCTAAAGATATACTCCCTGGTACTCCAACATGGCAACGGATGATTTTTCCACACAAATATCATTTCTTTTTGACAGGGCACTTCCCGTTGCCATGATCGATGGAGGGTATGTAACATCCAAGGTGTCAAATTTTCAGATGGACTGAGGGAACCGCGGGCAAGCCCATTCCGATTCTTTCCGCGCAAGCGGAGGTGGGTGGACCGTGAAGTGAAGATCTTTAAGATGAAACAAGCGGCCAAGAAGAAGGCGGAAAAGATGACAGGTGCGGCGGACAGATTCACCCAGAGTAAGACATCCACAAATACGTAGCTGGACACAAGTAGAAAGATGGGTGGGTGTCCGTGTAGGAAGTCTAGCGCTTCATTTTTATACTGTTGGAAATTGTTTCCAGTTCATAGCTCCTCACATTAAAGAAATACCACTAACGAAAGTTGTTTTTTGGTCTTACACCGTGTATGCATGCATCTTTTGTACATATCCTACCTACAGATGGTCCAATTTGGCAAACCCAATCATACACAATCACCCCGGCAAGAAACACATATGTTTTATCATCGGGAAGGCTAGAACGAAAAACTATAATAAACGAGTTACCTGGAATAGTACAACTAACAGGTCATATCATTGTTGTGGCTCATACTATATTGGTTTGATCTTTGGTAAAGACCTGATCTTTGGTAAAGACTTATAACCATACCGTAAAACTACCATGTGTTTATCATCATAATTATCACAATACACCACAAGCCCAAATGATGGCTATATATCGCTATAATCATAGACCTTTCTTTGGGGTTTTACCTACCCACTTAGTCCCCCAAGAATCTTGGCCCCCCGAGGCGTGAAGCAACGGATCATTCAGGAGGCCCAACTAGCTCTGAAGAGCTTCAAGGCCGCCACAGCATCAAGATCCTCCTTCGTACCTAGAACAAATGGGGCTAGTACGCCATAATATTGCCCTATTGCCCATTCTTTTGAGACGTTTAGGCATAATTTTCTTCTTTCGGTGCTTGGACGCTATTTTGTAAAAAAAATAACAACCAAATGATGGTGTCTTAATCCATTTTGATGGGGGATTTTGCAGGAAAGCCTTCCGTTTCAGGCCAAAACTGCCATGGTTTCAACCGCGCATGTCCTTGCTTCAACGGATGTTCCATCTTGAACCAGCCCAAAAACAAAAACCATTAGCAATGTATATGTTAAATAAATAAATAGATATTTTATGATATTCTATAATATTAATGTTATTATATATACAAACATATATATATATATATATATTAAAATATATACATATATCATTATAAACGATGCACAAGGATGCTTCATTAGTGAAAGCGTTGAAACCAGCAATCATCACAACCAGAGGCCCATCATCCCAACATCCCAACTGGGGCTACAATAATATCAAGGTTTGTTGGGGTTATACCATGTTATAGCACATTTTTTGTTGCTAAGTCAAGGTGATGATGGTGATGATGGTGATGATTGTGTTGATGGTGATGATTGTGATGATGGTGATGATAGTGTTGCTGTTGGAGTTTTTTTGAACAATTGTGGTTCACTCCCCATTTTTCACCGATGCAGCATGTTTCATGTGGAAATCCAAATTTTTCGATGGTGAAATCCCAATTTCCCGATGGTGAACTCCCCATTTTGGATGGTTATATACGTATATATATATATATATATATCTATCTATATCTATATCTAATATCTATATCTATATATATGTATATGAAAATCATGTTTCATGTGTGTCCTCCATTTTTCTGGTGATTTCTGACCATTTTCGGCACCCACTAGTCGCCAGGCCTTCATGAAGAAGCAGTTCGGCAACTCGTTCCGAGCCTGGCGCCAGGCCTTGGACTTGGACGGATCCATGAACCTCCAACGCGCGGAGCTCTTCAAGGCGAGCCCGGTTTTTGGAGATGTGGAGGTGGGTATAGATATGACATGTGTGTTATGGAAGATGTACCCTCTGGTAAACTAACATAGCTATTGAACATGGCCATTTATAGTGAGTTTTCCCATTAAAAATTGTGATTTTCCATAGTTATGTTAAATTACCAGAGGGTATAGCTCTAGTTCTAGATGTTGGTTTTAAACCTACTGATTGTTTGTTTATATATATATATATATGTGTATATAAATATGTGTATTTGCAAACTTGTAGAACATAGTAGGCACCAAAAAATGGGAGTCAATCAACGCAACCACGTGGATGGCGATGGGTTGCGGTTTTTTTTCTTCCAGCCTTGAGCCTTTCAGACGATTCGCAGGGTGCGGGTAAATGCGATGGTGATCGCATGTGATCTATGATGACTACCCCAATCATAAACAGGCTGGAAAGACCACATCATTGAATTCTTTACATGAATGTTAGTTAATGTTGGTAACTATGGTTTATAGAACCCATTTCTGGTAAATTTAGAGGTGATATACTATTGCTTGAATTCCTAACGTCGCACTGATCAGACTGCCAGCAATCTGGGCAGGCTGTGAAGGCTCTCAACTGGAGCCTTGGTGGAAGGCCTGAAACACAACGGGACATTCCCAATGATCTAGATAAATTATAACAACCTCATTGCGACCGAACTCTGGAATCATAGTTTATTTTAGGGAAATAATCCCCAAATGGCCGAACTATTCAGGTTAGTGAAATATTATAATTTACCCAGAATGATGTTCCCATGATACTCCCATACTATTCCAGAATATCATAGCAATATCATGGGAATATCAATGTCCATTCTGTCAGCTGGAAGTCATGAAGTTGGACCTTTTTTTTGTTGACTGTTTACATGAATCAAATGACTGGATGAATGTTTTGTTTTTTAAGGGATATTATATGGGACTATCATGGGACCATGAGGATAGAACATGATATAACCATCAAATCTGGAGTAGTCAACCGGATGGGCACGTTTTCGTTTTCACTTGGACTGTTTTCCTGAAACTACAGGGATCTTCAGGAGCGAGGAATGCATGTGACAGTGCGACACCATTCTTCACAGTGAGTGCCACAACTGTTTCAGAATGAGGAAGGGTAGATTGCGATCGAAATTCTTTCCTGGACTTACAAAATCTGGAAGAACATGATGGACATTGATGGACCAATTGACCCTTTCGTGGTGGATCTTCCACCAGTTGCCAAGTGAAAGTTGTGTAAACGCAAGGGGGCTGGATGTTTGGGCGAAGCTTTAGATTTACCCTCTGGTTATTTAACATAACCATGGAAAATCACCATGTTTAATAGGTAAACCATCTATAAATGGACCATTTTCCATGGCTATGTCAAATAACCAGGGGGTAGATTCAAATTATATAGCATTACTATATGCACGTCTTTTTACACTATACTCCATGCTCGTCGCCGGCACGAAGCTAGGAAGGGCAACTGCAGGGCTCTGTGGAAAGCACTGGATCACGACTTCAGCGGCATTACCACGATCGAAGAGTTGCTGGGTGAACGGCCCCGGGTGGCAAGGCACCGTCAGATGGTTATTTTTAAAAAGGAAGATGCACCAGCTGGGTGGAAAAATCATGGCATCAAATCGACATCCCATATATATATATATATATTGTTTAAATTATTTATTATTTATGTATTTATTTATGTTATTATTATATTGTGATATCATATAGACTCAAAAGAACATGAAACTACATATAAATACATATAGTTTATTGCAATTATACATAATTATATTAAAGTGATGGAGGACCCAGCATAGCCTGTCTCGCACCCCAAAAAAAGCTTGTGGATCCAACCCCATTGTGACACCAAAGGATTCTCGCCCTGTCCAAGTGCCAGGTTGTTCATTGAGGCAAGGTATGCCTCGGCCCAAGAACAAATGGGGGCAACCAACATCAACCAACAAGCATGGGAGATAGCATATGAATTGGATCCGTGTGATTTTGTTGTACCTCATTGTGACATCAAAATAGGGCACATATGGCTATTATGCTACTGGACTATGGAAACCACCCCGAGTCATGATCCTTCAGGGACCACCTCAAGTGGTGATTGATGGCTTCTGAGTGGGATTTCTATAGGTGGTTGCAGCTATAGATTGGTTTATAGCTATGGCGGGAGAACTGGAAAAAACGAAACTTTATGACTCACCAACTCTTGTTATAGTTATACGTATAGTAATTCCCACAAAATATTTGGAAAAAACAATGTAGATATATGACTATGTTAGTGTGATTTTACTTGTCTATGCTTGCTACCTATAGTTATAAACCATAAATGTTCCAAAACCAAGCACAAACTAAATATGGTATCAATAATCGATAGATTATAAAGCATAAATGTTCCCAGTGCTCAACTATAAACTAAGTATAACCCATTTTATGGCTTTAGCCCAACGTTCGATGATGATTGTGGCGCTAAGCTCCAGGTTCGACCCTGACACCGCGCAAGTGATCGCCCACTTCCGCGAGCACCTCGGCGTTTCGAGTCCGGAGCTGTGGAGGTTCCTAATGGCTGGGGGGTACCCCAAAATCTATGGTTTATGTCATGGAAAATCCGATTTGTTCATGGATGATTTAGGAAATTAGACATATAAGTTCGGAAACTTTCATATGTTAAACAGGGGAGAAACCATGAGAAATGGGCTTAGTGGTGGTTTAAGCATCAAGAAATGAAGTAAAAAATGGGCTTCAGCCATCATTCAGGTGGTGTAACACGCCCCCGGCCCCGGGCCCAATTGAAGAGATCCGGGGGTGTAACTTGGGGCTGGCCTCGTGAAATCAGATCTGATTTTGTTCAGTGCCCCGCTTGATTTCTGTTTATAATTTGCATGGCAACATGAAATGTGCGCGAAAAAGAAATCTGCTGAACTCCTTGAGAAGGCGATGGGGAGAGAAATCATAGGACAATTTCATCAAGGTGGTGCCACGGTGTTGCTTCAATTATGAGTCATGTTTGATCTCCAAGGGGTACTACGTCCAATTCGTTGTACATTCTTGTGTTCGAACCCTGTTTTGTTCCTGAAGATTCTTGGTGGTGATTTACAGCAAAAATATTGCGTTCATCCCGACTACAAAGGTTGCACTTGAAGGTATACGGAGAGTTTGTTGCTGAAGTTGCACTTGCGCAACATCGCAGAATGATATGAATGATGGAAGTGTGGCAGGAGTTCCCAACGACAGCTTTTGTCAGATCCCACTTCGTAAAGTAGAGGTGAGAATAAGACAAAGTGAATGACCAGAGTGCTATGTACATATTGCTATGCTACTGTTTATACTTCAGACTATATGATTCAAACATTCAATCTAATTATACTAGTTAATAATATTTCATGCTAGTTCATACTACTTACCCATTTGTTCCCTTAGACCAACCCATTGAATCGATCATGATATTAGTCAAAATCCCTTCTTGATGGTTAACCCTGGTTACCCATGGTCAACCCCCTCAATATTTGGTCCTGGTGAATTCCAAAAATGGTGGATTATTGCTGGCTAAGATTGGACAAACATCTCATTGTTCATCGTTACCTGCCATGGTTAACCACCCGAAAAAAGATGCAGAACAGTGAGGTTTACATGGAGATTGTTAAATAACTTTGGTTTTGAACCATACATGTTTTAAACCAACTATTCATACATAGTTATGTAATGTTATATATAATTATATATATAGTGTTACCGTTGGTATTACATAACATTTTCATATACACATATTATGTAACATAATATTAGGCTTATAACTATTAATAAACATAAAGTGTTTCAACTATACACTCTAAACACTAGCAAGACTACTATGGTTTGGTTACAAAACTATAAACCATCTATTTTTACATCGTTTTTTCAGCCTGATGGTTGGTATCCATCGCCATGGCGATGAAAAATCCCATGGTCCCGGTGATCCAAGGTGGGCCGTCTCCATGGTGGAGAACTCCCGGAAGCCCAGCGACATCTTTGAGCTGGTGGATCGATGCCTGGCGAAACTTCACCTGGGAAGGCCTGGGGCCTGTTTCAGTGTTTTTTAAGCAATATTTATATATAACATTTTATAGAGATATAACATTATATAATTATATATATATATATATATCTTATATATATATATATATGTATATTTATCATGTGTTCCTTTGAAATAAGTAGCGGTTCTATTTGAGAAACTAGGGTGTTTTGTTTTAAAAAAAACAACAATCACAAGGACTAAGCTGCAGAATACATCACAACATCATACTGAAGGGAGTAATAAAACACAGCTGGAAACGATCCACCCTGGACCAATGCTAGACAACAGCAACATCAAAGGGTGATGTGATAACATATGTTTATCTAGCTGGTGATGATGTTATATCACCAAGTTTGATTGCTCTTTACTTGCAAAAATGTTCTGCATATTATACATGTATATGTGCATTCACAATGATTAAATTCGATTTTGGTATGTATGTTCCTACATAACTACATGCGATATAAACATAATATGCATATATATACATGCAAACATGCATGTGTTCATGTGTTGATATACATATAACTAATATATATATATAATGTATATATGTATGTGTATACATACATGTCTACACATTTCAACAAATCATGGATCTGGCCGTGCAATTTATGATGCCCTTGATTTGCAACATCTGATACGTTTCAGTGATTGTTGCATTAGCATGTGGAAACCAGTTTGATACTTGAGTTTGCCAAGGGATCCTATCAATGAGATTGAGGGACAGTATGCTCTTATTTTGTGGATTGCTGTTTACGCGGCTTTGTTCATATCCTTTGCCATGCATGTCACAGTTGAGCAACATTGGAAACAATCATTGATGCTGACAACAAACTAATCTATGAGTGGGACATCTTATTTCTTTCATGGGGAAAGCCAAAATACGATGAACATATATAGTGGGTGTTGGTATTGAAGCTTAGTTGGCCATAGAGGTTTGTATTAACTCTTCGTTGCAATTATGATTTACTTTGAGCATGTTGATATACACAGAATTCCCCTAGATATTACAGTATATTTCACTTTTTTGAAGGGTTCCCTACTTGACTAACTTATAAACAAACTCCCATGCATATTAGCTGAGCAAATGCATGTTGTTCTTCAATGCTTTTGTATTTGTACAATACCTTTTCATGCACTGCATAGTTTGTGCTTGCAATATTTGCCTTTCAAGTTGAAATGCAATACGTTCTTGATGAATATACACTGTTTATCATCATGGTCAGCAAAGGGCACTGGAAGTGGCAATTTTACAATCAAACATATTGAAGTATTGCCTGGTTAGTTTAGGAAAACAACAACTGAAATTACTTTAAGTGAACACAATGACACAACCAAACCAATGCCACAAATTTGTGCTCTTACAATTGGGAAGGCGCGTATGCTAACTTATGCATCTTATTTTTGTTGCAATTGTGATTGCAACAGTGCAGCCCAGCAACCAGATGAATACATCAGAGCATCAACAAACAAGATCTACAATATATGATGCCAATGTCGATGGTTCAAACAAAACAATAACAGCTGCCAACAACAACAACAAGACACTCTCTCGTAGTAGAGCCTACTGTAACCAAGAGGCCAAGACACTAGATCATCAAGGGACTCTAGCGGCTCTAGCGCTCTCTAAAAACTTATGGTTCAAGAAGCCAGGTATTCAACCAATACAGTTCGTAAAGCTATACTACCGCAGAAAAAAAAAGGTGAATGATGAGGCACAAGAATTAAAGATTGAAGTAGTGTACTTGGCCAAAGGGGAGAGCAATACAACAAGCAAAACGCACAAAAGACATCACACAATATAAAAACACAAGACAGGTCTGGATGCAAAGGTTGTTTACAAAGAGTTTTTGGACACAGGGCACATGTATGCAGGCACATGCAAATCACTAGGCTTAATTCAAAGGTTCAAACAGTATCAAACTTCTATCATCACAAACATAATTACAATTACATCAGGTATAAAGGCAACAATTACTGTATTCAATGTATCATGACATTGACATACACTCACCGTGTACACCATTCTATCAACAAATACAATCATGTTTAACGTATGAATATAATATACATATATAAGAAATAGTTTAAACACTTTTTTTAGCATAGATGAATGAGACTATCATACAATGTCAAGCAAATGTTCAAACACATCGTAAAAACTTACGGCCCAAAGCGTCCTTCACTTTGGAAATGGCAGTCCTGGACCTCCCCGTTGTCAAGCGATGTATTTTACCTAGTTCCTTTTGAAAATGGATATGTCACAGTATGTCATAATGAGTCATAATGCCTTGGTAGCCTAGAAACTTGAGGGGTTAGAGGCTCAGCCAAAATGATGTACCTCTCACTGTTCCAGTTCGCAGGGCACCTATAGCATCCATATACTATATAAAGGGGAGGGAGGTAGATGCACTTCGGAACTTTAGGGATGAGAGGCTTGATAAAACAGCTCTTGAGGTTTCTTTCTAGGCTTTAGAACGTTCAACATGAGTAAGCAGCACACTCAAGTAGATTCTAGAATATGATTGTCCTCAATTGGTAGTTTGGTAAGTTTGGTAGCTTATGATTAATCAGTCATCCATCCAATTCATGCTGAATATCAGGCCTCCAAAAAGATGCCGAAGACATAAGGGAACCAGGAACAGATATTGTGGGAACCATGAGCTAAATATACAACTATAAATGGAAAACACATATAATATATATATATAGTATATGCTATCCTGGAAATTATGTTCCACTTTTTTCCGCTTGGTATAAGGTATTAATTTATCAATATGGTACTGAAATTGATTTTAACCAAACATCACTGATTGCCATATTTTTTGGAAGAACCAGCAGGAAAACAATGCTTCTTTTTAAAGGATTCGGAAGCTGTTTGAATCAACTTCGTTTCAGCAAGATCACCAAAGGATTGATGGGAAGCAACTTCCAATTCTTGGTTTGCGAAATGGACCGGTTCTTGAAGAATTGGGGTGAATTATACGGGATGGGGCCCCCAGTCGATAGCTAAGTTGGTTTAAAAGTGGCTGAATTCTATGGTATATGGTAGATATAACTATAGTTAATGGGGATTATTTCATGGTTTATAAATCAAGTTATAACTGGGGGGCCCCATCCTGTACTTCTTTGAAGAAAAATCGCTGGGTCCAATGGGTCCACGTGGTTTTAGACCCGGAATTGGAGTGAATTTGGTCTCAGGACACAACCGGAAGAAGCTTTCACATGCACAGTTTCAGCAGGAGCCGAAAATGACCCGGTGGTGAAATAGCACTTGACTACGGCGCCGAAAAAAGGCGGATCATATTGAGGTCATTGAGGTCCGAAAAATTTTTGGGGAAGGAACCAGTTCCATGTAATTTGAATCTGCCGGCGCATTCTGCCCAGTCCTCGGTCCTGGTTGGGTCATGGTTGGGTCATGGTGCAGGAGTTGGAGCATCATGGCTATACAAAAAAAACCAAGCAGCTGATCCACATGTTGGACTGGCAGGACAAGCTCCTTGGATGCTGGTGAGGGTGAGATGCCATTGATGAGGTTTGGGATTCGAAAACATGTCATTAAATGTCAGTGAATGTCACATGTTGAAACCTGTTTTGAGTGTTTGCTTCGAAAAATGATATTCTTTGGTTGGGTGATCATTGGATTGCACATTTCACCACCCTTGGATGAGCGGACGTGTTTAGATAGCTCATATTAAATTCTGACAAATGTATGGAACCCTAGCTTAAATACTATATATTGATAATGTTTATAACATATTATATCTATCAATATATCTATTTATTCATCTATCTATCTATCTATCTATCTATCTATCGATCGATCTATCTATCTATCTATCTAGCTATAAATATATATATGTATATGTAGCATATACATATTAAATATATATATATATTCAATAAAATATAATAAATCCTCCAATATCCAACTCTTTGCCGGGGCCCAAGAATTGCTGCCGAGGAAATATATTTGCGACCGTGATCTCGCCTTCCTGGATATATGGCGACCTCCAGCTCCTTGGGTCACCATGGCTTAGGATCTTGGAGGTTGGGACATGGGGTCCCAAAGGTTTGGGTATGTTTCGTTTTTTTCTTGCTTCTTAAATGGAGCATAGCTATTTTTGGCATAAAAAATGATTAACTATAGATGTATATCGCGAGGATTTTTGCTGTCCATCTCCATTGGCCGAGGCTTTTCTCACCGGCACTCCGGATCCTGCAGCAGCTGCAGCCTTTAAGAAACAGCCACTCGATTGGACGGCAACCCCATGGACCGACAAACACAAAACACACATCCGGTTTTTGCTAGGTGCTAATAGTTTCAAACAGTTTCAAAAAATCTTTATTCATGGAAAAATCAGTGAACATCTATAGGTGAATAAATAGATGTAAAACACGGTAATGTATTTATTTCAACCAAAAACGTGTCTCCAAGGCTGGTGACGCGCCACGGCCACATCCTGAAGGCATCCGCGCGTTAGGGGTCCTGCCCGCTGTCCATTTATTGGATCTCCAAGGTGAAGACCCCATAAGAAAACCACAGGAAAACCAAAGGAAAACCATAGGAAACCATAGAAAAAGGATGACTTAACCAAAAAACATGAAGATTTGATATTTTTTTGTTAATGGAGTTGTAGCCTTATAGCTGACGGATGATAGCTAAGTTGACTTATATGTTGGCTAAGGGTTGGATTTATGGGGACAGGGGTAGATGATAGGATTATCGCCTCACATTGTGTCCGATCACCCCAATTGGTGGACAAGGCCTGGCGTTTTGCCATGGACAAAGATGGCTCCAACAGTTGCTCGCCATCCTGTGGCTGATGGTTGGTGCTTGGTGCTTGGGCAAAATGAGTGATATTTATTGGATAAAATATGTCCAACATGGTGCTTAATATTGAGGCTTATTAGGTGGATTTAGATGGAACATATGGGATTTATATCTATATATATATACGGATTTACTGTATATGATTTAAACTCATGCCAGATGTTCTTTTGATGAGTTTGGAGGATTCAAAGCAAGATGGGGTTTGATGATTTTTCTTTCCCCTATTTATTTGGGATGTGGGTTCCGACTGCCAAACGTTTTTGTTGAGCCCAAGGTTACTAAACACCAAAACCTGAGACAAAACGACCTTATTGAAATACCCTTCGGTAATTTAACAGTTTGCTAGTGAAAATGGCCCATATCAATAGTTGATTTACCCATTAAAAATGGTGGATCTTTCCATAGTTATCTTAGTTTACCAGAGGCTAAACCTTGCCGGATTCGTGTAATGACCCACACAGCCATGGAGAAAAAACACCATGGAGAACCAACAACGGTAAATCCATGATAAACCATCATAAATCATCAATAAACACAGGGGAAAACATGGAAAACAAGTACCTAGAACGGTAAATGGGCCATGGCTTCAAATCGCGGGTCATCGGTCGCTATCACTTGGGCCTCAGGCTGCAACTGGCATGAATTCCAAGAGGCGGAGCCGGCAGAGCCAAGTTCATATTGGGAATATGATGGTAATATGAGACTATGATAGACTGTGTACATAAGGGATGTAACCTGTATTCAGCATGTTCAGAATTTGATCTTGGTTAATGTTTTGATTTTGTGAGCTATTTCTTTTGAATGGATGAGTTGTTGAAAGTTTGATCTCCCGAGGCCGGTTCATAGCAATTCCATGCAATTCCTTTTGGTATACGTATATTTCCATATGTTTCTATGCGTATATTTCCATGTCCAAAGGCTCTCAATTCCATGCATTATCCTCATTTTCGGACAGACCTGGAAAGCGTAGTGTCAGTACTAAATCCCATTATATCCCAATTGATTGTACCCCAATTGATGGTATCCCAATTGCGTATATCCCAGTCGGTTCTATCCCATGCTTAACCCATTAATCATTAAACTGTTTGATATTAATTTGTAGATTTTCAATTTCCAATCATTTTATACATCACCAAATCTATTATGCTGGGATAAACTAACGTAGATGTGGAAAACCTATGGTTTGCCTAGGAAAATCATCTATATAGAAACGATTGATTTCCCGCATCGAACTGTTAGTTTACCCTATAGTAGATCCCAACTTAGTAGTTATTTGTGTACATAGTTTCTAGTAGACAATTACTTTACACCTTTACATTCACTATTGAAATCCTACTGTTCAATCATTTTTCATATACAGTTCATACATAACCAGAACACTTAAAATCCCAACTTCATAGTGAAATCCCCAGCTCAAACAAACCTTTCACATCCAGCCCCTGAAAACCAGGCCGCGAAGTTGGTGCGCTTCCATGGCAACCTCGCCGGCGTGCGGGGGTGACCCAGGGTTTTGGACTTGACGGAAGCCAGTTTTTTTGGGGGGCAAACCATGGTGACGTGTCTTGAAAACAGATGGATATAATTGATATAATTTATAATGTTTTGCCACTCAAAGAGTTCAAGATCAGTGTAACATGCGTTCGATTGTCATTGAAAAAGTGGATTCACAATTGAAAAAAGGTGGTTCAAATGGGTTTTACCAAGAAACATGAACTAAACAAAGTCAAACTAATTATGGGGAAATTAGCTGCTGAACTGTAGTTTAATACAACCTGTTCGGTTTTTTTTTTTTTAATCAGCAAATTAAAGATTGTTTCAACGGATTTCTAAGATGGGTATGTTAAAGCAGTTCCCTGCTCCTTGTGTCAGAAGCCCTGGGTTTAGCACTTGGTCGAACCCAGAGACCGTACGGTATGGAAATGTATGGAGCATTAGCGAGCTGATCTCCATGTTTCTTATATCACATTTGCCCGATATAATCTTTCTTATTGTTATCCACGCATGTACATACATGTGCGACGTTCTTTGTGCATTCGAATGTGCATGTATGTTTATGTGTACAATGGGACCAAAACATGATTCCATATAATATATATATATATTTACACACGCTGACATATATATATAATATAATGTGCAGCATTTGCCTACCCAAAATTCCCCATCTATAGTAACCTACATATATAATATTGGCATGTCCCGTCCATCCGAGCGCCTTAAGGTGGTTGGCCCTGGACGCAGATCTTAGTGGATCCATCTCGTTGAAGGATTTTGCCATGAGATGTGGCCAGTTGAGGTGGAGAAATATGCAAAATGTGGACATCTATGTAAACATATATGGGATAACTATAGTTAATGATAAAAATGATAATTATGATAATCATTATGTGGACACACACATTTCATAATTCTGATCATTATGATAATTTACAAAAAACATACCTAGTGAAATCTGATCTTGGAATCATAAATCATGTCATTAATATACCTAGACCCTCCAATTGCCACCCAAAAAAATGGTGAAAACGAATACATACTGATTTTATGGGGTAAAAAAGACACCATTTTGAATGGTGCAAACGGAGGGTCTAGCTACATATGATTACATATGTATATATATATATATATATGTACACATACATATGATATGGCCTGTTGCTGACCCTCACTGCGAGTGCCGAATAGGGGAACCATGCATCAGAACATGTTACAACTTGTTTTGTTTCAGCATATAAGGACGTATGTGTGTATGTATATGCACATATATATATATATCAAATAACACATGCACTGTGACTACACACATCTCGTAAGCACAAAAAAATACCCCTTGGTAAATTAACATAGACCCTGAAAATCATTTTTTTGTGGAAACTAATCTTTCAACCACTATTTGACAGGGTCTATGTTAATTTACTGGACCAACTATATAGAAAATCACCAACTTATATACATAGAAATGTTATGTTAATGGTGATTTTCTATAGTTTTGTTAATTTATGTATCATTGACATCAACCAACTTCGCTAGTTCGCCGCATGACTCATGACCTGTCCGGTCGTCTCGCTGAATCGCCTCAGGAGATTGATGAGGCCCATGGTGACCTGTTTTGACCATGGAAACCCATGGTGTTGGAGCAGCCCATTTCAAAGAAAAACATAGAACAATAAGCAGTGATATACTTAATGTATATCTAGATGTAATTACTACATGTTCATATCATTTCCCCAGATGATTTGGCTATTGTCCCCATTTTGAAGGCTGTATCTTGAAAAGTATTGCTAGCACTTCATCATCCAGGGTTAACCTGGCGGCCAGCTTGTGGAGGAAGAAACCTTTGTGACATGCTACTGTTCCATCCAGTGATTTCATGGGATTTTCACCATCTATGAGATTTAATGGGACTTGATGATAGTATATGATAGTTACCCCCTGGTAATTTGTTACAGTTTGCTCGTGAAAATGGCCATTGATAGTTGATTTACCTACTAAAAATGGTGATGTTCCACAGCTAGGTTAGTTTGCCAGAGGGTGAGCATGGTATTTCTTCATGTTCTGGGGACCACCAAATGTGGTATGGATGTTAAGTGAAACACTTTGCCAAGTATCCAGGAGGGTTTTGTTGGCAACAACAGAAATGTTGCCAGGATGCCAATGACTGCTTGGTCGAGTTCAAGCAACTTGACACTATTCTGGGGCAACAAGGTAGCAATCCTTGGCTACAGCTTCACTTCACCTAACGTAATCGCAATATATATGTATATATATATATTTGTTTGTGACCTATCATGTTCCCTTTTGTAGTTGTTGCATGCAGGTGTGCGCATATATATATATATAAAAACATGCATCGCGCAACACTCAGAAATAAAGACGTAACGGAACATACCGATGATGGAGAGGAATGAACATGGTTCAAAGTAGTTCATGCTCCCACAATTCATCCATATATGTCCATGTAAATAATTAAAACATCCATATAAGACATGATTATTTATTTACAAAAATAGTGATGTTGCTTCTATAAATCCATGGTTGATGATGAATCACCTGCTTCAAGCATGGTAAGTTTACCTCTATCTTATTTTTTATCTATCTATCTTATTTAATCTAGTCTATATAATCTAAATCTAAATTAATCTAATCCAATCTAGTCTAACCTAATCTGTCTATCTATATATACCATATTCTAATATATTCTACATATTGACCTATATTCTGTCGACATCTTTCCAGGCGAAATGGTTCGAAAAATGACGAGTCCCCGAGTCCCTGGCTCGCCCAGGAAATGGGCAGACGAGGAGTTTGGGGGCGTTCGTTCCGCCTTTAAGGTGTGGAAACCATAGGAAAACCACAGGAAAATCACAGGCACATAGTATGTTTAACCAAGAAACATGGGGCATTTCATGGAATTTTATATAGCTGATGTTTGATGTCAAGTATAGCGAAGTTGGTTAATAACTAGGCGAACTGGAGCTTGTGGTGATTACAATCACAGTTAGATACTGTATGACAGAGCAGCCAACTTATAACCAGGGGGCACCACCATGTACAAAAATTGAATGTGTGTATACTGAGCAATTAATGGCCTTTTCAACGAACTGGCATGTTGGTTCTTAAGTTCTTAAGTATAGTGATGATCTAGAATTCTGCAGGTGCTGGATGCGGATGGCTCGGGTGCCTTGCATTTCAAGGAGTTCAAAGCAGCGTGCAGGACCTGCAGGGCAGAAAACTTCGTGGAATGGAACCTGAAGCTAGGAATTATGGTTGAATTTGGTGGTGAAGTGAAACTTACAATTGCATGTTTTGTCTCAGTCATAAACAAAGCACTTCATTCTACTACGTGCAATTTGGGCCACATTTCAGGCGCTTTCGGTTCCCTCCTTCGCCTTCAGGAACTACGGCTTTCCAGGTGATTGTCGCTTGGCAAAATGTGGGATGCCAAGGCATAGACCCAATTCTGCCGGGTTTTTAACCTACTCAAAGGTGACTTAAGGCAAAAACAAAACTGTCCCAAAGTTTGTTGTATGGATCTGTATAGCCTAAACCCTCTGGTAAACTAACATAACTATGGAAAGATCCACCATTTTTAATGGGTAAACGGGTAAACCAACTATAAATGGCAATTTTCAATAGCAAACTGTTAGTTTACCAGGTATATTGCTAGGAATTGGTTGATCTCCAACATCCATGGTATACACGGAGGGTGTCAGATTGGAACCTGTCCAGAGCTATTGGCCACATTATTTTGGACAGATCACAGACAACATATACTTTACTTATCTTTACTTAGTGTATTTGGTTGCCTCATCAATGATACAACTTCAAAGATGACATTGATAACATGATCATTTCCAACAGCTGCATGTCAACTAAGTAATATTCTCACATTTCAAGTGATCTCTTATGACAATCGCAACGATCTTTCCCCCAACCGCAACCGCAACGTCCAGGTAAGATGCTCTTCCAATGCCTGGATCAGCAAGGCGAAGGGGCACTGCAGCCGCATGAGGTCTTCTTTTTGGACAAGTGGTTGTTGGATGCGCCTCGTTGAGGATGTTGATTTGGAAATGATTTGCCAATGCTAATGCCATGATTTCTGGTAGAAGGTACAGGGGAGGTTTGTGTCGTGCAGCTTTTAACATGGTGGAGTAGCTTGGGATTTAATGGGATGTTTGATGGGATACTCAGTATTATTATTATATATATATATATATATAGTGGGAATTTCATTGTGCGCTGAGTTACTCTAACATGGCTTGCTGGAAAATCATATTAAATATTCATTTAGCCTGATGCTTTTTCAGTTTAGATAGCCATTTAGCGGGGATTTCCCAACCGCATGCTTGATACATGTGATTAGCCGAGGACATATATTGGGTAAACGCTGGTTGAGAAATAGCAACCAACAAAAGATGAGGATTTATATACAACAGGAGCGCAATTAGGGAAGTAAGTAGCAAGAATGGGCAGTTGAACCGACTGGTTGTTCTTGTTTGTAAAACATGTCGTGTTTTCTTGGGCAATAAACGTGGATAAACACTCAATAGCCAGCCAAAAACAAAACTCCTTTGCAGTACAAGAGGTGGGACGATGTGGGGAACTTCGACAGTGGAGCCAGCCTGAGTTTGGAGTGCGAAGGATTCCATTGTCCAATGTGAGTCATGATATGATCATTATCCACAGTTTTTAGTTGATATACAGTTAATAATGGTTAATATGGTTATTATATGTTATTATATGGTTAATGATGGTTAATAATAATTACTGCTTGGTGGTATACCAACCACCCTATAGTTGATAGTCCCATCAACACATCCGTTTATAGTGGATTTCCCATTGCCACGTTTGATGACACCAGAGGGTATGCAAAACCACAAAGGGGCGCCCCCATGTTTTCCACTTCGACTTGCGATCGAAAGCTCAGGATCCTGCGCAGTCTCTTGGTGGAATCATGTGGAATCCTGATTCGCCACAGGTAAGACTTGTTTGATGTTGGCAGGCTTGCGACTTTTGTATTTGAATGTATACTGAATGTATTAGAATATCTTGAAATACTGAATGATACCGAATCATGCTGGGTATAAGCTTGTTCGGGGAGAAGAGCACCAATTATCTCACGATTGCTTGAAATAGGAGGCCAGGGACTGGTTGGTGATGTCGACTCTTTTCGCATTGGATTGGTTTAAGGGAAATCTTGACCCAAAACCATGGTTTTTACCATGAAATATGGGGGTTTCCTGCAAATATTCCCTTACCAATCCAATGATTTTCTCTTTTCCAAGCCACTCTGGGGAGGTTGGAAGCCACCAAGCAGATGACTTCCAATCAGGTATGGCCTGCCAGACCCTGAGGCCTCCAAAGACAAGAGGCGGCCAGCGCACCCTACGTGCTTTAATCTCTGACCGTTTTTTGTTTCTCCCCCTGTGAAATCTGTAAACCAAAAAAAAAGATGATACCTGATACCTCACTAGAAACGTCTAGAAAGCCTTGTTTGTCATTGGATTTGCCTCATTTTGATGCCCCAACAGTTGGAGTGATGTTACTTCACAGCAGGAGCCGGGAGAGGTCAGATATGGTCAGATTGGCTTGGGCAGGCGACTGGATCCGGACGGCGACCGCATGCTGGAATACTTCACAGCCACTTGGCACTGGAGGATCAGATGATCATCCCACAGATCGCCCTGGTGATGAAAAAAACCCTGGTGAGGAAGTCCCCGTGTGGCGAGTTACCCTCTGGTAAATTAACATAGCTATTGAAAATGACCATTTATAGTGGATTTTCCCATTGAAAATTGTGATTTTCCATAGTTATGTTAGTTTACCAGAGAGTATCCGATGTTTCAATGGGGTATAACTATAATGGTACAACGTATGGCTATTAGCCAGTTCCTGAAGTGGGATGATCCTCCAAGGAGCTACTGGTGAGGAATCCCTGTTTTTTATTGGGTATGTGATAGGCGATATGTATAGTAAACCATGTATAACCACTTACCAAGCAGTTAACTACCTCCAGGGCTTATCCAAGTCTTGACTTTGACAGTGGGCTTAGTTTGTATTACTTTGCACCGTTTCATCTTCTTGCCAATTCTAAGGCTAATGGTCCCACCAAAAAAGAAGTCCGAGCCAAGCATTTCTTATATCCAGGGGCCTGAACTGAACATGGTTAGTGGAAATTTGAGGGATGGTAAGCCACAGGTTTTGGTTCCTCCAAAAGAGGTCAACTGTTTTTTTAACTTTTAAAGGGTGTAGCTTGGCAAGATTCCCCGTAAAGAAATCCCAGAGTCCCAGAGCTCCCCTTTCTGGGTAAACCTTAACCGCACATACGAATAATGCCATGCTGCGTGAAACGGGCGACTTGTTTTTGTTTTGAGCCATGACGAAGAAACCACGAGAACCCCAAATAACCCGCAATCTTCTGACAATCAATGCAATAAACAATGGATCCGAAAATGACGAGGGCCAAAGCTAAGCCAAGGGTTTCTGAAGGGTAGTTCATATTAATTACTTCATATTTATATAGGGGGGTGAAGGGGGTTAGCAGGCCAGGATTTTTGTTATTTGAGGATACGCCTGGCCCTGGGCACTACAAGTTGCCTGAGAGCATGGCACAGAAGGACCACTGTCCCACTGCCAGGCCAGGCACTGCCCTATGGCTAGATTCGTCGGTTTACAACGTCCAACAACTAAGATAACTAAGGTTTATGGTAGACATAGTTGTAGTTGCTGTGGTTTATTCACCAACAAAAACCAACATATGCTGTAACTGGGGGGGCGGCATCTTGTACCATCAATACGCGTTTCCATTAGATGTTCCCGTTCGTCCAATTCCGCTAGTTACTAGTTAGTTCAGCACCATGGAGCAGCCAGTAAGTATACCATCGTATTCATTGAATCTAAGGAAAGTGAGCCACAAAAAGATAGAAACCGTATTTTCACCAGTATTTAAAGATTGGACTTTACCAAAATATGTTTCTATCAATCATTTTAAATCCCATTTAAATGTACCATACTTGGTGGTTGAATTCCATAAAACTTCACTGGTTGGTGGTTTGGAACATTTTTTATTTTTCCATATATTGGGAATAGTACCCCCCAACTGACTAATATTTTTCAGAGGGGTTGAAACCACCAACCAGTTCACCATGAAATCTCACCATAACAACAGTAACAATAACATACAATAACAATAGTTTCAAATCTCCCGTTTCCCCTGGCTCAGCGGCCCGTTTTTTGCTACGCCAGATACTGCGGAGCCTTCACCATGCAAGGCCGTCAGGCGCTGTATCTGGGCCATCACAGGCACTCCCACGTGAGCGCCTTGGCATTGTGGCAAAATCATGGGAAACGCATTTATTAATTTGAAGAATATGGGCAGATCATGGGAATATCATAAGTCATAAGATATTTTGGGGAAATGATGTCATTTGTATTGGTTGAAGGGAACATTAGAATCGGAAACCCATGGAAACTTCATAGGAAAAAACATGGTTTCCCGTTAAACCAATCCATTGACCATGAAGTTTGCCAACTTAGGAACCCTATGTTTTTGGGGCTTGGTATGTTGCGTGGATGATAAGTTTGTTTTTTTCCTCAGCCAGCCATCAAAGTGGTGACATCAACTACGGTGTGATATGAGGCAGTGAACATGGCAGTGGTGTTGTACTTCCATGCTGTTTTCAGTTCCTTTTCAGGTATGAGGTCGATTTCTGTTTTTTTTTTTCTAGCCCATAAGTTGCTCGCCACAAATTGTTGATTTCTATTTTTGAAATACCATTGTTTGTTGGAAAACACAGATCGGGAGCATTTCCTGGAGTTGCTGAAGCTGAGTCTTTTGTTCCCAAGTGCCGAATCCACCATTTGAGGAATCTAGTGGAGCTATCTATTATCAGATGGCAATGGAGAGAGAGAGAGAGAGAGAGAGAAAGGGGAAATCTTTGGACATACCCTTTGGTTATTTAACATAGCTATGGAAAATGTTCCATTTTTATCCATTTTTTAGACTGACTATTAATATGGTGATTTTCCCATAGCTATGTTAAATTACCAAAGGGTATTTGATTTGGTGCCAAGGATTTGTTTCATGGTAGGCCAGTTAGCTCGCTTCCTCGCCTGAGGCCCTGCCAAGTATTCCCCTTCCCTGAAAGCCACGGCACGGCGACAACCAGTACCTTGACGATCCTTGACGCCATGTCACATCCAACTGGGAAGTAAACCATAGTAAACCCATCCATTTGCCATGGTTTTACTATCCATTTGGGTTTACTATGGTTTACTATGGTTTACTTCCCAGTGGCATGATTTTTACCATCCATTTACAATGATGTCATAGTGAACTTACCATTTGGGAATGATGTTACCATCCATTTACAATGAACTGGGAATGGTTTACTGGGTTTACCACATAATGTGTTTTTTTCAGGCAATCATTAGGCTTGCGTTGATTGCCTTAGCTCCTGGAAGATGAACATCAGCCTCGAGTTTGTCATCATCCCACTCAATTTATGTCAACCCCCACCAGGATCATCCCAGGATGTATGATATGTATGCATATCCCCAGGTACATGGTCTAGAATCCAGTTTTTCGGAAGAAACACACACAGATATACGCACACACACACACACATATATATATATATATACATACTAGATTTTGTTATTTATATCCGCCCAAGATTAGACACCCGTGAGTGCATGGTCCCAAATATGTGGTTTCATCCCTCACAACCACCATGGTTTCTGGGGGGTGAGGCGGTGTTCAACATGAACTGTGGGTGGGATAATGATCATCCGTAGTATGTTGGAGATGTTGGAGTAAGCCAGTCTGCCTAACTGGTTCTAAATATATTGAATTCTGGGGAGTGTTTAACAATCAAACATTGGGATTTTATGGGGTTTGAATGGGATTTCAAGCCATATCCGGAGATATCTCCAAGCCAGGCCTACACCTTCTCGCGGCCCAAGTCCGCCGCCCCGAAGCTCAGCGGAGCTCACAGTCCAGCGAGTCCCACGGTGGTCAGCAAGCGACGCCAGAGCCGATGCAGGGGGAACCCAGAGGCGATGTTCCAGGCCATGGGATAATGTGATAAACCCAAGGCCATAAACATCCATAAAACTATTCCCAAGGTCATGATTAGGTTATGATTTTATATGATTTTTATGAATTTTGGTTGGTTTATCTTATTGGGTTTGCTGCAAAAAAATGGTATCTAGAATGATTTTTTAAAAAAGGACTGGGGCTAGACGCGGCTAGACTACAACTTAGCAACAATAATGCAATGTATATTTGGATTTGGGTACCTGGGTGCCTCTAAAAGCAGTGTACATCCTGGCAGTTCCGCCTTTTGTCTAGGGGAAAGTGATGGAACATGATACAGGGTGCTGAATTCTCGCAAGTGAGAAGACCACCATTTGGGGAATCATGGGGAATCTAATCTATGGATATCTATGGGGAATATTCAGTTGCGGTGCCATCTTTCAGAAATCCAAGTTTTCTGGGTGACATCGACCACTCTGTGTTGAGATGATTTGAATGTGGAAGCACAGCGAGCAAACATTATCCAGATTGACTCGCGCATACTTTTTTATTTGGCCTATTGTGGTTCCTTATTCTCGGATCGTGCGGAGTGGCTAGCACTCCATCGTGCATGCAATTCACGTTTTACTAAGCCAGCTACTAAGCCATTGCTTCAGCGTCTAATATTCTCTCGATTGCTCTTGCTATGTCACCACGGGGGGTCCCCGGGTTAGTTCCTGTGGGACTTTCCTCCTGTCCAAATCCAAGGACACTGCTGACACTGCTACGTTTTTTTTTTAAATATGTTTGATTCTATTTGATGTTCCAAAACTGTTTGAGACGATGATTCCAGTTGATTTTTTTGGGGTGGCTCAACTAAAAAATGGATTCTTCGCTAGAAAAACAACGAAGAAATCTCGCTGATATTCACCATGATCTCCGTGCTCAATCTCTATTTTGGTGAATTTGGGTGAGAAATGATCATTCTGATAATCTGAGGTAATCTGAGTAAACACCACCTAGCCCCTCCAGATACCTCCGACAACTGGTAAAAGTATTCAAATATAATCACACACACACATATATACATATATATATATATACAAAATTGGATAAAACACAATTTTTCATGGTACTTGGATGGTCTAGGCAGATTTAAGACACATCTTGATCCACTAAAACCGCCGTGGTTCAAGCTGCTGCGTCCCGGCGTGCTGCCCTTGCCGTGCCCTTGAGGCCTTGAGGCCCAAATCCATGGGATTCAGTTGATTTCAGCGGGTTTTTGTTGGCCTCAGTTTTATGATAACTCCAGGATGATTATCAAAAACATATGATAGTGCACAATATTAATATTATTAATGTAGCTTCTTACACACATTATTAATATATTTTCCAAATTGATTTTTTTTTTGTATTCCGATTTCGCATTTTTGCATGTGTGTATCACCTATTGTTTGTTGATTTGCACATTATGAATAATACATGTTTACTGGATAATGGTTTATTTGTACGTTCATGTACGTTCTTTTTGTTGGTGATCATTGGGATTACCCCTAATTGGCTGAAGAGCACATTTACAGGAACCCCTTCGTATGTGGTGATAAAAGCAATCCTTTTCTGTCAATTTCTGCTGAAACAGATCCATTAATTATGATTCAAAACATTGCCTAACAAATTTAAATCATATAAGCATGCTCCGAGGGCCATTGTTTCAATCAAGCCTACATGTGCCTTCAACTGAAATAGGTTTCCATGCACTTTCAGGATATGTTACTGTTACTGTAAGTTAACAGAAAATTATATCCGAACAGATGCTGAAATAGGTTTCCATGAACATTCAGATATATAAGATAAGAAGACTACATAATTAAACAATTATTGAAATATTTTATTTGCGAAAAGTTTTTTTAAGGTGTCAAACAAAACAAAACTTACGGAACTCCGGCAGGATGTAAGATATATCCAGTAATGTGGGTAAACCATTAATAAACCACCCATGCGGGAATGGTAACCATATACCACCGATAAAAATGGTAATGACTGGGGGATGATTTTTTATTATTGTTTTACTCGCCAAAAAAAACATTAACTATCAGTAACCATCATTAACCATCATTTATCAACCATTATGAGCCTTCATTAACTAGCCACATTATAAACCACATGTTATATCAACCATTATGAGCCATCATTAACTAAAGTAACTAAACACATGATAAACCACATGTTAATGATGGTTACTGATATGAATTAACCATTAAGATCTGAATGTTCATTCCGTTTCAGACATCAGCGAGGTCATGGACAGCCTAGATCCGGGCGTGTCGCTGTTGTCGGAAGACAGCAACGTGGGCCTCGGTGTCTCGGTGGAAAAACATGGAAAAACTATAGCTTTTTGAATGGAAATTCATGGAAATTGATGGGGAAAGCATATAAATATGATGGGAATTATTGGGAATTGATCTTTGGAAATTGATGGGAATGATGGAGAAGTGTTTTTTTTTTCTAGGCAATTCATGGAAGTTCATGGAAAGCGGAAATTAATTGGCATTGATGGGATAATGGGTGTCACAAGTGTTTGAATTAGGAGGTGGTGGTTCGGAGCTATGGTTTTAGCTATGGTTTTCTGAGGGCGGTTCGGAGCTATGGTTTTAGCTATGGTTTTCCATACTCCCAGTTCTTTATTGGGCACCAAGGAGCTAGCCATCAAAAATTGGACATTGGAATACTGGGAATTAATGGGAAGATCTACCCTCTGGTTATGACTAACAGTTCGCCACGGAAAATCCACCCATTTTTAATATATAGGTAAACCATCTATAAATGGGCCATCTATACCAGAGGGTATAACCACTGAATAATATCATTATTTCCGTTTCGGACGGTATTGTAAGGCCAATACAATATGGTGAAAGATGGTGAACTTGTGAGTTGAACCCCGAATCATACTGCACAAAACCGGCTTTGATCCCTAGGGTTTGGGAATGGGTTAATTGATACTGTATAACTTGTATAGTGCAATCTATGGCTATAGTGAGCTGAGATGAGCAAAGTGGTTCCCCTCCACCAAAATTCCATCAAAATCGCGGAGTTCGCACCCGAACAGTGGATTGAACCAGCCAGTAGCCACTGAGAATCGTGCAATGATGGTATGTCACCCTATTCATCCAGACCCAGTCACCCCAATGGCCCCAATTCCCTATGTTACCAGCATTGAAGATGGTATTTTTCCTTGTCTCGTACTTGAAGATGATTTATATTTATGACTCATATGACTAATCATTACGTTATTTAATGGATTGGTTTAAGGGAAAATTTACAGGAAAACCCCATATTTGATGGGAGAATCTATGGTTTCCTGTAGATTTCCCCTTAAACCAATCCATTGAGTTATAGATTGTATCCCCATTTGCCTCCTCTATTGGCCTGTATCCCTGTTTTATCCCCGGCCAGAACAAACAATCCCTCCAAGGCCGTCCCATACCGACTGAGACGGTCACTGGCAGAAATAGATGTGGGTATGCTTCATGGTTCACTTACTGTCAATGGATGTAGAATGCCCACGGGAAAATGCGCATTGCTTGGAGTGAACATGCATACGCCAATGTTTTTGGGCGGAATGACTCAGCAGAGTGTCCTAGTATCTTCAAGCAAGGCATGGGATTTTGCTTCATGCATGTACCTAAGCAGGAGATATTGTGCCATACATGGTCAGGACTTGTAGGCCGATGCGGATGGTATATCCTAGGTACCTCCAATTCAGGTACTGGAATTGGGCAAAGCCTACTTCACCCCTGTTGGTTGATGGTCGTATGGGCTTATAATACCTGATTTGACGGGGTTTACATACTATATTACTGTAACTATTTTACAATCCAATATAACGTATTGAATGCCCTCTGAACCAGTTGTGATCAATTACATCTACCCTGTATTATCGAATTTGACGAATATCAAACTAGACCAACCAAGAGTCAAATCCAATATCGACCAATCATTCAATTATCCAATCTTTTTGATGCAATGCAAGCACGGCCGGTGTTATACAGGAGCAATGCGTGTTTTTGCTCTATCAAGTTACGTTAGAGTTCCAGAATTAGCCAATATCAGCCAGAAAATCTACCAGTAATCATTATAGTAACCACATTGGTTGGTACTGTAATATGGTAAACCGCATGATCAGCCACCTCTCTAATTGACCCCCAGACATGGCCTAAACCATTTGAGTTGGATGCAACTGCAGCTTTATTTATGTGGTATGGTTCACATGAAGCTTTCAATGTTTTCCTACACATAGCCAGCTATTACCCACAGGATTTTCCACCTTCCTGACTCCGACTTCATCCAAGATTCGAATCCAAAAAATGCACGCAATATCCACCTACTCCATGTTTTTGATGTGTGATAAGACCAGTGAATATGATTCCAATCGATTTGATCAGCACCAATTCATCAAATATTCCCAATGATTCCGATTATTCCAAGTTTGATGATTCCAACATATTCCAACTATTCCACAACCTTGCCCTGTACATAAAAATCAAGCAAATCCATCACTGTCCCTTGGTTTGTTCCTGGATATGTTTAAGGGGTTTCACGGAAATTCAAGATGCCCCAGAATCTGGTCTCCAGTGAATTGTCCTGGAAATTGCACTAGCTTGCTATATCCCCTATCATACCGTTATTTGCACCAACTTAGCTATTATCAGTCAGCTATAATTTCCATGAAATCTTCATGGGGATTCGTCGCCATTTTCCCGGGTTTCCTATGGTTTTCCCATGGTTTTCCTATGGTTTTCCTATGGTTTTCCCATGGGTTTCCCTATGGGTTTCCCTATGGGTTTCCCATGGGGCCTCACCTGGAGGAGTTCGAACGCCTCTTGGAGGACTCGGTGGAGATGGAGACGCAGCACCTGGCGCCAAGCTCCCCCGAACTCGCCACTGGGGCCACGGCGCAGGTCGTGAGGCGCCGGATGGGCGGAGGAGTGGAGGATGCTTCAATGGGATTGAGTGGGACTGGGACTACTGGGACTTTTCTTGGGGTTCTAATTAGGTTTGGGATTTAACACTAAGCAATGAGATAATGGGGATACAATCTCGATAAATCGTGTTGCGGCCTCACTGCGACGTCACAGTAATGGTCAGGATTTTGATGACCATCGCCAAGCGGCCGACCTTTTCTGGTGGGGGATTCTTCAAATTCATTTCCAGTCTCGTGAAACTTGTTTATGTTTTTTCCCTCATGGATCTCTCCATATTTCTCCTGTTTTTTTCATGGGTTTGCGTTTTTTATCGTTTTTTTATATCTAGTGCTGGGTTTCCAATCATGATTGAAGATTTACATATTGGTGATTCCCAGATTTTCGTTTCGGGGTACGTCCCAGAGCTGTGCGTTCTTAATAATCCTGGAAGTTGGGATGAATGATCTGATTAAGGCTAGTCACTGCAGGTTGGCAATCCCTATCCCCCAACAACCGGGCCCCCAAAACATGAAGAGATCCAATACTGAACCAGTAACCAGCGGTATGTCGAGGAAAGATATCAGATTTTGGGAGAACGGCTCTCCATCTCGGCATTTTGGAGCCAGAGCTGGCCTCCAACTTGCTGGGTTCGAAGGCAGTCTTTCCCCAATCTCCCAGCACTGCTTCCTCAGTCCGGTGGGAGTTCTTCCAGATGCTTCCAGCACAAGCCGAACGGTGCTGCAAGGATGGGATACCAGGGGGCGGCAGGGGGAGTTTTGGGGCAGGTAGCATGTTGTAGCGATATTAATTCGATTAAGATGGTTGTTAAATGGAACAATTGTGGAGCTAGACTGGCGTTTGGGTCTACATGGTGTCATTTCAGGTTTGAATAGAATCAGAATCATTCAACTTTAGCATTTAAAAGTTTTGAATGACAAGTTGAAAAATCGAGAATGAGGACTTAAACTATAGGTCCCTTTGAGGTTTTCTCGAATGAGTCGTTGCTTTCCATTGCTGCCATCGATGTTTCGCCAGGTTCCGGGAAGGTCCAGGCTGGAACAGCTGTCAATTCTGGGTCCAGTTAGAAGTTGCGTTTTACAGAGCCATTCATTATAGACTATAGTGACTATAGGTGTATCATGATGTATCCCAAAAAAAAACATAGCTATCCATAGTTAATGTATGTTAATGTTGACCTCTGATTAAAATGTTCGCCTTCAACACCTCTAAATAAAAGTTAAGTTCAGGAAAAAAAAACGATGGATTTTAGTTTTCAAAATGGTATTGGCAATATGTTATCCGGGACACATATAGTTGGAGATTTGAGTTGTTTCTTTTTGTTTTTGATTGACGTTTGTCGTGAAAACAGTGTTGACAATCATTAGTTCACGATATTGATTAGACAAATAATTATATAGAGCTTTGCTTAATAACCCCCATCCTTTCCCCAACCTGCCCACCCACACTTGCTTATAAGGTGCAGTGATCACTTTATATGGGGATGATCATTGTTTTGGAGCTTTTAGTGCGTCCAAAGCGTCAGGCAGTTTTTTTTTCCTCTGGATATTCAAGAACTTTAAATAGGGGTGATCAAAATCCAATGTCATTTTTTTTTTTTGGGGGGGGGGGTGTTGGGTGTTGGGGGTTGGGGGGGCAGTTGGTTAGCTTTACTCAGTTTTTAGTTTAGGCAGTTAGTTGGCTTTAGTTAGGATAGTTTACTAATCAGAGGTCAACATTATACAGTATACACAAATTCCTATAAAGCAACGTGGCTATCGTTTGAGGGCCTCAAGTTGTAAAAGACGTTTTGGCACAGCTTCGCAACGCATTTACATAAGAATCATTTCATGTCTTGTCGCTTGCAAAACTAGGCACAACATACCGAAGAAAACCAATTACCCTCTGGTAAACTAACATAACTATGGAAAATCACAATTTTTAATGGGAAAACTCACTATATAAATGGCCATTAGTGTGGATGATTTTTCCCCCACCTTGCAGGATTCAACGGTTGTAGAACTGCCATGCGGGAAACCCACCCTTTTTTTTGACCAGGCCCAAGACTCCTGGGCCATGGTGGGGCTGTCCGGACGTCTGGAAGACTTGTGCCGCGACTTGCGGCGAAGCGTGGAGTCGCCTGGCCGGGTGGAAGCCTGGGAAAAGTCACTGTGTGTGTCCAAAAAAAAAGTGGTGCACCCGCAAAAGATCTTCAGAATTTGATGCTCCTTTTCATCATGAGCCCTGTTTTTGTAGGGGCTAGTTGATGATGACTTGAGATTGTCATCGTTTTTGCCTGTGCCCCATATGTGGGCCCATACTGAGTTGTGGACCCCACTGGCCCAGTTTTTGGGTGAATCACTTACAGCCAGCGGTGTGCATTTCCCAAGATTAAAGACACCCTAGAAACCATGGTTAAGTAGCGGATTTACACATGTTTTTGATCATTTAGGGGTGTTTAATATTCGGAGGATAGGATTACTTGAACTCAACAAAAGAAGATATTTTACGTGAACCGATTCTATTTGTTTGGTGCTCTTCTAATTTTCTGGACGCAATGAACTGCTTAGATGCGCCATCAACTTAGCTAGCTACTTAGTACGTTGGTATCATTTTCTAGTAGTACTGTATCTATCAAGGATACTATGGTTACAAGTCATGATATACAAAACTCATAGATAACCCATGCACAGATTAAGTGACATTAGTTAAAGGATGAGCACCGGGCAAAGGCGCCCATCGAAACGTGCACTGAGCTGGTGGCCGTTGGCTCAGCACCATGGATCCAACGGCCTTCCTCGCGGTGCAGCGGCCGAGCCCACCATGTGGCCATGGCGGGCGGTGGCGAAAGAGCGGGGCAGCCGCGCAGAAAAAGGCAGGACATGGCGGTGATTAGGAGGGGAAGATCTGGGAAGATGAAGTCATACATGAATAAACAATATATTGCATAATATGTGTGCATATATATATAATATAATTACATGTATATTACTTTGTTTTGTTTGGTTTTGTTGCTCAGAATATATTGATTATGGCTTTGTTAATTACTAGTTTTTTATTCATTTGTAAATCATGGTTGTGATTATCATTATGTCATATTACTATATAATGTTATGGTTTATTGGTGTTAACTTATTAAAAATTGAATTATCTCATATTATATGTGGTGTATTGTGGTGTATCAATTTTAAGTACTTTAGTAGTTGCAATGATAGTAGTCGTTGTTATGCTGGTTCACCTGTTATTCTTGTGCAAGTTGCCGTTTTTTTTGGCGCCAATGTACACAAAGACTTGTGGATAGTTCAACTTTGTTTCCGATTGTCCCCACGCTGAAGTATTTGGACGATCTCACTATCTAATTTGCGACGTGATGATGTTCCTATTCTTATTTTTTTGACGTCCCAGCTTTGAATCCAATCTACATGCTGTATATATCTGTATATGCTGACATGTGAAGAGGGAAGGAAGAGAGGGCGAGAGAGAGAGAGAGAGAGAGACAGAGAGAGAGAGAGATAAAAAAGACAACTTTAGACTTTAGCCTCAAATTTCATGAAAATGCCAGTCCAACCTTATTGAACTCCCATTTCAGCCTTAAGTCCCATGAAAACCCCATTCAAACCCTATTGAACTACCATTTCAATCCTAGATTTGATGCAGTTTTTGACAACTCGTCCCATTTCGGCCCTGGCAGGCCCTGGACTTCCGCCCCCTCGGCGCTACTGCCGCGCTGACCGCTGCCCTTAGCGCCGGCCGCCGGAGCCCGCGCACTTCGCGGGCGCGACCGGCGCAGGCGCAACGACAAGAAACCCTGCTGCGAGAGGATCTGGACGTGCCGTGGCTTCAGTTTGCCACTTCCAGATGGTGATGGAGAGATTAAGAGCCTGCAAATTATCCATAAATGGTGAGCCCAGAAGCTCAGAGTTTCCCCCCAACTAGAGAGGGAAGGGGATAATTAGTGTTGACCTATATGATTATAAAACATATTAAAACCCAAACAATAAAAGAGTCGGAATAAGGTTGGAGGCCAAACAATGGCCTGGGTCCCTGAAAATGTTCCAGACTTAAGCGGCACCGAAGAAAATGCCCAAATTGAAAACGAAAACAGAAGTGAATCACAAGTGTTTTTTTGTTTTCATTTTAATATTCCCGAATGAATTGCGTAATTGACAACGAATGATAACGAATGCAAAAGTGGATGCTTCTGCCATTTAAGTATTTCCAAATGAAAAGAAAGGAAACACATCCCCAAAACCGGTTGGAGGCGCAAGGCGCATTTTGGTAATGTGGGAGTTTAATTGATCTATATTAATCTATCCCTGCGGCATGGGGGTGTATTAATCGTAAGTGAACACGAATAATATATCATGAATTATCATGATACAATTGAACCACCCTGTAAGCTTACAGGGATCGGATAAGATTCGAATTTACCCGTCGGTGTCAGGCCGATGGGCCAAGGGACGCCACGGACGTGACGGAGGCCACGGACTCCGGACGGGAGATGGCGGAAAGTTCCAGTGTCATCAAGCCGAAGACAACCAACACGCGGATTTTGGAGCTCTGGTGCCTTGCCATGTCGACCTATAGACCTTCCAAATACCCCACAAAATGGTAAAATAATGAATTATAGGGTAGAACTCCGTATTTGATATTGTTTGCAAGCGTGCGAACGGAGAGTCTCTGAACTCAAAAGAAACGTGAGAAAGTGGCAAGGGTGGCTTGATGTTGAGCCGATTTTATGCAAGTCCTTTTTTTGGGGGGCGGGGTGCATGGTTTGGATAAGTTGAGATGTTATCTTGTTTCCTTTTGCCCATTTGGATGGAATAGTTTGTAGGCGTTTGTAGTCATGGTGAGAGAGGAAGTTGTGTGACTTGTTCTCGCACTTTGTTCAATAGAATTTGGGCACTTTAGTCGACCCTGATTGGTTGTTTGAAAACGGGATATGAGATGATGATATACTCCAAGTGTTTGCTCACAGTTGACTAGATTGTGGGGGTCATCCTAGAAAGAGTGGAAACATGGGAATGAGTCAACATGTAAGGGCTTCTAAGGTTATTGTTCATTGTATGAAGCTTCAATTTTCTTGAGGTGCCCAATTCTGGCCCTTTGGCCGCTGATATAGCTGACCATACGACTGGTTAATACAGATGCCAATTATGGATAAGAATGCCAATGCTTCTCAGAATCATCATTTTTTAAGATCATCATCTCTTTGCATGATTGCATTTTGTGAATAATCACTTGGATTTTTCGCCACGGCCAAGGAACTTCAAGGAAGTGAGGAAATCATTAAGTAACCCCGGTTAATCAGGAGTCGAACCGGGGTTGTCCCATTTATTTTTGCGTAGCACTTCCCATTTACCAACTTGGCCAGTTGATGGTTAATCCCCAACATACGCAATTCTTCATGATTATAGTCCCAAATCTTCATGTTGGTTATTTTTTCTTAGCCCCAACACATACCCATGAAAAAATAGTACCCATAAATCTCATTGAATCTCCATGATCTCCTATTAACAATTCCATGTTTGATGCTTTCTCATCCAAGGCCAGGTATTTCCGATGCGTTGGTGGACTTTGGTGGTCTTCCAATCCCACAAAGCTGCTGGGATTTTCCAAGGGAAGTTGCGGGTTTTGTCCCTGGAACCAAACATGGCCCGAGCCGGGAAATCCATTTCAAAGGGTGAATATATGGTAATGTATGGTAATATACGGTAATATTATATGGTAATATATGGTAATTCCATTTTAAACTGGAACATCATGTGAATAAACATGGTAATATATGTGAATGAAGTTGCCATGTTATTGATTTGACGTTTGCTATTCCTCTATAATTAGTACATCGTAGGACCGTAGGACCCCCTTGTTTGATCTGACCAAATGGTAATGATTTCGAACTGGATGGTTGCTACAAGGTGGCGCCCCTGAGTTCTAAGTTGGTGAATTCTCCCACACTAGTGACATATACCATCTGGTTATTTGAATTTATTCAACATAGCCATGGAAAATTGCCCATTTCTAGATGGTTTACCTATTATAAATGGTGATTTTCCATAGCTATGTTTAAAAACCAGATGGTACATATACTGGTTGGTGGTTTGGAACATGAATTTTATGACTTTCCATATGTTGGGAATGTCATCATCCCAACTGATTTTCATATTTTTCAGAGGGGTAGGTCAACCACCAACCAGATGGTTTATGGCAAAATCTGTGAGGACTCAAATTTTTTCTGCGCCTGGGATGAACTGTGACTTTGGGATACTCCCGGTGTGGGATTACTTTTTTATAATCAATGGGAGATCTCCAGGATCCTAAAATGGAGGTACGTTAGTACCATATAAGGCCATATTGTGTGGGGATTGTGTGGGGAATGTGTGGGGATATTCCCTGAAATTTAGGCCTTACATAGGCCTTACATAGGCCTTATGTATGGTAGGTACCTCCAATTTGGGATCCTGAAATGGCCATTGATATAACCACATCCAATTACTATATATTTTTAACTATTTGTAGTTATGAAAGTATATAAAAGTTGGGTCTAACATGGATCACGTCCAATACTTCTGGAAAAAATAAAAACAAGTTGGTTGACTAAGCCAGCTACATTATTTCAGCACCATAAATGCACCGTTCTTGTAAGATCTCAGGATTGGCCGATGCCTTGACGGAGCGAGGCATTGTAAGCCCCTCGCCCATCCAGCAGCTGGTCATGCCCAAGTTGGCTCAGGGTTGCTTGGCGACGGAACGATGCATAGGATTATACTACTGTACAGGTATATTACCCTCTGGTAAACTAACATAGCTATTGAAAATGGCCATTTATAGTGGATTTTCCCATGAAAAATAGTGATTTTCCATAGCTATGTTAGTTTACCAGAGGGTATGTGGTATGTATATGGTGCATCCATGTTTTTCAGCGTAATGGGGATGCTTCAGACAAATCCATTCTCTTACCCCACTCAAATGGACCATGGAGATGGCAAATCATATTATAGTTATGAAATTGATTGTATATATATATTTCATCAAAATATCGACTCACAAAATTGGCAACATTTCGCATGGCCCAGCCATTCCCTCCTCGGAGCCGCAGGTGAGCATATCATCGTCCATGCGCCCACCGGGGGTGGGAAGACCTTGGCCTATCTCCTGCCGATGCTGGCGAGACTTCAGCTGCTTGGGCCAACTGGGGAATCCACAAATGAAATATTATATATGGAGGGTTTTAATGTGTTTCAATAGGAACATCCATGGAAAATCAACTATAAATCAATTTTGTGGATTTTCCATTGCCATGTTTGATTGCCAGAGGATTTTAGGGATTCTACAGGATGGTGCCCCACAGTTATAAGTTGGTTTATAAACCCCATGAACTATAGTTATATCTTCCAAAAACCATAGAATTCAGCCACTTATAAGGCAACTAAACGCTATCTTGGGGGCCCCATCCTGTAAAAACTATTAAGCATCAACCATTAAGGATTAACCATTGCAATTTTGATGGGAGGAATGAGGTTCCAAGCATCAGATTTGGGGGTCCCCGGGTCCCCATGCTACCCTGTTGCTGGATATTCTTGGACGAAGCCATGTTTGTATATGTTTGTGATTTTTAATATTTAGTACATTTTTTCAGTTTTTGATCCGCAACACCGAGCAACTCAGCATGCAAACAGGCCGACCGAGCCAGCACGTTATAGGTCCGTGGACGATCCCCAAATTCGGAGACGTTTTTTTTGGCGGGGGGCTACTACTTAATATGTGTACATATGTCAGTATATGTTTGTGTGTGGGTATTGATGTGCTTATGTGTTTGCAAAGCATCATCCTTGTTTGTATGATAATGTATGCAAATATGTATTGCCCAATTCCAGCCACATTCATATCTGGTACACTGCGTGCTAGGTTAGATACTCGTGGTTGGTTGGTCACACTCGGCTACTTAATAATGCCAACTTTGAAGCATTAATTCGTTTACATTAGATCACATTAGTCACTATTGATTCTTTGGCGGTTAGGAGCGGTTCGGAGCTGAGGACATCCACAATCCCTGCAAGAAGGGGAAGCCCACCACCTAAGAGTTTCTTAACAACATGACAGATGTCCGTTGACGGTTACAACATGGAACCCCAAACATTTGGACAGCAAGGTTGCTTGACTCTATATGCTAGCGACTAGCGATGAATCCCGTAACAAACGATTGGAGCTGGAATTCCTCATTGGATTCCGCAAAGGCCGACGATGCACGTGGGAGTGCAGGCCTTGATTTTTGTGCCTACGCCCGAGTTGGCGTTACAGGTGACTTGGATGGAGGTGGGAGGTGTTTTTTTCATGGGAAATGCTTATATAGTAAAGCAAAAAAGTGGGCCTCCCCAATGATATCATGCATGGGTGTATAAACCATCACTATTGGTGGTTTCGAATTGCTTTACCAACATGCTTTACCAACATGAAGCCATTACAATCCATCAGATAACCCATTAATCCAATCAACCAACTGAAAATCCATGAAAATCCATTGAAATGTGTCATACAGTCCATTGAAATCCACTGATAAAAGCAACGCCGAAAGAATAGACTGTTTACTTCGATGATTTTCCCAGCTAGAAACATGAAACCTCCATTGAGTTTGTGGGACTTTCCAGCTAGCCGTGTTTGATTACCAGAAGGTATATGACCATAAATTATGTATAAAGAGATATAAATATATATATAAATATATATATACAGTACGTGTGGTTTGATGTACGTAGGTATTCTTCTTGAATTTAGTGACGGAGTGACGATGAATTTAATCAATACATACATGTTGCAGAATATGTGCGTTGGCATTTGTCATTGTTTATCAAGTTTGTATTCGAAGATTGAGTTGGTAATGTATATTCCAACATATTGACCCTACATATTGTTGTCGTAATTGAGCGCAGTGCTTTCTCACACATATGTTCTTCAAGGACAGTTTACTTTGGATAGTTTGTCCAACTATGGGATGTGGGAATCCGACTTATCTTCAGCAAATCGTGGTTACGATTAAGAAGAGGTGACTGAGGTGACTCAACCAGTGGATCCAACGGGGCTGCAGCTCCGGTTAGAGGAGGTGAACTCACTATGGTGCAGCCACAAGTCGTCACCATTTCGCTCAGGTAGGAAGGGAGCTGAAATGGCTCTTCTATGTGTTTCCTGGTGGCAGGTTTCATGGAAAAGGCAGGGATGAAGCTTCCAACCTGATGAGCATGTTTAACACGTTTGGAATGTTTCGCACATTTCAAATGGGTTTGATTTTCTGCAGGCCACAAAGTCCCCTCAAGAATTTTGAGGTTGGGAGACTCTCAGAGAGCGAACATAAACAGTTTTACCTGTGTCGATCGGCCGGTCATGAGAAACTTGCGGATAACAATGCTTCACGCATCAGATCAGGCAGTTTTGGAGAATTGCCATTCCAAGAAGGTGTGGGTGTTTATATCAGTTTACATATTCATATTACTATGCCATTATCGTACATTTTATGTCATACAAAGACACAGGTATGCTTTTATGTCACTCATGTCTTTCTCCTGGGGTTGAAACTATATATATACATATATGTAACTATATATGTAAATTATATGTTTCGTGAGGCCACAAACTGCTGGTGTGTAAAAGAAGTGGAAGAAATTTCAGGGCAAACGGATCATCATAGTGAAATCCCATCTCTGAGTCTCGGGGATGTAATTAGACTCCTCCAGGTCTTTTTGTATTTGGATACCCATGATACCCTCCGGTAAACATACAACAAACTATGGAAAATCATGGAAAATCACGATTTTTCATGGGTAAATTCACGATTTCTACGGGCCATGGCCGCTGCCTGCAGCTGCTTAACGCTGAGGCTCTCGGGCGGTGCGGACGCCATGTGTTGGTTCAACCCTCAAGTTCCGCAAGAGATTGCCTGTCAGGTTGGGACAGGGAGCGGCTGTACTTCGATGGGTCAGAACGGATGGGATAAGCTATTTATATCTGGTTGGTGGTTTGGAACATTTATTTTCCATAATATATTGGATAATCCTTCCCATTGACTAATATTTTTCAAGATTGTTAAAGCCACCAACCAGGTATCTATTTAATCCCTTCCTCCTAATACTAAACCCCCCCCCTAATACAAAACACGGCAGGTAGTTTTTAGTATTAGGGGGGTATTTATTATTAGGGAACCAAATCGAAGTCATGTTAATTAATTAATTAATTAATTAATTAAATTTCCTTATATAACGCAATTAAAATATTGCCAAAAATGGCAGTTCGAAGCTTACCCCTAATACTAAATTAAAACCCTTAATACTAAAAACTATTTTTTCCGATTTCAAAATCAATTAAATTTCCTTATATAACGCAATTAAAATATTGCCAAAAATGGCAGTTCGAAGCTTACCCCTAATACTAAATTAAAACCCTTAATACTAAAAACTATTTTTTCCGATCTCAAAATCAATTAAATTTCCTTATATAACGCAATTAAAATATTGCCAAAAATGGCAGTTCGAAGCTTACCCCTAATACTAAATTAAAACCCTTAATACTAAAAACTATTTTTTCCGATCTCAAAATCAATTAAATTTCCTTATATAACGCAATTAAAATATTGCCAAAAATGGCAGTTCGAAGCTTACCCCTAATACTAAATTAAAACCCTTAATACTAAAAACTATTTTTTCCGATCTCAAAATCAATTAAATTTCTTTATATAACGCAATTAAAATATTGCCAAAAATGGCAGTTCGAAGCTTACCCCTAATACTAAATTAAAACCCTTAATACTAAAAACTATTTTTTCCGATCTCAAAATCAATTAAATTTCCTTATATAGCGCAATTAAAATATTGCCAAAAATGGCAGTTAGAAGCTTACCCCTAATTGCTAGAGTAGCTAGGCAGCTTGGAGTGAGGGATTGGGACTAGGCCCCCCTAATACTAAACACCCCGGGGTGAACTAGTTTTTAGTATTAGGGGGGAGAACCCACAAATGGTAGGTTGATTTTTAAATTGTTTTTTAAAGGGGATCAATTAAAAGTCAAATTGGCCAAACTGAAATTTTCGGAAATTGGAGATGGATGCCTGTTTTTAGTATTAGGGGGACGTTTAGTATTAGGAGGAAGGGATTATATGGTGGTTAGAACTTATAACCCACTAGAATCCCAAGAATCATCCATGTCCTAACTACATCTAACTATATATGCTTAACTAAGTCCATGGCCCATCTAAGTGTGGACCCGCGTTGGCTTGGATCATGTGTCACAATGCACCTGGAAAACCAAGCAACGGAATCCCTCAGTGACGAATCGCTACGTAGCAAATGGTTGCTTGGGGAAACCACCGTTCATGTCTGGTTTAAGGTTTGTGTCTAGATTTGGTTCCCCACATGCGTTGTTTCAATTTCATTGGGAAGACGACCTGCGAGATTTCAAAAACCAATTTGTCAACTTGGATTGGCACATATTGGCACATTTGAAACGCCCACGTCAATCCACATGTTTCACAAAATGCAGCACCATTTGGTTCCCAAAAGAATTGGCAGATCAACACATCAGTCGAATGTCAAGATCGCCAAACACCGTGGCCTTGCGCACAAGCGGTACCCCAGGTGCTTCTCTCTCGTTCCAACCTGTGGGATGCGGTTCGTCAGGATGCTGCAGTCATGATCTGCACTCCAGGCTGCGGAGCAGAGACGAGCTGAGATACCCTATAGACTATAGATATACGGTAACGACATGTAAATATGGAGGGCAGGCGAGGCCGCGATGCCCCGGAGGTAGTATGAAACACCAGTTCCATCCGTATATTTAAATGTATGTGTAGACAGTTTTGATTCCGTATGCTTAAATGGCCGGGGCCAAGAAAAGTCTTCTGGAGGTATTCTAAAATACCATTCGTATATTTAAACATCCGTATATATTTAAATGATTTCAAATGTAGTTGCCGTAGATAGGCAGATAGATAGATAGATAAGATAAGATAAGATAAGATAGATAGATAGATAGATAGATAGATAGTTGGTCGTTGAATGCAACTAGGCCAGATATACATATATAGAATAGATAGCCGTACATATAGGCAGATGTTTTTGAGAGAAGTGGATGAACACAAATAATCAAATCTATCTATATGGAGGATAGGGGTACCCCTAAATCATCCATTTCTACATCGGATTTTTCTGGCTAACCATCCAGCTTTTGGGGTGTGCACATTTATGGAAACCTCCATATATACAATGTTAGATCCTGAGCCATCCATGTTTCATTCCCAGGGTTGATCCTGTCGGAGCTACGCATGCTGAAGTGGGAAGCGCGACGCTTCCGGGAGACGCTGGCGCTATTTGTGGCTAGCAACGTGAACAGCATCATATGTGACTGGGCTTATGGTTTCCATTTTTTCAGAGTAACATGTAGTAACACTCAGATAGGGAAAAAATGCTACTACTTGATGCTAAACTAAGATAGGATATAATATATATATAATATAGGAATTGAGTTGTCTACTTGGTCGGGCGGCTATACATACATCATAGTGATAGTACTTATACAGTCATCATCCAGTCGGTAAAGGAGGAGGAAACGGATCATGTGTGTTTTGATGTGACCTGATGACACCTGATGACAGTTGTGGTGTTATGGCTTGGCGGAGGTTACGAGCTTGTTAGACATGAAACTGAAGCAGCACCCATGTGTATTTTTCTTTTCACATGCCTGGTGAGAGGCTTGAGATATTTTGAGATTCATGTTCACAATACACATGTTCACCATTGCTCACCAACAAAAGCAACAGTTTGCAACAAGGGTCAATATTTAAGCCATAGGGCGGGGCTTGTGGTTTCCGCCATAAACAAGTCACATCTGCTGGGATCCCGTGACGAGGTGATGAGGTTGATGCTTTGACCCCAGCTGTGACGCAGGGACGAGGCACCGTGTTTTATTGGGCGACTTGGGATGCCATGCCAAAAGGTTTGACTTGGGGAAAATCACTATTTACAAATGACTCACTAATGACACTGATTCATAGGTAATTTTCTTGGTGAGGTTCATAGGCTGCCAGGTGTGGTTATCAGAATGTAAAGCTTCGACTTGCCACTACCCTTTGGTTGATTCCATCCCAAGAAGTGGGAAGTCGATCACCCATGGACGTGTTTTTATTTTTATATTGGATGGTAGCTTAACCACAAATCAGCTCCTATTCTAGCCTCTTCTGTTTTTTTTTTTGATATATAGATTGTTTTGCTTTTGACAGCCAGCAATGCTCGCAAATGGCTGCCAATTATATAACAAGGAGTGGGTAAAGTTCATTAGTGGTAACCTCCATGCTGTATGAAATGAGTTTGTTGAACCAAGCTACAGCAAACAGTCACGAATTCTAGTTATTAAGAGGTGAGAAAGATATCCAAGATATCATCACTTCAGGTGAGTGAAGAGAATTTCAGGACTTTGCACCTGTCAACGCAATGGCCAGACTTGATCCTGTCACGAGACTATAGACACAGCAATAGATACACACTGATGACAGTCTAGAATAGTGGGGTTCCTGATTTGAATTACAAAATCGATGATTTCATCACCTTTTTTGGATGATCGAATCTTGAAGCCTGGTGATTTACCATCCCCCATCCCCCCATTGGGGTCGAATCTTTGAGGCCCTATGAAGTTGGGAGCAACCGAGCATGTGGCTGGCTATGTGCCTGGGCGAATGGAGAAAAGTGCTATGCTTGTGATGGGTTGTTGCCACAAATATGTAAAAGGAAAAGCAACAGAACAAGTTATTTGCGGGGTAACAAGCGTTAGCCATGAAAAAAAAAGTGTGTTGGCTCAGGGTTTGAGAACCTGCATTCTTTATCAAGTTGAAAACGCATATGCCTTCGATGCATCTCTGAAGGGTGAAAAAACCACCTTGTGATGCCTTTTGAGTCTCAGAAAGGGTTGTGAGGCACGTCTCTATTTGAATCCGCGTCTCTCAAAATATTGCTGTCCATCCAAGGTTGATCTTCGGTAAACCTTTGTTTGGTAGGCTGATGGCTATTGAAGAAATGAACGCAAGAATCAAGAATCATATCATATCTATTGTATCTATGCATATCCAATATCCAGCTATTTCTTGTCCTAGGCAGCCTATGGAATCCAGAAAAAACTTCTTGAAAGTCAGCCGAGCCGGGCAGCGCTCGCCCCGAGCCCACAGGTGTTAGACGTGGTGCGCAGCAGATATCGCAACCGCCCGGTGCAGTTGGTGGCTTCCTCCGCCACCTCCAACTCCAACAAGGCTGGATGGAGCCCCCCAAGATGGTGGCTTTAACCAAGGCCCCAGCAGTGATTTGACCATCAAAATTGGTGATTTAAACATCAACAATTCGGGATTTAAGCGTTAAGATTGATAATAAAGCGATTGTGACTTTGAAGGGCTTGGTGGTGAATAGCCCCTTGAGAATGCCCCAGCTGGTATTTCAATGTATTTTAGGTATTCACCAGCCAATAAGGGGATAGATGTTCATGTATACTCCTAGAAACTGCAGTTTAACGCAAAAAAACAGGGATCTCTTAAATGTGTATATCATATATCACTAATATATAACGTCTACATCCGAAAATGTGTCACGATATGACCGTCTACCGAAGCTTGAGGGAAAATAGACTCTTAGAATAAGAAAGGACAGTGGGCTCTCTAACAGGGTCATATTTTGGTTGGTTTCTTGCAGGTGTCAGGTGTTATTTCTATTTTAAGTGGAACCATTGGTTTTCCCACCGGAACGTGAAGGTAGCTGCCTTCCTTGACCGCTTAATGGAGAAGAGTCTTGGATGCCAACGCGAATTGGAATCTGATGTTTTGAAACATGTCGACTTTTCCAAGAAGATGTCTTGGAATGTCTTGGAAACACTTGGAAATCAAGGATGCCCCTAGAAAGTCTGATTGTGTATCGGATATATTCATTTTTGGACACGTTTTTGTGTGTGTGTGAATAGTTAAGATTAAGAGGGGGCAGGGTTATGTTCTGGCCTACTGAATATGTTTTTTTTGTTTTTGCATTGTGGATTTTCCGGTTTTTGGCACCATCCCATTGACGCAATAACCTGTCTAAATGTTCAGTATGACACGTCAAATGAGTGGAGAGCGGGTGCATGTGGATAAAAATGAATAGACATGGTGCAGAGATGTGGATTTCAATCGCATTCAGCTTTGGCTAGTTAAGATCCAGTGAGCCTTGCCAAACAATGACAAATCTGTGGATGATCAAATTGAAATAGACAGTGTTTGATTAGCGTTAGTGTTTTTCAATCAGTTGTTCTCAACTTTTCCCTTGAAATCAATTTATTGTCAACCCGCAATGGGTCAACAACTTAGTTGAACCCCATCATTTTGTTTGGTTAAATCAGGCTCTTTTAATTTGCTGAGTTCTGCTTGCAGCTGCAACTCGCGCAAAAAAGACAGATCTCAGATATCCTTCAACTCGCCTTCCTACTTTGAACGGTTAAATCCCTGAATTCTTGCGGCCGGTTGGCCCCAGGGAGAAATCCTTTGAACCAGAAGGAATCGCCACATCTTCTTGCAGTTCGCCATGCAACATAGGCCAAGCAATCCGTTGACCTCAATCATGTTTGTTGGTAAAATCATGTAAAATCACTTATATAATAATATGCAAATCCCAATCCCTTACTGATGGCACCTTTCCACTTAACCAACACAGCTTAAAAGGTTGAAATCCAACTTTGGATGGGTAAATCTCAGATTTTTTGTAGGTTAACCCCATGGAGAAATCCTGAAAAAACCATTCCCCAGCTGATCCTCTACAAGGTGGTGCCCGCTAGTTAGCTAAATTGATTTATAATTTGCTGGGCATTTGTTTATGGTGCTTCAAACCGTAGACTGATATCCATTTTTAAACAATCTCTATCCAAATGGATCAGTTTCCCCATGTTTCCCGATATTTTTCCATGGCCAACCCCAAGTGCTGAGGAAATACCCCAAGCGCCGTGACGCCGGGCGCCGCGGCACCCCTGAGCTGATCCAGGACAGCTCCACGCTGCAGCGGGTGGGCACCCAGGCTGGCCTCACGCGGAACGTCTTCGTGCCCATGCCGTGTTTCGGCGAAGAAAACACGTGGAGTGATGGCGATGAGTGGGGATATATGGGGATATCTATGGGACTTAAGGGGTTGGAATTTACCTGGTGTTAGTTGGTGATTTTATATGTTTGTTGTATTTTCCCAATGGGAAATACAGCAGTTGGAGAATATATATATATATATAAATAACATATATATATATATAAATAAATAACATATATATATATACCTGGACTTCCAAAAGCTGCATTCTTTTTGGTCTGGACTGAAAAGTAGTGAGCGACCAACAATCGAACAATTGCTGAATTTGCCCTCTGTCAGTCACATTTGGAAGGACCAAAAATATGACACAAAATGACGCAGAAAAGACGCGAAAAACCAACTTTTTGACACCCAAACTGCGTCATTGAATCCATCACTCTTAGCCCAAAAGTGATTTTTGGGCCCGCACCCGAAAATCCACAAAGATCGAAAATTATGCGGCTCAAGGACTGTCCAGGTATATAATATATATATATATATATTTATTTATTTACTGTATATATATATACACACCAATTTTTTGAAGCACCTTGAGCAAATCCAAGCTATGTCATGGGGAACTTCATTGGTGTTTCACGGTATTGCGAGTCGAACAGCCTAAGGTTTTAGTGGTGACATCCTCACCAGTTTTGGGGGACTTGATCTATCCAGCGAGAGTCAACACAATAGACTTCAGCCAACAGCATTTAGTTTTGTACAGCGAACATTTGGGTTAGTAATCTTATCCATCACGATTATCTGGTTGGTGCTTTGGAACCATGGAATTTTATGACTTTCCATATATTGGGAATAATCATCTCAACTGACGTTCATATTTTTCAGAGGGGCTGAAACCACCAACCAGTTATGGATTATATAATTGGATTAGTCGTGATCCATCAAAACCGTGGATTTAATCGTGTAGGCTCACTAATTTATAGCGGGTGCAGAGACATCTGGCGGGATGAGGGATTAAAAAATTGCACGCCGCTGTGGCGCGAAGCAGCTTTTAAAGTCAAATGCTAAAAACACCCAGGCAGATAGGCAGACAGATTGACAGATAGACGGATACTCAGATAGAGATATAGACAGATAGATAGGTAGTCCAGTCAGATAGACGGATATACTGTATATATATATATATCCATACAGATAGACAGGGAGACAGATAGACAGATAGACAGACAGACAGACAGACAGACCAATAGAATGATAGAACGGTAGATAGATAGAAATAGATAGGTAGATAGATAGATAGATCGATCGATCGATCGGTAGATCGATAGATACAGATAGATACAGATAGATACAGATAGATACAGATAGATACAGATAGATACAGATAGATACAGATAGATACAGATAGATACAGATAGATACAGATAGATACAGATAGATACAGATAGATACAGATAGATACAGATAGATAGATACAGGTAGATAGATAGATGAGATTAGATTAGATTGGATTCGATGAGATTAGATTAGATAGATAGGTAGATAGGTAGGTAGATAGATGGGTAGGTAGGTAGATATGTAGATAGATACATTGGTAGGTAGGTAGGTAGGTAGATAGATAGATAGATAGATAGGTACATAGATACAAATAGAGAGAGAGATATATATATATATAGAGAGAGAGAGATAGACTCAGAGCCTCAGCCACCTTTCGGTCCATCAGCGCGCTCTGCCATCCATGAATGACAACAACTTACCTCTCCTTGAGCGGTTTCCTCTCTTTGAAATGTCTACCACCGCCTTGTGCGGTTCTACCGGTATTATCCTTCAACAAATTGTGCATTGGCCATTGAACCATCACAAACTTGTGACAACTGACCCGAGGCAAGGCATTCAGCATTGCCTGGCCCTGGTGGAGGACAAGGACAAAGGTCCCTTCCTTGGTCGGCCACGTTATGAAGCCATGGTGGAGATTGTGAAGAATCTCCCGGGAAGCCTGGCGTTGAACCGGGGGTTAAAATATGGAGGTAAGGTGCTGCCCCACCTTACTATAGTATACTATAGTTATTATCACAATAAGCCTAGTTAAGATAGTTGTAAACCAACTTCGCGAACTATTGGGGCACCTTGAGGTGAGCTCACATTTTCACTAATATGATGGATATGGGCATTGCATTTTTTTTTGGTGGTTTCTTTTCTTTATGTTCACCCAACGACATCAGGATGAGGATCCCCAACGACATCCGACATCCAAGTGCTATTGCTGTAGCTTTAGGGTTCCATGCTGGTGTCAAAAGAGGTCAGAGGCCATAAACAGAGAGAAAGAGAGAGAGAGAGAGAGAGCACAGCCATAAAGGCACATGTAACAACGAAACAATACGCATGATCAAAGCAAACATGATCTGATGAAAATATAAAATGGGGTTACCCTCTGGTAAATTAACATAGCTATTGAAAATTGCCATAAAAATAGTGGATTTTCCCATGAAAATGGTGATTTTCCATAGCTATGTTAAATTACCAGAGGGTAACAACAAAATTGCCATTGCATGTGGACACCCTCCGCGATCAGCCGCAAGGCCCTGGATCCATCCTGGTCTTCGTCCCCGAACGGGTGAAACTGGATTCGATGGTCATGTTGCTGCAGATGCTGGGTTTAATATGGTTTAATTATAAATGATGGTTACTCCCCAAATAGTGATACCCTATAAATATCTACGATAGTTTGTTGCTTAATTATATACTGTAGATGGTACCACCCCAATTAAACAGCCTAAGGGTGTAGTATTTCCGGTATTATTTACTTGGACTTAACGTAACATAGACAACCTTGGATAGGATTGGATGGTCACTTATCATCGATCATGTGAATTTTCTGCTATACGTGGGCATAGGCAGTGATATGTATTGACCAGTTTTTTCACATTTTTCAAAAAAAAACACAACCAGTTTTCCGGAGTCAGAATGACATAGAGTGACCTCTGCTGCCCTCCCGGTTCTCTGAGGAAACGTGGCATTCCCAACGTCTCCAAGTATCGTGCAGAAGTTGGGCTGGGTCCATCCACTGAGCAACTGATGGACTGGGGTTTCCCAACGGCTTCAACCAAGCACTGGGGTTTCAATCCCATATAAAAATGGAGGTTTGTAGCTGGAAATTCATCTGAAAATGGGTGATCTCATGGGAATATCATCGATCTATGATCTATGGTGGATTTTCAAGCGAGCCGTGGAGCTGATTACCGGAGGGTATAGAGCATCCAATCCCACATTTACAATTGAAATTAGGGGATTCAATCATATTAAAATCCAGGCGATTGTATGTTAAATCGTTGCGATGTAGAGGCAGAGAGAGAGAGAGAGAAGGAGAGAGTGATGTGCTATACAATGATAAATGCAGCGACAAACATGGATTCCAATTATTAAGCTTGCAAGATGGTTTCTAGCAGGACCACAAGCTTTGCTTGATTTTTTTGAAACCTAGGCCCTAGGACGGCATGATCCCCTGAGTGAAGTCCCTGGATTTCGCTTAATCTAAATCCAACCTCCCCTCACCTTTGAGGGAAAAACACATGGCATCTTGCAGATTTCCTTCAAATCATTCCAATGGTGAAGGGGATTCAAGCGTCCGTAGTAAGCCCTGAATAAAATTGAATAAACAGTGATTCTTCACCACAAATCATTCAAATCAACTAGCCATTCCGCTAACATTGGCAGGACCTCAACTTCGACCATACGCCCCGCAAAAGGGACCATTGGAGGGCCAAACCCGCTGCAACTTGGCCTATCCACCCGCGGGTTTCCCAGGAACATGATCTATAAATGGCAGGTTTTCCACATCGCTAGGTGACAGGAGGCTAAGTGTCTCACAAGAACGAGAAAACATAGTTTATCGGATGAATACATGTATATAATTGTATATTTATATATGTGTGTAATGTAAGGTAATGTAATGTAATGTAAGGCCATGCAATGAAATGTGATGTAATGTAATGAATGTAATGTAATGTAATGTAACGTAATGTAATGTAAGGCCATGCAATGAAATGTGATGTAATGTAATGTAATGTAATGTAATGTAAGGCCATGCAATGAAATGTGATGTAATGTAACACCATGTAATGTAATGTACTGTAACTTAACGTAATGTAATGTCATGTAATGCCATGTAATGCAATGCAGCGTAGCATAATGTAACGTAACGCAACGCAACGTAACGTAATGTAAGTTGTTATGTTATGTCATATTATGTTGTGTGTTTGTAATGTAATGCAATGTAATGTAACGTAATGTAACAACATGTAAATATGTATGCATGCGCGTGTGTATGCTATGTTATGTTATGTAACGTAATGTGACGTAATATTACATAATATTATGCAACATCATGTTGTTTTTTGCAACGTAATGTTACGTTTGTTTGTGTTTTGTTATGTTATGTTTAGTCATTTTTTGTGATGTTATGTTATGTATGTATGTGCGTATGTATGCCTACGATCAAGAGACTTGGTCTCAAGTTTCCAAGGGATGAATTGAGGAATGTCCATGTTCACCATTCTTTATCGTTCTTCCCACTTTGAGATTGATGAATATTACAGTGTTCCCTGGCCTCGCAAGCCATGCATGAGAAGGTCACAATTTGCGACCTGCCCTCTTCCATTTGACCAAAATCGGATAAAAATCATGGAAATTATGAAATGGGTATCAAATGTGGATAGAATGGGGGTAGGAGGGGAGGGACCTAATGGTATATAACTATGAAGACAACCAGAATGAAGACGGATGCCCCGATTATTCCGAACGATGGGGATTACATCATGCCAAGGGCCACTTTCTAACTTCACACATCACCGAGACAATGTTCACGACATGTTCATGTTCCATGCCCTTTGTGGAATCTAAGTGGTTAACTTGCTTGTGGCAACTCAAAGGTTTGACTTTCCATGATCCCCAATAATATGGAAGACTATGTTCTAAGAGGGTCAACACCACAAAGTACTGTATATAGATCAGGCACCTGCCAGTTTCCAAACTCAGGAGCAGGACATCAACCCATTGCTGGCTCTTCAGCAATACCAGGCGCTGCGTTTCGCTGCCTGCGGCAAACGCCCCCCCTTTTGTTTAAAGCAAATTTTGATAGTTTTTTTTTTGAACCTGGGGTATTTTGCATGTTCCTGGTATGTGTACCATTGTGTACCGTCCTATTTTTTTTTGTCAATCGCACAATTCCTTCATATTTTGTTGATTACATATTTGGTTACATTACTGCAATGATATTGACGGAATGGGAATAGTCACGAAAGCTAGCGTCAGCTAGCTGGAGTCTTCTTGCTTTAGCAAGTATTCCGGGGGCTGCTCAAGGACATCACGTGATTTTTCACGCGAAAGGGGGGGACCCCCCCGTGCCATTGACGGTTGGCGTCGATTTTGCGGCACCACCTCTTGTGCATGTAAGCAGGAATAGGTGTCTCGATACATGTAGCTGTAACCTGCAACTCTCTTTATACTGGCAATACAGCATAGGATTTATCACCGGCGCCAAGCGCCACTTTCAGAGCATGGGTGCTTTGCATTGTGGCGCGCCTGGTCCATCGGCCTCATCGGCCTCGTCGGCTTCATCGGCTCCATCGGCCTCATCGGCTCAGCTCCATCGGCCTCATCGGCTCCAGCTGCTCCATCGGCCTCATTGGCTCCAGCGGCTCCATCGGCTCCATCGGCCTCATCGGCCTCATCAGCTCCATCGTCGGCCAGCGGCTCCAGCGGCTCGAGCGGCCTCATCGGCTCCATCGGCCTCATCGGCCTCATCGGCTCCAGCGGCTCCATCGGCCTCATCGGCTCGATCGGCCTCATCGGCTCGGCTCCAGCGGCCTCATCGGCTCCATCCGCCTCACGGCTCCATCGGCTCCATCGGCCTCATCGGATCGAGCGGCCTCGGCTCCATCGGCCTCATCGGCCTCATCGGCCTCATCGGCCTCATCGGCTCCAGCTGCTCCATCGGCCTCATCGGCTCCAGCGGCTCAATCGGCAGCTCCATCGGCTCCATCGGCCTCATCGGCCTCATCGGCCTCATCGGCTCCATCGGCCTCATCGGCCTCATCGGCTCCAGCGGCTCCATCGGCTCCAGCGGCTCCATCGGCTCCATCGTCCTCATCGGCCTCATCGGCCTCGTCGGCTCCATCGGCCTCATCGGCATGTCTTTCTGGAAAGCCTATTGCGGCCCGAAGCAGACGGAATCAGTTGCGGCCATTTTGCGCCTATGATTGGCTTCGCTGCCTTTTGATTAGTATTGATCCATAGCCTCTTGGCTTGCGATATAGCCTCCAAGTGTCGAACGTACGGGACCCCCCCCCCCCCCTCCCCCTCCCCCACCACCACCACCATCACCACCATCATCATCATCATCATCGTCATCATCATCGTCATCATCATCATCATCATCATCACCACCATCATCATCATCATCATCGTCATCATCATCGTCATCATCATCATCATCATTGTCATCATCATCATCATCATCATCATCATCATCATCATCATCGTCATCGTCCTCGCCATCGTCCTCGTCATCGTCATCATCATCATCATCAGCATCATCATCATCACCATCACCACCATCATCATCGTCATCATCATCGTCATCATCATCATCATCATCATTGTCATCGTCCTCGCCATCGTCCTCGTCATCGTCATCATCATCATCATCGTCCTCGTCCTCGTCCTTGTCCTCGTCATCGTCCTCGTCATCGTCATCGTCGTCATCATCATCATCATCATCACCATCATCGTTAATCAATTACATTTTATCATTATTGGCAATTATTGGCATTATCACGAAAGCTTGCGTCAGCTCGCTAGAGTCTTCTTGCTTTAGCAAGTATTCCGGGGCTCCCCAAGGACATCACGTGCTTTTTCACGCGAAAAGGTCTCCCCTGCCCCCTCCCCCATATATATCATTGTTATATATCATATATCATATATCATTGTTGCATCCTCGTTGGGACGAACAATGCCGCGACACGATGATGACAGTCCCTCCGCAACTCACCTCTTCCCTTCCTTCTTTCTCCTACTCCGCTAGCTTTCGTCATCCACCCCCAGCCTCAAGTTTTAAGATGTTGGTAGATTCAAATTCCCCATCAAAAATGACCGAAGTGGTGCCTCCAGCCAAACCTTTAATGTCCGTGCTAGAGTAACGGCCCGAGTTGTTGAAGCCTGCAGCGCTCGTCATCGCAGATGTATCCTTTGGCGTTTAATCCAACTGGGTCCTGGAAAACCAACATCAGTTTTTTTTAAATCTTGTAGAAATATGCGTACATGAATATATATATATATATGTGTGTGTGTCTATATATACTGTATATATATATATATATATTTATGTATACGTATATGTATATATATATATAGCAGCCACAAAAAGGACAAGAACATCAAATCCTAGTAGTTGTAAATTACTTGTGCCGTTTTGGAAATTGTTTTTTGCTCACGCCTTGTTTTTTGTCCTCACTTCCGGTTCCGCTTCGCGGAGGAGTTCGTGGATGACGTGAATCAGGAAGAGTGCCGCCGTGTGCTGGTGGCCAAAATGGATCAGGGACGAGGCATTGATTTGCCCAACGTGAAGCTTGCGCGGCAATAGCCCAGCATGGCCGTTCAAAAAAAAGGACGTTTTGTAACCACTTGAAAAAATGAAATCTAAGCCTAAGCTGTGTCGTGTGTTATTGTTCTTATTTAAGTTTTGACTGTTGATTGTTTTTGTTGTCATTTTTTGTCACTTTGGAGATCGCCTTAACAACATGTTTGCATTCATTTTGTCGATGCACCTTTGTTGTTCCAATCATTGGGGCACCACTCAGGGACGACGGTGAATAATTTGCATGCCGCCTCTGTCCTAAGGAACTACGTGGTTTTGCTGGAGATCCCAGACGCTTCCGGAGATTACCTCCACTTAGCAGGGCGATCCTTGAACTCCATAGGGCCATATAGGAGTGCTGCGAGCCCTCTTACCCTGCGGTAATTGAACCTAGCTATGGAAACTATGGCCGATTTAGTTCGATGATTCAACATGCTTTACCTTGTATTAAATATAGTGTTTTCCATGATTTTCCATAGCTATGTGGGTCTTTACCAGGGTGGACATAAGTATACCAACATTTTTATGGGGCACTGGCTAAGGAGAGAGATCCCAAGGAGCGACCAGTGAAGGCAAAGCGAAAGGACCTATGTAGGTGGATGAGTATGTGATATCATTTCTGTCATTTCTGACGAACACATAAGTTTCAGAGTGTTTGTTGTGTCTTTAAGTATATTATTTGTGTTTAGTCGTGTTATTGTTATTTTGGGGGGCTACCAGGAAGGTGATTCATCCAGGGTCGACATGTTCTATACACCAATTTCACCCAAAAAACATGACATCCGACAAGACCCTTGGCATTTTCCGTAGCGCCGAGGAACGGGTCGTATGGGCCAGCCGGGCACAGCCATCACCATTTGCACTGAAGTGGAACGTATGAAACTTTGCAGTCAAGTGGCGGGCACTGGAGAGACAAGGTCTTGTGTGAGGTCATGTATGGTATTGTCACTTAAGGCTACATGACAAGTACTTGGAGATATTTGGGTACCATATGTTTGCTAGCAGGCGCGGAGCCAAGCTGCAAGACTGGCTCAGCTACGGCATAAGAATAAGGACCGTCCTCGTGGAAGCCATTCGGCCCCAAACGATCCCAAAAGCAGATCCATTAGCCATTTATATATATATTATATATATAATGTATGATTATATAAGTTTATATATATGTGTGTGTTTATATATATATATACATACATGTACTATAAAAATTACATGTATAAACAGGCACATGCAGAGACCGCCTCGAAGTGGCACTAAGGAACGTCATCGATGGCGTGGAGTTTCGCTTGGGCATTGGCCTCTCCCAGTGGGACATTGAAGCTGGAAAGAGCCGCTGGTCCAAATGCGCAGGGACAACGAGTATCAACGAGTGGGGTCCATTCTTTGGAATATCTCAGACGTGTGGTGAAATACAAAAGGCATGGTGCCCCCAAGACATGTAAGCGTGTTCATTACTGCACTGACTAAGGTTCATGGTGATTGATATAATGACTAGAGTTAGTTGGGTTAGTTCACTCAAATAAACTTTCTCGCATTGGCCATGATCTTACAAGGTGGTGCCCCGTAGCCGAGGAATCACCATAAACCCTAGTTAAGCTATAGTTATAAGCAAACTCATCTAACTAGGTACCACCACCGTACCAAACTGTACGGCTTTAACCACCTTTTTGGTTTGGTGTGACTTCATTCCCCCTCCAAAACGAGCGCTCGCAGGCACCGGTCTGCCAGCCACGTCTGAAGATGTGCCGAGCGAAGAAGTAAGAGATAGTGAGGCGACCTGATGCCATGCTGGGGCCCCTCTTTTACAAACTAATGAGCACCCAGATCCAGGGTGAAAACAACAATTACAGTTGAAAGCTTGATTCGCTTGATGTTTAATGGTAAGAAAAAAACATGTTCAAAAACACACCTTCAAGAGGCCCCAAACAGTTAGTGCAGTAGGAAGTCAATGCACCAGATACAAGCAACAGTAGCTATGGAACAGTAACAGATGAGGTCAGACATGATCGTAACTGCAGCAGCAGGACCTTCTATATAGATGTGTATGGAGGAGCTCACAAGATCTTCATAGAAGCACCAATGCGGAGGATCATCAAGGTCTTACTTACTCTACAGGATCATGGCAGGACCTCTTAGAGAGGAATTTATAGCAGGATCTCCACAAGAGTTACGCGAGAATTTACAATGAAAATGCCGCAGATCCAGAGCTTGAGAACCCCGCGGCGCAGACTTTGTGCGAGCCTGCGCGATCGAAATGCACATGGATATGTCACAAGAGCCTTTTTGCGCGAGAATTTACAGGAAAAATGCCGCGCACAAGATCGCGACGAACAGTTTGCGCGAGCCTGCACCGAGACATTTTACAAGAGCCATTTCACGCGAGACTTTACAGGAAAAGTGCCGCGCCCAAAGATCGCGATCACAGTTTGTGCAAGCCTGCGCATTTGAAATGCACATGGAGAGTTCACATGCCGCGCCCCAGGATTTAGGTGCACGTTTTGTGCAAGCCTGCGCAGTCGAAATGCACTTGTCCATCTCAGTCGACCAGACCAGATGTATAGTTGGATTCCTCCTGAAAGGTCCAAGCTTCCAATGTTTCCATCATGTTTGCCGTCCCTAGGATCTTGTTTTTGGGAAGAATTTCGCTGGAATTACATAGGTTTACCACATATGTTTCAAAAGTTGAACTTAAACGCGGGTCAAGAAACTGCAGCGTGGGTTCCCAGATGTTTTTTGGGCAAAAAAAATACCGGACTTCTTCAGCCAGATGATGATAGATGCAACCCAGCAACAATCGAGCCAGAGTTTGTGCAGATACTGGGATGCCTACATGTTGCAATTGCGATATCCCTCACCGCTGCTGATGGATCCTCACTGGAGTGGTTATTTCTGCCTTGAGCCTCAAAGCCCCCGTAAGAGTAACACAAAATGTATGCCAATCTCTTTGACTATGAATACAGTAAATTGAAGGTCTACTTGGATATGCATCCGATAGTTGGCGTTGATAATGTTATCACTTTTAACTTATAACTTATAACCCCAATTTTGACATCTTCAATCAAATAGCCCCTTGAGGTCCAATGATGTGCCAGTTTGGTGTCAATTTGATGTGGTTTCAGCTGTGACGAAACTTGAGTTTCTTTGAGCTGGGGCGATGTGCGGAAAAGAGGTGCGTTGTGGAGATCGCTTTGGATCTACCTCGGTTTGCTGGGGATGCGGTTTCTTGCTTTCTCTTGCATAGGGACCCACCAAAAAAGATCGATCAGTTTTAGTCCAGGATGTAATAGATTACATTTTCATACATTGTTCCAAATAATATATATATATATATGTGTGTGTGTATTTTTCAACGATAATTTCCAAGTTTCCATTTTTTTATACCGAGGGTTGCGGCATTTCATTTGGTAACTGACCGTAACCTGGTGGCGCATCCAAGGCATGAGTTCGGTCTGTCCGAGCGGCAGCTGCAGGCCAGGAGTAGTTGGGTCAAATTTGGGAAGTTTAATGCTAGCTTAAGGAAAACAGACAGAATAATGTGGAAAAAACCATCAACAATTTCGATTTAACCAGTAAGAATTGGGGACTTAACCATGAAAATGGGGGGTAAAACATACAGCAACATGTGGAAAACCCATGGGGAAACCGTTCGGGAAATGATCGCTCTACATTTCTGGTTGTTTTTCCACATTTTTTTTTGGTATGTTTACTGGAACATAAATGTCCAGAAATGGTTTGGGAAACAAACATGCAGGAAATACTCTGGATTTGGAGGTAAGAACCAACTAACCTGATAAACCAATGCATTTTGGGTGTTGAAATCCCAATTTCTGTTGGTTAAATCCTAAAGTGGACATATTTGTTGAGTGAAATCATTGTCCCCAAATTTCCCCAACTTAAAAAAAAATCCTCCATCGAAGCCAGGCGCAGCATCAGGCTGAGTTGGAAGCCCAGCGGTTGAGACATGAAACCTTGAGCCACCAGCAGCAGGCAGCGCGGGACCAACGGGACCAAGGGACTCGGCATGCCATGGTCAAAACATGGGTTGTGCAAAACATGGGTTGTTTGTAGGGAAGTTGCCTTTTAAGTGGTTTCAGTATGGTTTATGGTACATATACTATACTTAATTGGGTTTATAATGGTTTATAAACCAACTTATAACTGGGGGGGGGCCATCCTATAGGGATTTATGTACCCATGAAACCCACTATGTTTGGATTTCCATGTTTTGACCATGACACATGTGCTAGGTGATTTAACTGATTTAGCCATCAAATGAAAATCATCAAAATGTCATGACAGATTTCACTTGGATGAAGCCTTGATGAAACTCCACTTTTGCAATGACATTTATATAATGCAAATATATTAAGATATTTGTACATAGTTTTGTATCTTTATATATATACCTGGGTAAACACATGTATGTATATGTTTACGTTGTTGTCTTATTTGTTATCATATTTGTTTTTCATGTCATTGTATTGTAAAATATTCTAGTAACCAAATCAATACCACAGGAGCCGGCATATGCATGATGTAAGAGATTGGACATTATACGTTTTCATAGATGTTTTGATGATGATAGATGTTCCAAGATATGTTTGGCCGGAACTATTCAAGAACATGTTGTGATTTCTCATTTGTTTGGCAATCGTTTCGAGCAAAAGGGTGGGGGTACTATGGGGTACTCATGGGTATTCCATGCACACTTTTTTTGTGGTTGGATATCCATGTTTATCCATGGTTTTTGGGAAATGGGAATATTGAGGTCCTTCCCTTGCCCTGCATTGATGCGGGTTGCTGAAACATGTTGAAACAGTTTCTGCATGTTTCTGTCGTTTTTTGATGGGGTATCCAATCTTCCTGCGCCATCTGTCAGCATCCCTTGCCGCGCCAACCCGGGTTGGTTCTGCCCCCAGGTAAAGATCGAAAACCTTGAAATGGAGGTAAAAACCTTAAGCAAGAAGCTGGAGACCAAACAGAAGCAGGCGAGCTTGGATCAACATGCATTCCCAATAATGGGCAGCAGATGGCAGCAGTATGAACTGCGATTCTTGGCGGTGTTTTCCAGGGGAACTGACAGCAAAGACGAAAAGGTGTCCACAAGAAGCCATCAAGACATGGCCTTGAATTACCTTGAATTCACTTTTCCCAGGAAAGGTTGAAGGGAACAGTTGCACGGTTTACTTTTTTAACGGTTGAAACCATGTCTGCCATCAAATGCGGGGCCCGAACTGATAGGTCAAAGATGCCTTGGCATTGACTGGCCACTGGGCTGGGATATGAAACTTCGCTTGGGGACGGTTTATCGCTGGCGTTCCTGTTTTTTTTTTAAATTTGCGTGCTAAAAAGGTAGTTCATTGCAGAAATGCTGTGGGAAAATGTGGGAAAACTATTCCCATATAAAGCTACTCATGGTAATTACTTGTGTTGGTAAATGTCCTGTATTGAGGATTTTGATCATCATCACTTTCTGATTAACTGTTGGAGATTATACCTTCAATAGTTGGGTGATGTTCAAGTTCAGTGAGACGTTTATCAGCCCCTGTCATGGTATTTCCTGCCAGAAATGGAAGTTGGATAGTTACTAGTAGTGTCCCCACGCCATTTAAAACACATTCATTAAGGGAAGATTGGAACAATGGCTGCCGCTCGGACCATTCAAACGCAAGCTGCCGCAAGCTTGTGCTTTCAGAGAAGTGCTCGACATTTTTTGACAAGGGCAAAAGAAAATAGACGCAGTTGAACACGGCCAACAAAATGCGTTTTAATTTAACGTAGCGAACCATATTCCACAATGTATGTTGCATTCAATGCGTGATCATGCTTATTTTTCATACATCATTTTGAAGTATTGAAATCCTACGGTTTCACTGATTCATCAGCTTCTTGCCAACCTAACTCAACTAGAATTAAATATAGATATAGATATTAGTGGTTTTTCGTTGAAACTACACGGGTGGTTGTGTAGCTTCAGTGCCTAAAATCATAGCCGCATGGCATCGAGGTCATGTGAGGCAGAACATGCTGGCCCGCCTCGCGTTCGACAGTGGTTTTCGCATGTGGCAGGCAGGGACCCGCAGTCCCCTAGGCCCTGTTGGGTTTATGATTCTTATAACATCATGTTGGAACAATCATTAACCAAAATCATTCCAAGTATGAACAAAGTCAACATATATATATATATATATGATATATATATATATATAAATAAATGATACACATATATATATATGATACATATGTGATATATATATAAATATAAATGATACACATATTTTATATACATATACATATATATATATATATACATTCGTATATATGATATTTAAATCTATATGGTATATATATATGAAATATATTTTACATATGACATATATATATATATGAAATATATTTTATATATGACATATATATATATATATATTATACCTATATATGATATATATATATATATATATATATATATATGTATATGTCATATGTAATAATATATATACATATAGTTTGATGAGGTTATAAACCAACATATAACGATTCAGCAGCTTGTCGGCAGCTTGTGAATAGTCACCTCGATGTGCAATAGACGGGGTTTCAGAAATCAATGATTATACAGCGATGGACCCCCCAGTTATAAGATGGTTTATAAACCATCATAACCTCCATTAAGTAGTTCGTTCCATCAACATCATGTTATATCTACCATAATCAATAGTTAAGCCACTTATCACGCAACTGAACGCTATCGACTGGGAGCCCCATCCGTAGCTGTTGCATTGTAAAACTCATGCTCGAATCACGGCCGTCAATTTTCTTCTCCCGCCACCCTTTTAAAAGGCTAGCAGCCTCAACTGCCACAGGCACGTGCTGCCGAGAGCAAACACAATCAGCTCCAGGATGTGTTGGATGCTTTGCTGCACCAGCCACATTGTCAGATGTTCGATTTGCATAGATTTGCCAGATGTTTAAGTTGAAATTCTTGTACAACTAGCTAGCTTCTGGCCAGCACCAGCGAAATGAAGACCCTCAGCATTTATTGGCCTCTGAGAGTGCAAGAGCTTGAGCAAATGGCATGTATCACTGTACCAAAAAAGCTGGTGTACTTTGGTATCTTTGGTCCAACCCACAGAGGTTTGTATTTTTCCGTTACTTTTGCGTACATTCAAAGCTTGCGCTGTTGCAAGGCCAAAAAATTGCATGATGTGCACATGAGTGCCTTCGCCTCTGGTGGATTCTTGCGAATGGGGCGAATCGCAGGGGCTATGACCAACCAAGAGGGGGGACAAAACTCATGGCAAGGGAAGACAATTGAAGACATTAAAACATCTGGCTGAAACTGGGCAGACTATCTCATCTTCTGACCTATTGTGAGTTTGTCGGCACAAAACTCCTTTTTTGCTTGGTGGCCTTTGTTCAAAAGGGGCACCCAAAAGGGGAATGCCGGATGCCAGGGCTTCACAGATTATCATAGGATGATCTAAAGTGACAATCGAATGGGTGCTTACTGGGGCTGGACAATTTCTGTTCATTTGTAGCGGCTCCCAAACAGGATAGACACGTAAAAACCTATATGCTAGCATGCCTGTGGTTTACTGTTCCTTTTGTTGTGGGCTTACCATGCGCTGACGTTTGTGTATTTATTTATTTATTTATATATGATGATGATTTATATATAAATATATGATGTGTGTTTTTTTTATACCTATATATATATATATATATATTTATATACACATACATCTATAACCATATGTATATGCATAGATACATGCATGCATGCATATACACATACAGACATACAGACAGACAGACATACCTACCTACATACAGACACACACACAGACAGAGACAGACAGACAGGCAGACAGACAGACAGACAGACGGACAGACAGACATACATACATGCATGTATACATTATTATATATATATGTATGTAATGTATGTATGTATGTATGTATGTATGTATGTATGTATGTATGTATGTATGCTGATACACTGTGATATCAACTGTCTATAAATATATTTATTATATATAGATTTATGCGTATCCCCAGCAAGCCCTCCCACTTGGGAGTCCTTTTTTTAGGCGCCAACTTCTTAAGCGCCTGGCGACAGATCTCTCAGACCAGCAGTCGACTCTGGGACTCGCTGGGGGAACTAGGAAACAATAGGAAAACGGTGACTCACCCAAGAAACAATGAAGATTTCATGGGATTTATAGCTGACTGATGATAGCTAAGTTGGTGCAAATAACTGTAAGAACTATACGTTTGATCAGGGGGCATAACGATAGTTAATGACGATTACAAACCAACTGATAACTTGGGGCCTCGCCTCGTAGATATAACTAGGTCAACTGTGGTCTATGCTATAGTAACCCTCAAAAAAAAATGGTCAAGTCCCATCGGTTGATTTTCAACATCCACAGCTTATGTCTCCATCATTTCCACCTTGTGTGTCAGATGTTCAAGATTCATGTGGGGATGGGTCAATATCCTTTGCCGTCAAAATTTGGTTCAATATGGTTTAATACCACAGTTTGCCTGACGATGATGCAGAGAGAGAAAGAGAAATAAAATACACACACATATATATATATATATATTTATACATATGCATATATACATATGCATATATACATATACATATATATATGTATAAGGAATTATTATAAACGTATATACATGTCACATATGGCTATTGCTCAAAATTCTTGACATGGTTTTGCATGGTTTAGCACTGAAGAAAAAAAAACTCTATTTCTGGGCCCACTTCTTCCACCATCTTCGGTCGGACTCTCAGGGGAGAAGTTGCTGGCGCACGAGCGGGCAAGTGCTGGAGCAGTTCGGGCCAAGCTCTTTGAGCAGATGGAAACAGAGCGGAACCAGTTGGTGGCACAGGCGCTTGAAGTTGTGGCAACTCTAACGGCGAAATTTGATGAACATGATGATAGACATTATTTCCCCACCTGCCAGGTGAGGGTTGTTAGATTTTATGTCAGTTGCCTGGTCCTCCTCCTCCTCCTCCTCTCCTCTCCTCCTCCTCTCGTTGTCCTCCTCCTCTCGTTGTCCTCCTCGTCCTCCTGCTCAACTGCGACTCGCGATCCACAGTGTTCTCTGTCGGACCTCAACCACGACCATCCACGCCCAGTGTTCCCTGCCGGACCTCAACCACGACCATCCACGCCCAGTGTTCCCTGCCGGACCTCAACCACGACCATCCACGCCCAGTGTTCCCTGCCGGACCTCAACCACGACCATCCACGCCCAGTGTTCCCTGCCGGACCTCAACCGCGAGTATCCCCGCCCAGTGTTCCCTGCGGGACCTCAACCACGACCATCCACGCCCAGTGTTCCCTGCCGGACCTCAACCGCGAGTATCCACGCCAAAAGATATGCCACATAGAGTGCCAGAAGATATGCCAGATAGAATGTTAGAAGATATGCCAGATAGAATGCCAGAAGGTATGCCAGATAGAATGCCAGATAGAATGTCAGCTAGAATGCCAGAAGATATGCCAGATAAAGTGCCAGAATGTTTGCCAGATAGAATGCCAGCAGATTTGCCAGATAATATGCCAGAAGATATGCTAGATAGAATGCCAGATGGAATAGCAGAAGATTTGCCAGATAATATGCCAGAAGATATGCCAGATAGAATGCCAGATGGAATGCCAGAAGATATGCCAGAACATATGCCAGAAGATATGCCAGAAGATATGCCAGAACATCTGCCAGAAGATATACCAGAACATCTGCCAGAAGATATGCCAGGTAGAATGCCAGAAGATATGCCAGATAGAATGCCAGATCGAATGCCAGAAAATATGTCAGATAGAATGCCAGAAGATTTGCCAGTAACAAAATGTATAAATGTCATGGTGGGGATCACACGAAGTAAAGTAATTTTCGTTTGGTTTTTTAGCTAATTTTCCGGCAGAGCAATGTGTGATGGGGATGGATCAGCATATTAGTAGCAGAGGAAACAGCAAACTCTTGGCCCGTTGGCGCTTTCATTTTTGTGTAGTGCTATCTCCATGTTTAGTCAGGATGAGATCCACATTTACAGATATGTCATAGGGTTACTTATTTGTTCTGAATACAGTAATATGTATATTTATAATTTATAATATATATATATATATTTATATTTATAGTGAGGGTTTTATAAATCCTACCGTGTCATTGCAGACATGTTGGGGTTTTTGGCATGTGGAGGTGGAAGACTTGAACAAACAGTTGGGCGAAGAAGCCAAACAGCGTCCTGGCGACAGCTCTGAGTGGTTTGTTTTGCAAAACCTTGCGGGATGTATGTTTCTCATGTTTCTCAATTCTCAATTGATTTAGGTTTCTGGATACTGTAAGTGTTAGTCTTAGCCATTGGTGTTTTGAACATTTGGAAATGGGATGGTAGACTGTATAGACTATATCCGAGTTTGACCCCTAGAGATCTTAATTACAAGTCTTGTAGAAATCTACCAGAAGAAGGCAATATTTATTTAGGACCCCCAAAAAGGATGTAACGTTTTAATGGTAATCAAAATGATAGCACCATTCTTGATTACCGTTTTGATGTGCGTATACGCATTTATTTTATAATACATACATACCTACCTACCTACCTACCTACATACATACATACATACATACACGCATTTGTATATATGACCCAAATGCATCCAAATGGGTAAGATTGGGCATCATGGGGATACCTTATGGCGGCTTACCACCGAGGCGTGCCGTTTTGCAGGACAATCTGAAGCGAGCTCCTTGGAGTAATTTTTTTTTGCCCTGTTGGCCCTGTTGGCGCTGTTGGTGTTCCATGCCAAACATCTTCAAACATGGCCCTTGTAGGTGAAAAATAACCTTCATTGAACTTATCCGGTCGGTGTCCTCCGGTGATTTCGCAAAGCATCGCAAAGCAATGGCAATGAAAATGCGATTTGCCAGTTGATTCACTATGTCATATTTACCCGAGCGCAATTCCATTTCCAAAGTGAACAATGGGAGATTTGCGTGGGTGTCAACGATTTGACCGCTAACCCATCCATATGTTTGGGTGGTTCAAATCATACCCACCTTTTTTTATGTCCACACCGATAACCTACACAGTTGAAAGTGAACACAGGATCGTTTGAAGATGTGGTATATCAACCAAAATAGACATCGTTCATCACATTTCTAGGGAAAATGATGGTTAGCAAGTGGTTTTTAGGCCCCGCATGGCCCCGCCCCATTTCCCCCAGATTCCAGCCATTTTTATTGACAATTCTCAGCCAAATCCAGGTCTTTATGCGAGGTGTTTGCGCCCTGAACTTTGAAGCCATGTCCTTGCTGAACGACCCTCAAGGTGCGGTCCACCTGATCAATGGTCCATTGAGGTGCTAGAAATGAAGGTGCGACTCTAGTTTTTGCAACTTTTTGGCGAACAAAGAAACACCTTGGAGAGGCCTTACATCGACATTACTTTGACTATTTCTGTCCAATTTGCGGACAGAAAACATGTAGCAGGTTCAGGTTCCCTTTCAATTTACCCTTTGGATCCCCGTTGAAATTTTCCCTATGAAATGGCTGGCCTCAAGGCCCATATGCCCGATTTGAAAACTTGGCTGGGTTGGGGCCATCCATTTTGTAAGGCATCTGTTGATTTGAATGGTCATTTTGTAGGGAATTCATGCTTTGCAGGGATTTTGGCTGGTGTGAGCAAGCCTTTAGTGCTCTTTGAGCCCCATGGCTTTAGTTGAGTTGCAAAGCAGCAGAGTTGCAACTACTAAGATCTCAAAATGCAACGCCATGCCACTTGTCCGTGTCAGCCTCAACTCTTGGGCAAACGAAGAAAGGGCATGAACACTTCACTTTTTGTCAACATTGTAAAAAGACAGGCCGCACATATCATTGAGCCAATTTCCTTACAAAAAGGATGGGTTGCTCCTTAAAGACACTTGAGAAAAACGCAGGGAAATGGCAGAGCAACAGGTTCCTACAAAATGATGCCTTTTTTGGGGTTCAGGGTCCAAGCATGCAAGCAAAGTTCATACTCACAAAAAGATAGAAATCAAACATCCGGGCAAAATATACCTCCCTACAAAATGTGGTGGTGCTGATGCACAAGGCCCTACCATTTTGTAGGGAAAATTTTTACTAGCACCCATTCATGTTGTAGGCTTTTTGCAAGACCCCGCGGTTTATAGCTACAAATAGCGGGGTCTAACCCCTTGGGGTGAATTTCAAGGGGGATCCCTTTGGTTATTTAACGTAGCTATGGAAAATCACCAGTTCCAACAGATAAATCCTCTGAGGGGGTCCTTGAGCACATTTCCCTTCAAAAAAATGCAAATTGCCTATTGAAAGATCTCCGATTTTTCAGGAATCATTTCCAAAACCCCCTTGGTGTAAAAGAAGCGAGGTGGAACGGCCACCATGAACGCAGCAGCGCTGGCCGGGGCCACAGAGGTCCTGGCAGCGCAGACGGAGCCGCCAGGTGAGGATGGTCGTTTTTGATTGTCTCAATAGGAAAATACACCATTTAGGGGAAATATATGTCCATATCGTTGTTTAAAGATGTTTAAAGCATCTTCAGCAAATCGAAGCATAGAGATTAATATGATTAATTAATCCCTTTCCCCTAATACGAAACAGCCACCCAAATGAATCTACATGGTCCCAAACATAGGTAAATCGCCGAGATACAGGGGTTGGTCAGTGGTTATTTTTGGGATGGGTTGGATACCACGAGTCAAGAGGGGGAAATGGTGGGTTTGAACCAAAAATAGATTGTGTGTCCGGAGCAGAAGAGTGGGGTATAAAACCGGGCTAGCCAACCAAAAAAGATTGCTTAACCAAATCTATAGCTGGGGAGTTGACCGTAAAAAATGGGGAGGTCACCCACAAACCCGAAATTGCACCTGGAATTAGATGGTTCAATCCAAGCACCACACAGGATGAGCTAGACTTGGTAACCATAAATTTGATGGCGATGATGTTCTTACATTTTCCCGTTAATCATTTGAGCGGCTTGTTGCCGCATATCCTTCGTCAGGACCTCCTGTGTTGCCTGAACAACAGGATGCAGCTTGGGAAGAGGGGGTATGGGCCGGTGTGGGCCAACGAATGATGGACCTCGACCAAACTGCGGGTTTTGGACATTCTTAGTCTCAGCTTGCTGCACTTCGACTTAGCCCATTCAAGGAAGCATTATCCTGTTACAATCATCAGTTTGCCCACTCCACCTGGGAGATTGTTTTTTGGAACTGCAAAGGCGGGAGCATTCAAACCCACATGTAGAAATTACAATATATATAATTTCAAAGTTTTATTCTCAGTCAGATCCCTACACGGTTGCATTCCTTGCCATTTTCGGCTTCAGGTATTGGCACTGCCAGCATCTCAAATACATTGCACAGCCTGTTTTTTTACAACCATCTCGGTGACGGTGAATCACCTGATTACAGCTGGTTGCTAGTTTCAATGGTGGTTCTGTTCATCTTCAATTTTTGACGCTATCAAAACACATCAAAACTACATGAACTATTATTATGTTTAATACCTTACATGTTTAAAGAACAATGTCGATATATTTCATCTAATCAAAATCGAATTCAATATATGTACCTTCAATTTTTAATTCCTTCAATTTTCAACAATTACTTTCCATTGTTCGGCACCTTCCCCCCAAAAAATCGTACCACGTGGCTTCCTAGCTCCGCGCTGAGCTGGGGCTCCGCTCGGGCAATGGACGGCTTTGCGGCATGCCTGGCTTGTGACACCGTCGATCGAGGGGAGGCCAGGCTGAGGGATGTTCAGCCAGGAAAACTGCGGAAACATGAAGAAAACACGGGGAACACATGGCGAACTTCGCAGATAGAATATGTACGGTGGATGGGCGAGTGTTTTTGTTGCTGGGCACGGTGAGATCAACAGCCATGTACTGGGCAGGTGGACGTGATGATTGTAGCAACTGCTTCCCATCCCAGGAAAAGGGGTCAGTAGAGATCTCTTTTTCTCTTGATCTCTCTTTGTAAAATTGGAGTATATAGATAATTAGATAATTGTGTAAAATTGTGAGCATAAATATATATATATACTTGCATATATATATATATATTTAAATTTACATGCACATATATCTATATATATATATATACACATGCATATATATATATATATACATACGTATTACATTACATTCACATTCAGACACCCACACACATGCGGACACTGATATACATATTAATTAAATATATATTTATATTTACATGTATGTATATATATATGTATGTATGTATATATATATATATGTATGTATATATATATATGTATGTATGTATATATATATATACATAAATATATGTATGCACATATTATATATTTATGTGCATACACATAGATGCACCAAATCCAGGATTTGGCTTGCCAAATGGGTAACTTGGCCCCAACATAGCAACCACAAGCTGGTTTTTGGCAAAGTCTTTGGCCTGATGCCCCATGGCCTAGCAGTTCGATCTACTCAGAATCTCTATAAACTGACCATTGAAAATACCACATTGATATCTGTTTGTAGTCTAAAGATAATGTTAGATAATTTTCATTGATGTTAATAGATAATTTTAGGCTAATCAGTATAGATCCCGCTAATAATGGCAGATGTTTATAGATAAATGTGTTGTTTCTACCTCATGATGTGCCGATGGAAAATTCCCCTTGCCATGTTTGATGTCCAGATTTTTACTTGAATGGCGCGCCCTTGCTGGAAGCCACGCCCGACGGCAGCTCCAGGATACCTTTGTGACCAGCGCGTATTCAAGTCCAAAGTATCTAGTCGGAAGGGATGCACGCCGTGGTGGGCCGCTGAGTGGCTGGATGGAATCAACAGTGAACACCAAAAATGGGTGTTCATCCCTTCCAAATCTATGGCTCCGGGCTTCAATCTTTGGCCCCCTACCAAGATCATGTTTACCTCAGTGAGAGTTGATGACCTGACATGTCGGAGACTGGGTTCAAAAATGCTCACCCTATAGCTACGGAACGTCACCACTTGCAAGGGGCAAACAGGTAAACATGGGTAAATCATCCATACATGGACCATTTTTGATAGCTGTGTTGAATTACCGGAGGATACTCACTGAAATGTATACCTTCAGGTTTTACAGCTGATGTGCTCCCCAATTCGGGGGACCAAATTTGCTTTCCCTTCAGGCTTCCGAACCATCATGGGTTGAGCAGGGAACATGAGAGCCCTAACAGTTTTTTGGGTTTAAGGACTTGGGCTGTCAACCGCTCCATCTAGAAAATGACAGCAAACATTGACATGATGTTTTGCTGCGCACACAGGATGTCAACACGTACATGTGTGGCTTCGATTCACAAGTAGCGGATAATTTGTATGTCGATGTAGCTATAGCATGCTACTATAGCCAGGCTCAGACAAATGGGGCTGTTTGGAGGGTAAGCGCAAATCCCGCAGTTCATTCTCATTTTGTTTATGATGGCCATGACTTGGGGGTATACCAATCAGAGGCACCTTGAAATCGGATCCAATTACATCCACATTAAATTGAAACTTCCATACAGGCACATTTAAAAACAAAAACATGATAAAACAACTGATGTTTTTACTGCAAAACAAAAAGTATATGTTTGATGGTTATACCTTTTATACCCTGTCTCTTCGTTTTGAAACCCCTTATATCTTCTAACATGTTCCACCCCTGGGCTGGGCCGTGCCGGTGCCGCATCCGGCGCCCCGGTCCAAGGAGAAATCGAGGCCCCAAACCCATCATCCCGGCCGTCTCCCGGCCCGGTTGTCCTCAAAGTCCCCATGAAAATCGGTGAGTCCAATGGTGACTTAATATGATTTAACGGGATTTAACCTTCAAACATGGGGATTTAATTGGATATATAAAATTGGATACTATGTTACGAATGGTGGTTTAGTGGTTTATAACTCCCCAAGTTTTAAAATTCTCTATGTTAATGGTGAGAACTGTATAGTTATATAATCAACTTTGCGTGTGTTTGAAAATAATCCCGTCCTCCTAAGATCATAAACATCTCCCAAAAACATGGTGGATGTAGGGGATGAAGCCAAATATGTATATCTATATACATTTACATATTTGGGACCACACAAGGCTCTGTTTTTGTTTTAATATATATATATGTGTGTGTGTGCATTTTTATACGCACACACTGTAGGGTGAGATGGGGTATCTTTCCAGACTGGTGAATTCTCTTTTCCATGACGGGGTACTACACGACCCCATTTTCCATGACGGAAGCTATTAAACATAGTTAATATATAAAAGGTCTATATACTGAGCTGCATGTATCATAGTTAAATAGTGGCTACTGTTTCTTTTCCCTACCCGGACGCCCATCCCCTGTAGCAGCCAGTGGCTGAAGTGGCTGCAGTGGCTGCTGCCCTCATCCAATCGGGGATTTGGCAAACTCAAACTATATATTTATTTGGATCACCCGCTAGCGTTTGTGAATTGGGGCAATTTGACACATTGAAAAATAATATCCTTACGTCACTCTGAAATTGAGAGGTTTGGCAAATCAAACCTCCTTAGGTCACTCGCTAGCGGTCGTGAATCGGGAAATTGGGCAAATCAAGCCTCCTTAGATCACTCGCTAGCGCTAACGAATTGGGACATTTGGCAAAGCTAGCGCTAGTGAAGAAGGAAGGAAGAAGGAAGGAGAAAGTACCTCTGATAAAACCTAGCCACCCTCTCTTGGCAGGTGGGGAATTGTAAAATTGGGAATGGTGGATCTTATTGGGGTATTACCATTCTTTACCAGTAAAAACGATGGTTTCATCAATCCATCTATATAGATATGAAGGCCCGCAAAGTCTGGGGAGTAGCCCCATGGATTTGTATAATTATAACACTGCACTTCGCATCGCTAGGGTCCTGCAAGCGAAGCTGAAAAGAGGGCTCGGTTGCAGGAGTTTGTGAAGGACTAGCACTGGCTTTCAAGCAGCGAGGTGTTGAACTGATAGTCTTGAAGCTTAGTTGAGGGTTTCCTAAAATGGAGGATCCCCAAAATGGATTGTTTACAGTGGACAATTATGGAAAACCTGTTTAAATTGATGATTTTGGGGTACCCCCCATTTCAGGAAACTTGGTAAGTTGTGTATTTCATTTGTGGCATGTTTGCCTATGCCGACTCTGTCTTTTGATGTAGGGGTAGCTGTTGGCAGATTTTCCATAACGCAGCATTTCGGGCGTTTGAATGACAGACCCCACTTGCTGTCCTTGACCTAGATAGGTTGATTAATGGTCAAAGTCACCACATGTTTTTTTGGAGATTCTATCAAATCCTATCTTGAAAAGAAAACTGGACCTTGTGCTGATGAACAAGAGGACTTCGCCAAGTGTGCGCTGCGCGGTTTCTTGGTGGCAGTAGAACTTCCAATGGATTTGTCCTAGAGGTGTCATCATGTTCCCTGTATACACGCTAGACCCAAAGGATATCCTTCAGATTCCTGCAGAATCTTGCCAGGGGCTGTGTAGAAATCAATGCTGGCTGGTGTGAAATCTGTGGCGTCATTCTTCCCTTCTCTTCTCCCTTCATTTAGTATGGTTGGCAGCGGCTACTCTTAATCCCCTTGATAAACATTGATAAACCTTCCGGCAATCGAACGCGGCAAATGAACATCATCCCATTTCTTTTTTTGTGGTAAAGGCAAAGGGAGATCTCCAATTGCCGGGTCAGGTTCCCAGGTTCCCATCAGATTGCGCCTACGGAGCCGCCAGGTATTCCATGTTCCATGGTGCAGCGTCAACAGACACGTCAGGCAGCTCTGTTCATTGATCCCAAACTTCAAAGAGTCTCGGGCAGCACACCTCTTGGTAGTGGAGCAGCAAGACACGGGGGATGACCCGGGCTGCTTGGAATGATGATGTTCATTTGACTTCCCGACTTCCGGAGGAGTTTTCAACCAACCAAGTATATATAGTTGGGTAGATGAAGTAACTAGATGACTGGAGGTCAAGTGTACTATACCAGACTCACCGAGGTCCATGGAACCATGTGAAGCCCAGGAGAACGTTACTGTACATTTCATGGAGCCTCCATTTTGAGATCAACCTGGAAATGGAAAATCAAGGAAGATCCACCAAATGCATGTGCAATTGTTTTTTCAAATTTGGAGGATCAATATTTTCCATGTTGCATTTCCATTTTGCATGTAGACCCGGGGGGCGCTTGTTTTTTTAATGGTTGTCTGGTTGGTGGTTTCAAACATGTTTTATTTTCCATAATATATGGGATAATCTTTTCCATTGACTTTCATATATGTTTCAAGATGGTTAAAAGCACCAACCAGTTGTTATTCTTCATGTTCTGACATTTTCTGAAAGCCTTGGGGCCAAGTATGATATGCTCATGTCCCAAGGATTGATGCTCCAACATCCAGTGGCGCCACAAAGCATCTTGACCTGGCATCCGCTACGAAAAATCTGTAGGCATTGTATGGAGGTGGGGTGGCAAATACTTGAAAAGTTGTGGTTCTCGCAGACTTAGTATTCAAACACTCCAAGTTGGACAAGTGGATTCGGAAAATTGGTGAAATCTTGGTGTTCTTCAGGCCAGATTTCAACAGGACTCCCCAGCTTCCAAGATACCGCGAAGTTGGTTGCAAGCAAAATCTGGACCCTAGCAGGTGCCTTTGCTCGTCGCCATCCAATCAACGCCGTATTTTTGTTCCACCTGGTTGGTTGCCGTGATTGGTGGATGCGCGCCCCCCCCCGTTATAAGTTATAAGGTTGGTTTATAACCCCCGTTACTGTATATATGGTGCAGCGTTGGCCACCACCCCCCCCCACCACCAATGGGTATGGGTCTACAGTATCCTCTGGTTCTTCTGGTCCCCCCCCCCCTGTGGGCTGTGGTGGTCCCCCCCCCTGTGGACTGTGCTGGTGGCACATACATACATACATCATACATACATACATACATACATACATACATACATACATACATACATACATACATACATACATACATACATACATACATACATACATACATACATCATACATCCACAGGGGGGTATCATACCCCCCGCCATCCCATGGGGGGGTGGGAACACGGGACACGGAACCATATATATATATTTATTTATTTAATCATCTATTTGATTATCCTAGTTAATTGTTTATTTATATGTTTACCAGTATTGAAAAAACAATATAATATATATATATAATATATATATATATATAATATATATATAATATATATATAATATATATATGTACAAATATGTATATATGATACCATAAACCCAACTTATTGGAGCACCGCCTTGCTAAGACATCTTTGTGGACGTTCAGATGTCCGACATCAAAGAGGTCATCGGTGCGGACGGTGAAGCCGTTCCCGCGGTGAGTGAACTTCGGTTGCAGCCGCGCGTGGCGGTGCTGAAGATGAACGAGGGACCCGACATTTGCATCTTGGAAACTGGGCTGATTATGGTGGGCGATGATCAGGAAGATGAGGATGGGAATGAGGATGAGAATGATGATGGGGGATGGGGATGTTCAGGAGGAGGATGATGATGATTGATTGGGTTGGATGGGATGGGATTGGATTGGATTGGATTGGATTGGTTGGTTGATTGATTGATTGATTGGTTGGTTGGTTGATTGATGGATTGATTGGTTGGTTGATTGATTGATTGATGATTGATGATGCTGATGATGCTGATGATGATGATGATGGTGGTGATGATGGTGATGATGGTGATGATGGTGATGGTGGTGGTGATGATGATGAAGCTGCCATGTGCTGAGGGTGACCCTGAAAGGTGTTGATGATGGTGATGCAAGATATACTGATAAGTTATAAGTGTTAGGGGAACTCTGAAAAGGATCACCTGCTCAAGAGTTTGGAAGTTATCAAACATGTGATATGTGCGGTTTTGGATGTTTTAAAATAGTTATTTATGTATATTGTTATGTGTATATATATATATACATGTGTATATATTATGTATATGTATACTTATATATAATTAGATTTAAATATATCAAATTTGTATATGTTTATGTATATTCTTTACCATACTTGACCCGTGGTCGTTTCATGGATTCTTCATGGTGGCTCAGGAGAGCAGCTCAGTGAATCGGGATCGCATGGTGCTCTGTTTGCGGATCCTCAAGGTCTACTCCCAGATGGCCAAGTGACGGTGGTCGAAGGGCTAGGGGCTAGTGGCTAGACTTCCATATCCGAAGCTGCAGAAAATCATGCTTGATTCCAGTATAGTTTTTTTTCTTGATTCAAATTGAGCATGATCCAAGCATTCGCAAGTTTCCACACTTGCTGGCTGCTTCGGGTGGCGCTCTCGCCAGCCGTTTGCGACATGCAAGCTGTCGTCCAAATGGACACACAATTCGGATGACTCAATGATTGTTTTGAGCGAAGAAAAGTGTTCTTTTTCTCCCTTGGGAAATCTTATTGGAAATGGGCCTGGGTGACTTTATAAAAATGGGTCATGTGGCAAACCCCAAAAATGAGTTACCCCATGTTATCCCCCAAAATCATGGGATCCACCATCTCCCGTGGTATTTTCCTGGTCGCCAGGAGAAGGCTCAGACGGAGCCAGTGGCGGTGGCAGCGCTACCTGCTGAGGGTGCGGCTTCACCCTGACTTCCCCTGGGTTTGTTCAAGGATGTTCAAGGTGATGTGGCTGATTTTCACAAGGGGAGCATTTCTCTTGGGAACATGTTCGCGAACATCCGCTAGAATCGCTAGAAATTGGAAATATTTTTTGCAACCCCTACGATAATCCAATAAGGTGATGGTTACGTATGGTGCCTGATTTGGGGTTTACCTACGAGGTGAAGGCCCCCTAGATAGCTATGTTGGCTTATAGAACTACAAAAACATGTATCGTCTATGGCGGATGTAACTATGGTTAGTGGGTGTACAAACCAATCTATAACTTGTGAGCATCACCTGGTAGGGCTCTCTTGCTAGAGATTACGTGTAATCATATGATATTATTTGCATGTATTATTGATGGTTGAAACTAATGCCACGTGTAGCCGGGGTCCCGTCGTAGGAACAGATGTTATTTCAGCATGTGAGTGATCCATGCAAAATGGTGGCAAGGCCAAGGCCAATCCTGAGTTGTCAACAGTGAAGTTGTTTATTCGGGCGGTTTTATTTGGATGTCATCTTGATATTTGTGAGTGTTGGATATGGGATTGACTCAAAATAGGGTACCCTAAGTCAACTGGTTCAACCATCATCCCCATTGAATAGCAATGTTTGGAGGCCTATCCACAATTTCCGGAACACACCCAGGTATGGGTTTATAATGGTATATATATGTCTATATATATATGTATAATTACAAATACATATAATTATAAATAATGAGTTGTCGTTGGTTGTGAAGCTACGCTTGCAAGTCGCAAATGACATTGCTACCCTATGGCGCTCTGGGGGGGTTGGTTGCTGACCCTGGGCAGGTGCTGACTCTATGGACGATACCATGCAACCGCAGGCCGAGCTATCGACGATCCCAACGCCTCTAAATGTGCTCCCCCAGTTGATAGGTTCTGTTGCTTTATAACACTCGCCCAGAAGTCTTGGATTTTCAAAGATGTATATAGTTATATATATATATATATTATTGTATATCATTATACTATATATATATATAATATGCGTGTGCATGTGGAGAGACTTATAACTCGGATCATCTAGTTACAGTTGAACTGCTCAAAATCAAGCAACCAAAAAAATCCCCTACGGGTGATAAACCCAGCTGTAATTGGACAGAGGCTTTGAATGATTGGCTGTTTTGGCAGCTGTGTTCCCCCTGGACAATGAGGCAGTAAAAAGTCACCCGCGTGTTTGACTGTCATGGGGTGTGTTTCCTTGTTTCAATTTGAACATGTTGAAACGAGATAAAAGACAACATGAGGGGTCAGTGGTGGAACAATCCAGTTCTGAGGAAGTATTGTATCACCGCCAGGTTTGTTTGTACATCCAATAGTGGCCGTCAATGGGCATTTGGGTGGTGATTTCCATTCCTTGTGTATGTATTTCCTCCTTGTTTTGGATGATGTTCCAACATCGTCAATATTCTTGGGGGGGCCAAAAGCACCAGGTGCTAGATTGCCTCGGTGACGTTTAATCACCGATTCATTGGACCATCATGTTGAGAGCACCAGCGTCCCTGCTTTCTTTCAACACTACGTATTGTTGCTACTCTGGCAATGGGAACCGTATTTACGTATTTAAGTATTTAAGCACATCTATGATCATATAAAATTTCTACTGCCAAGTTAGATTGCCACTTTGCGTTTCTTTCTGGAAAGGCGATCTTCCCAGCATCTTGCGGCCTTTCCGGTGGTCATCTCCTCCTGCGCAATTTTGCTTTGCATAGATCCTACGTCTCCTAGCTGGTTGAAAATCAGTGTTATTTTGTTGTGTTCCCCATATTATCATTTAATATCATGTATTATCCCGTTACATATCTATCTATCTATCTGTTTGTCTGTCTGTTTGTCTGTCTATCTATCTAATCTATCTAATCTATCTAATCTGTCTAATCTTTCTACTCTATCTAATCTATCTAATCTATCTGATCTATCTGATCTATCTAATCTAATCTATCTAATCTAATCTATCTAAACTAATCTATCTAATCTATCTAATCTAATCTATCTAATCTAATCTATCTAATCTATCTAATCTATCTAATCTATCTGATCTATCTGATCTATCTAATCTATCTAATCTATCTAATCTATCTAATCTATCTAATCTAATCTATTTAATCTAATCTATCTAATCTAATCCATCTAATCTAATCTATCTAATCTAATCTATCTAATCTAATCTATCTAATCTATCTAATCTAATCTATCTAATCTAATATATCTAATCTAATTTATCTAATCTAATCTATCTCATCTATCTAATCTAATCTATCTAATCTAATCTATCTAATCTAATCTATCTAATCTATCTAATCTATCTAATCTATCTAATCTATCGGATCTAATCTATCTAATCTATCTAATCTATCTAATCTATCTAATCTATCTAATCTAATCTATCTAATCTAATCTATCTAATCTATCTAATCTATCTAATCTATCTAATCTATCTAATCTAATCTATCTAATCTAATCTATCTAATCTATCTAATCTAATCTATCCTATTCTATCCTATCCTATCCTATCTATCTAATCTATCTAATCTATCTATCTATCTATCTATCTATCTATCTATCTATCTATCTGATCGATCGATCGATCGATCGATCGGATCTATCTATCTATCTATCTATCTATCTATCTATCTATCTATCCATCTATCTATCTATCTATCTATCTATCTATCTATCTATCTGATCGATCGATCTATCCATCTATCTATCTATCTACCTATCTATCTATCTATCTATCTGATCGATCGATCGATCGATCGGATCTATCTATCTATCTATCTATCGATCTATCTATCTACCTATCTATCTATCTATCTTTCTATCTATCTATATCTTATTTATCTATCTATCTATCTATCTGTCTATCTATCTATCTATCGATCGATCTATCTATCTGTCTATCTATCTATCTATCTATCTTTCTAATCTATCTAATCTATCTAATCTATCTAATCCATCTAATCTATCTAATCTATCTATCTAATTTAATCTAATCTAATCTAATCTCATCTCATCTATCTATTTATCTATATTTCTATCTTTCTATCTATATCTATCTTTATCTATCTATATCTGTCTGTATCTATCTATATCTATCTATATCTATCTATATCTATCTATCTATATCTATCTATATCTATCTATCTATCTATCTATCTATCTATCTATTTGTATCTATCAGTATCTATCTGTATCTATCTGTATCTATCTGTATCTATCTGTATCTATCATCTGTATCTATCAATCTATCAATCTATCTATCTATCTATCTATCTAATTTATCTAATCTAATCTAATCGAATCTAATCCAATCTAATCTAATCTACTCTAATCTATCTATATATCTAATCGAATCTAATCTATCTATCTATCTATCTATCTATATCTATCCCTGTGATATCCCCGTTGATCAACGTTGTTTTGCCATGGGTTTCCTCAGCGAAATGGGACGACGATCCCCGCAGGTCAGTCCCACGCCATTGCCATTTGTAAGCTACACTGGGCCAGCGGCAGCCTGGCAGAAAGATATGTTGATTCATATGATATATGTTATTTTTTTTTAATGTATAGATGTAATATATCTGTATATATATATATAACCCTATTTGTGTATATGATTGTGTGTGTAATTATACATATTCATATATTAATGAATGTATGCCGAGGGTTATGTATTATATAGACCCCTATGTTTTACATATGTCTGACTCTTTCTCTCTCTCTCTCTTTCGATATATAACCTTGGATGTGACAGGTTGCTACCCACTATGCAATCATTGGTGTTTGCTTGAAATGGGTGGATTTCCCTAAAATGTTTAATGATGTTCAGAAAATGTTGAACTCAGATAAAATCAAGTGGCTTCATGGTGATAGAGAACCATACTGGGATGCTGTTCATGGGGCTGATGGTAAGTTTGCCATGGATAGTGGAGGAGCTGTTTAGAGCAAAATTAGACTTCTTAAAACACCGCAGTTGGCTACACTTTTGTAACCAAACATGGCAATGGAAACTCGCCGATGTCTGGTGGATTTTCCCATTAAACATCATGTAGATGCAGCATGGCAAAGGAAAAACAAGACTTCGTTTTTACAATTTATAGATGATTTCCTCAAATCTGATTTTCCCACGTCCGTCTCCATTTAGTGAGATTTGAGATTTCCCAGCCACGCTTGATTTCTCGGCATCGATGGTAGGCCCGGACGACAGGATCCCGTGGGGCGCTGCCAAAGACGCATGGCTCGAGAAGGGTTCAACTCATGTCAACCACGGAATCATGGATTAATCATGGAGAGTTGATCATTATTAATCCATATTAATCCATATTCAATCAATTTTCATTATCAATCATCAACTAATAGCTGATCATCTTTTCTACATCCATCCATGTTTAATCCATGATTAGTCATTCATAGACTTGGATGATGGGAAATGTTACAGGAAACCCCTATATCTGATGGTATAAACAATGGTGTCCTGTAGATTTTCCCTTAAGCCCGAACATTATTAAGCATGATTATCATGATTAGTAGAGGCGATCCCAGGCCAACTCGCCAAGGAGCCAGCGCTGGCTTGCCAGCGCCTCACCCGCACGGATCGAGAAGCCCTTGGCAGCGCGTTGCTCGGCGTTGTTTCGAGGTTCATGACTGGGTAGAAAACCGTGTAATGTGGGCAAAACAATAGTAAACGCCCATGTGGGAATGGTTTATAATTGTTTTTACCACCAATTTATGGTGATTTGGGAGATGGTGTATTATTGTTTTACCAACATGGTAAGCAATATGCATCCCAGGTAAACGTTACTGAAGGGTGAGATTCGCAGTTTTTTAGTGTCAAGGATTGGAGATGGTCACATCGAACGGTCAGCTGGTGATTTAGCCTTTCTTTTGGAACTGGGGCAATGTCCCACTACATTTTGAGAACCCTTCTCAAAGGGTTCCTATGAGTGCAAACCGCCAGTGGCATAGATTCTACACAAAAAGGCTGGGTGAATGGAGTGAGGACCGCGTGCGTTCTTTCATGCATCAAAACATGGACATGGACCAACCAAACTCGGGAAAGCCGGCGAATGTCATGGGCATAAGATGGCCCTTGATCTTGTCAGGGGCTGAGTGGCCCCAAGATGCTGCGAATCTACAGAAGAAACAGACACTCCATGCTGAGGGGCTATGCTCAGTTGCCGGCATTTTCTCACAACCAACTAAACTTAGTAAAACTTACTATTTTATCTGGGTTTGTGTGTCTAAACATGCTTTAAACTATATAGGTACCCCATGGTGCTCACAATCCTATGGTTCGGTTCATTGTTGTTCTCCCATTGTTGGTTGCCTTGTTGATGGCATCCTGCTTCTGACATATCCCAACATGTCCTTACTTGTTGAGGTCCCAAATTCCTACAAGCTGGTGCCCCCTACTTATAAGTTGAGCTATTCACCCACTAAGTAGACTTATGATATCTTATGATCACCATAAGCCCATAATTTAAGCTACTCATGTTCACCAATAGATCGTCTTCACGACCTGGGGCGCCTACTGAGGTTGAGCAGTGAACGCGAGCTGTGGGATTTCCCGCCCAGGGGACCATTACAAGGGGCGGCTGGGGGAGAAAAGGACCGTTACCGACAAAGCAGGGCGTTGATCATCTCCAAGAGAAGCAAAGTGGGTCCGTGACCGGGAATCAGAACCCGTTGATAGGTTACGCTCCGGTCATCAAACATGGCGATTGACAATCCAGCATTGGTGATTTCCCATTTCAACCTTTTGCAATGGGGATTGTTCATTGCCACGGTTGATTACCAGAGGGCAATAATGATTGATTAAAAATAGTTGACAGTAGGAATAATCACATCGTCCTAATATAACCTCCAATCCCTCGCGGATAGATTAATCTAGTTTTTCCTCATTTGCCCAGGGGTATGCCATGGTATGCCTAGGGTTTATGGTCCAGTTCATCCCATGCCCCCGTTCTATTATACAAACCACCCCCATTGTATGGTCCCAGAATGTCCCAGAGATGTGTAATTAAATCGGCTACTAAACCCTGGTTGATGGGGGGTGTTTATTTAATATGAGAAGGATTGGATTAGTGTTTTAGTTTTCCCAGGCTTAATCAATAAATTGCAGTTTATCAATATGGGGAACCAATTCTAATAGTAATTAAATCAATTGAATATCGCTATGTTCGGGGTACCCCCCCTCAGCGAATAGTGAGGCTTTGTTCATCCGGGTCTGACATTATGCACAATTATTGCTTGAAGAGATTCCAATTCCCACTCGGAAATTCCCGATACGCAAGTGGAGTTTAACATTGATTTAACCATATTTCACTCTTTATTTGTTGGTGCTTTAAACTTTATAAACATGGTTTTCAACCAATAAACAATGTTTATAGCATTTTATAGCTAGAACTAGGCTAGAACATATTATTCAATAGATGAAAGCCTGTGTTTAATGGTTATAAATTATAAACATTGCATAACGGTACAACATGAATAAACCCATGGTTTTTCCACCATCGTTCCCCATCGGAACCCGAGGCGGCCCGGGTCCTGGCAGCTACGACTTGAGCGCCACTGGGGATGGGCCACGCTTTACCATGAGGCGTGGAAGGTGGAAGGTGGAAGGTGGAATGAGTGTGCTGGAAGCCAGGAATATGATGTGTTATATGAATATATATATAGTTTAGATCTTGAGATATGTATATATAGTTAATATTATACACCTATTATATAATGCAAATGAATTATTAAATACAATATGTTTTAAATTGCATATATTATACAATTTATATCTATGTATATATGGTATATCTGTTCCCAATTTACCATATGGATCTCTATAGCTGTATACATGATGTATGGTATGTTTGATCTAGAATTAAATAGTTATATCCAATATCTATCTTTATCTATGTATATATATATACATATATATATATAATATATATATATATATGAGTAAATTATAACGAGCTCACTGCGACCTCACTATAATCATGGTTACCCAGGCCTTCCAAAGGCCAGGTTAAACCTGGCTGTTACACTAACAGCCGGCCGTTACCTAAAGACCATCGAAAACCCATGGTATTTATTTATATAAATTTATACAATGGTTATGTTGATCTTGGGAATCTTGGGATATGTTGACATATATAAGGGGAAACCCACCAAACCCCACATACACTCCACAGCCTCAGCAGCAACAGCTGCTCATCAACCAATTTCAAGTCTATAAGTGCCAAGACTGCTTGAAATGGCCAATGGTTCCAAAGATTTTAGCGAAGAACCCGTGAAAAGATTACAAAATACTCCAAAAAATGAATAAAAAATAGCCGCAAGTTTTTGGTGGCTTTTCACGGGTTTTTCACGGCCGTTTCACGGGTTTTTCACGGTCGTTCCACGGACTTTTCCCGGTCCAGATTTTGTGGAAAATTTCAGGTAGGTACTTTCACTAGATCTGTTTATCCACGTATCTATTGACCATAATTTCCCAACATGACATGTGAGCTTCCTGGACAAAGTATATACTGTAATGGTTATAAACATAGCTATATCAAGGAGCATCTTCCAACAGCCAGGTTAAACCTGGCCGTTAGTAAAAAACAAGGTTAAACTAGGTCGAGGAAGCGCTGGGTTAATAGGGGGAATCATCCCCGAGATAGCCTTATTTCAGGTTAGCGAATTAATACAATTTGCCCAGATATATGATACATATACCAGTTCTATAGTGTTAATTAAGGTTATAATACATGATCACATGAAGAGGGGAAATTGTTTTTTTTTTTTTTTTATGTGATACCTGTTTTGGCCAATGAAGGATCTAAGCACATCGGAAAACATAGATTCAAGTGGCTGGTGTTTTTTGGTTTATCCTATTTGGCATGATGATGTCCATTGGGCACTAGAGATGATTAGTTCATATGTTCAGGTGGGGTTGAAAACCACCAGTCAATTGGTGTGAACAGTTAGTTTTCTTTCTTTTAACGGGTGAAGCTCACTATCCATTTTTGGTTTGGTGAAGGAGGAACATATGGATTCTCAAACAATTGTTGATCTGTTTTTGGTTTCATGTGGTCACAGTGTGACGGTCCAGTTTTATATCATCAGGTTCAATGGATTGCTTTAAGGGAAATATTTACAGGAACACCCCATATTTAATGGGAAAACCTATGGTTTCCTGTAGATTTTCCCTCAAACTAATCCACTGACAGGTGCTGCTGTGCAACAAACAAACAACGAGGCAATGAGGTCGATAAAACGCAAGGGATGATCCCAGTCCTGTGGATTTTGCGCGGCTTGCTTGCTGGTGACACCAACGTACTCATAGTAAATATGCCATTGATTTATGTCACGGGATGATATATCTATAATATATATATATATAATATCTATAATATATCTATAATATATATATGCACACTGTATTTTAGATATTTATATCCTATGACTTATGACTGGTCCTATGACCCATGTTTCACGACTCACCAGCGTCGCCTTTTCGCATCATCACGTCAGGCCACGAAGAGCCTTACCTTTGCATCCGCACGTGGGTCCCAGAGAGTTTTTCCTGGTCGAGTCATAGTGCAGCCTGATGCCGCGTGGCCAAAAAACTGCAGAGCAAACATGCATCCTGGATTTGTTCTTTTGTATGTTCAGTTTATAGTTTTTCAATTTACCTGTAAATTGGAATGAAGAGAGATAGATAGAAAGGTAGATTGATAAACAGAAACGTAGCTAGATTAGCTAGATAGATATTAGATCCGCGCTGGCGGTTAGATTCTTTGAGATCATCAGAGAGTACCTTCATTGGGACCTATTCGTGGAGATGATAGGTTCCCAAAGTGGCCTCTTTTGCTGGGTCATGCAGTTCAGATTCAGAATGGATTTGGAACAGCCTTGAAAATACTCATCAGATAAGCCTTATCTACTGTACATACTTAGTAACTTGTTAACTTGTGTGATTTCAAAAATGGTTCACCCATGACTTCCGCGAATCTTTCAGGCTCCCGATGATGATTATGCAGTTCTTTTCAGCATGACACAGTTGGTGGTTTGTGATTGCAGCTGCGCTTGTACTATGGTCCACCAGTGTTGATAGTGTTGGAATTCAACTCCACCAGTGTTGGCTCTGGTGATGCATTTGAGCATCAACATTCGCTGATGCGAAGGAAGCAAAGCAAGGGACCACTTCGGGGGTTGGATTCCGATATATGGTATGACGGTATGATATTCTCTGGCTACGGCTCAGAAACAGGGTAGCAGTGTACCATAGTGCACCACAAAACTGGTTTTTGTTTAGTGGTATCCCTGTAGTACCAGTATTTGGATATATTGATATATTTATTATATATATATATAGTTTAGTAGTATCCTTATAGTCTCCATATAAAACATGTACAACAAACCCCCCATCCATATCAGCATCCTTTTGGGGGGTTGAACCATACATATTTTGAGCCATACCCATGGGGATGTAGCCATGTTATCCTGGAGCCTGTCGAGCATTGGACATATTGGGACTTATCATGGCTATATGTCTTTATGTTAGATTGAGGGATCCCCATATCATCTAAATGTCATTGGATATCATGGATATCATCGAAATTTTGATATATCTCATCGACATTCGACATCCCCATCTTGGACTGAATTGACAGCGCTTGTCGTCGTTGGTTGCTAAATGAAGATCAATTGTCTTTGCTTCCTGTGGAAGTTGGCAGTTCATGCTGAGAAGTCAGGGCTGCAAAGATCAGGAAAAGCGGAAAAGCCACTGGAGTATGATTCTGGATGTCAAAAGTTCGCCCCGGATGAACAAACCTTGGTTCACTAACAATGGGCTTATCTTCAACGTATCAGATGTGTAGATGACTAATTGAAACGGCACACCACATTTTTGGTTGCCAAAAATGGGGATTTGTGAATCCCGATTCACAGTCAGTGGTGAGGTGTTAATGGAATGCCCAAATTGGTTGCCTTTGCTTGGACACACCCCATGGACTACCACAATCATGCAGGGAAGTTTGAACATATGGTGGTTTCCTAAAATTGGGATACCCCTAGATCATCAATTTTGATAGGATGCCCCACTACAAATCATCCATTGATAGGGTACCCCCATTTATGCAAACCACCATACTGGTATGAACATTCAGATCGAACTTTCAGTGACATCGTCGCAGTATGTTAGTCAGTTAGTCCTCAAGCTCGACCATGCCGCTGGCTGCAGCCCCTTTTTGCTCCGCGGACCCAAAGCTTTGGTCGCGGAAAGGGAGGTCAATTGGTCATATGATCCAAATTTGTCTAGCAGATCTGGCACATCTCCTGGGAAGAATATGATAATCTTACATAGAATATGTCATTATGTTTGGTAGGAAAAGATGGACCAATGGACACATGATATGTATTTCTGTTTGGAGGCCCTAAGATGTTGATGAAACCATTCATTTTTGTTCCTTGCCGGGGTGCACTGGTGCTTTGCATTGGTGTCCTGGCATGCCAGGAGCCTCAAAAATCATCAGAATCATCAAAATCAGCACGTGTTTCAATTCTTTCTACAACAATCATAGGCTGGCATAATTTGTTTGTTTCCCCAATGGCTACATCAGCATCATCAGTATCATTTGCATCTCCACCACCATCATATATATCTATCTATCTAATCTATTCTAATCTAATCTAATCTTATCTAATCTACTAATCTACCCTAATCTACTCGAAATATTGTCTAATCTTATATAATCTTATCTAATCTACTCTAATCTACTCTATTTTTTCTAATCTTACCTATTATTTTCTAACCTTATCTAATTCCATCTAATCTTTTGTAATATTATCTATGTTTTGTCTAATTTTATCTTATCTTATCTAAATTATTCTTATGTAATCTTAGCTAATCGTATTGAATCTTATCTCATCTTATCTATTTTCTCGTTTTATCTGATCTTATCTAATCTTTTCAAACTATCTATCTATCTATTTATCTATCTATCTATCTATCTATCTGTCTATCTATTTATCTATCTCTCTGTCTATCTATCTGTCTATCTATCCATCTATCTGTCTATCTATTTATCTATCTCTCTGTCTATCTATCTGTCTATCTATCTATCCATCTATCTATCTATCTATCTATGTATCTATCTTTCTATCTGTCTATCTGTCGATCCATATATCTATCTATCTATCTTTCTGATCGATCAATCGATCTATCCATCTATCTATCTATCTATCTATCTGTCGATCTATCTATCTATCTATCTACCTATCTATCTATCAATCAATCAATCAATCTATCTATCTGATGGGTGGCCCCACCACCAGGTGTCCCCCAGCGCCTGCCATGCGGCGTCTGCGCGATGTCTAGACCTCGGGCACCCATGCGGGCCCCCAGGGCGCCACACGCGCCACACGCGCCACAGGCGCCACAGGCGCAACGGCGTCAGGCGCAGGCCGCCCAGGCGTGGTGGACCCTGGAAAGCCAGTTTTTTTTTTTAATGGTGATAAATGGGGGTGATCATATAAACCATCAATGGGAAACAAACAATGGACTTATATATTGTAAATATTTATATAATTATAGATATAGATAGATTTATAAGTGGTAATGGGCGATAACTCTAAAGAGAGGTAATGAAAAACGTTTTTCCTTCTTACTGCTGAAATGTACCCACCAAACTGGTCAACTCTGCAAAATCGGTTGACCCCTGGGTGACCACACACATTCTGCTGGAAATCCGTGAAAGCATGCATAGGAACCGCAGAGCGAGCCGGATACCAGCATTTGACACTGAGCTGGATATTTATCATTGGGAAAGCGTGGGAAGAGCAACTTACACTGTTTCAATTGGTTGCATGATATAGTTCATACCAGGTTTAAAAAGCACATGATGTAACCATGTTTTGCCATTCAGAACGCGATGTGCTGTCAGACTGAACGGATTCATATTGGGTTGCTCATGGGTCCCCACATTTTAAGCATTCACGATCTCAAAGGAGGGTTTCAGTTTCCCAGTCATCGAACTTCAAGGATGGCTGCCTACTGGTCTCGATCCCCGTTTAAAACAGCTGGAAACCGTACGTTTGCCCATGACGCATATCTTTTGACATGCTGAAATCCCTGCGTAGGACATCCTAGGACTGGCTGTTTTAAGCTTCCACAAGAATATACCCCAAAAATCCTAAAACCCTCAATCCTGAAACCTAAAGTCAAAATCGCTGCGTACAGCCAGTGTTTTCGTTCATCCTCAGGTGACAAGTATATATGATATTGTTTGGGTGATTTAGTGAGGAATGGGCAAACATAGGGTTTGGCGCTAACATGTTAAAACTGCATTATTTCTTGTGATCCCCACGTTTGGTACGGAAGCAATCCACATGTGTCGAAAAAAAATCTTTTAAACCACAGACGGGTCTCAGAATGGTTTTGGATATAATATGAAGATGCCAGAGCTACAACATTCGACTATGTAATTATATATTTGCAAAGCATTTATATATGTTTTTGAACTTGGACAACACCAAACAAAAAACATATCATACTCCAGGAGCATCTGAATTGCGAGTTTGTCATCTTTTTCCAGTTGCCGAATGCCCCCACCCTGGAAAACACCTGGAACAGTTACAGTTCATCCCGATACACCCGGGGCAACTTTGTCTTCCGACTTGGGATGTCAAATGACCTGAGGTTGGTGCCTAACAAGAGCCCACTCAGACAATATACTATATTTATATTATGACACTCTGACTATAGTGTGTTCATCACCATAAACCCAGCAGAAAACATATTTAAGCATATTTAAGCTAGTTCCCTTCGGAGATATCCATGCTGATCCAAGGCCCTTTACCTCCTTACCGCTCCTGGTTGAGACCTCCCAACCGCACGGCTCTGGCCTCTCACCCACGCAGTGCCGCGGCACATTTTTTGGGGATACAAAGATACATTGAAATACTATTTATATAGAATATAGATCTATACAAAGCGAAGTTCCACAAGGATCAAAAAAATATAACATAAATCCTACTTGGGTTGCTTGCAAGTTTCATCCTGTCTATCTACTTTGAGGGTTACTTTTGGCCACCTCGACAGCTCTCCTTGCGGAACTCCTCAGGTGGTTCGACTTGGACCCGGTTTCTGCTGGAACGCTCCTCAGCGGCGGAACATTTTCAGTGGGCTCATGGTGTGGTTAACCTTAGTTAATCACTACAATCTGCAAGGTTATAGCTATAGGGCTTACGGTGAATATATATATATATATATATAATATGATATATACATATATGTATAAAACATTAATATATGTATATGTGTGTTTTATAACTATATTACATATATATATAATAGTTATATAACATATGTATATATAACATATATATATATATGTATATAACATATATATGTATGTATATATGTAGAATATAGTTATATGACAAATATATATATATATATATGTGTATACGTATATATATATATATGCATAATATTGTTATATAACATATATGTATATATACATATATATGCATATATATAAATGTATATATATATATATATGCATATATATGTACAATATAGGTATATAACATATATATATATGTAGTCTAGTTATATATTTTGTTTAAATACATAAATATGTGTTTAGTTATTATATGTATATATGTATAGTATAGTTATACAACATATATTTAGATATGTATATGTGTATAATATATTTATTATATATATATATGTATGTATGTATATGTACAATGAATATTTATATATATATATATTTATTTATTTAACATATATATATATATATAGTAATCTAAAGTCTTTTGGGTTTATAAACTTGTAACTCGCAGGGCACCACTTTGAATTGATGTTGAACCAGTTGGCCGCCTTAGGCGCCTCATCCTCAGCCTGTGGATTCGAAGATCCGGGTTGGGCCAATGTGCTCCCCCATGCGGGCGGTGTCGAGGGGAAGCCGGACGACATCAACGAGGACGACATCAAGCGGCATTTCTAGAGATGGTATATATATATATATATATACATATACCGGGGTAAAAAATGCTATACATTTTGTTGGTACAAAATCAGTATTATATCATATTATATCTATATCTACCATGCCTCCAAGTAACACCTCGACCCTGAGACTCATCCATATGACTATCATGTTTTGTCATGTTTTATCCATGTTTTTGGTACGAAAAATATGTTTTTTTTTCATCCTAGCATGCACCCACGTGTCCCGCTTTTCAAGAAACAAAATACCTGGACACAGTGACCTGGGTGGAAATCGGAAGGGTAGGCTGAGCCTTACCGCAGTTACAATTTGGTGTCATGTCAAGTATACAGAGTGTAAATCTAAATCTGCACATCTACCATCTGTGTCTTTTCACAGATAGATGATGACTGGCTAGAGACAACAGAGAGAGAGAGAGAGAGAGTTGGAACATGTTGGAGCACCCATTGAACAGGCATTGGTTTGATTTGTGTTGTTCTTCCAACCCATTGAGCACTGGCCCATGGGTCCGCAGGATGGCTTGATCATCAAGACACACAGCATTTGCTTCGGTTGTGGCTTGGCCGGTAGCTATGGGTACGTGTGACCGAATGGGACACAAGGGGTAAAAAAAACTGGTTTAACATGGTTACCCTCTGGGTAATTTGACACAGTTATGAAAAAAAAACCACTGATAGATGATAAATCATGATTTATATTTGTCAAACATGGTGATTTTCTAGAGTCATGTTTAATTACCAGAGGGTATTGTAAATCATATTTCATCCCATTGTCATGGTTTTTCACCTCATGTGATATCAGTCTTGATTTCGCCAACGAGCATGAGCATGGTCGGCACGCTCCCATTGGTGTAAGATGTGGTGAAAAACATGTTTTTTAACCATGGATCCATGTGGCTTAGAGACTTTGAGGTTAGATGACAAGAGGCAACCCATCCATTGGCGCAGCGTTTTTCGTGTGAACCTGATAAGCTTGCATGAATCCATTTTCGGAGCAAAGCGCCTGAGGATTGTCTTGGGCTCACCAAATCAAACCGTACCTGTGAACTACTTCAACTCATAGGAACAAACAGATGAAAACATGTCATCTCTAAATCTATAGAATCTATAGCATATTAGTATGGACAAATCAGGGTCGGAGGTGATTTTCCTCCCTGACTTTGCGGAAGTCGGCACCTTTCACTTTCTGTGCCGGACGGGTGTTTGACCAAGACTTGGGGGGTACTTTTGTGTAAAGTTGTATGTATGTATAATTATGTATATATGTATATATATATATATGTATGTATATGTATATATATATCTATATTTGCAGATGTATAGTCAAGGGTATAACTGTAAGAATACACAAATATACATATAGTGTACAGTATACATTATATATATATATATCATGTAATCATGTAATAATTATTATTATCAATATAGCTTAAAAGAAACAGATACATATACATATATATATATATACACATATACTTATACTTATACCCTAGTGCTTTACATTATTTCACTCATATCTATGATTTCTGGGTTGCCACAGGAGTTTGCTTCCGGCATTGTGCTGGAGGATAGTGTTGGTGAAAAGCGTGAAATCTCCCGTGAAATCTCCCAGGTTGGCCGGACGCTCCCATTTGGAAACGCCTCAGGGTGCGCAACACCAGCCTGGCGCCGCAGGAAGCACACCGACTCTTAGGCGCCGATACTGGCGGCGCGTTATTTCGTGTCGCGGGAGTCGCGAAATCTCAGAGTTTCGATGTCTTGTCTGTGGGTAGACATATGTTCTATAATATATGTATTTAGATCTATATATATATATATATATTCATATACAGGTATACTCAATTAATATATAGTTATATTTTTTTGGTTCTTTTTAGTTTACATATTGTTATATATTTAGAATTTGTAGATATTCTAAGGTTTGATTCATTTGTCTTCTGAAGACCCTTGCCTTGAACCTCTCGTGGCTCTACTTGTCCATGCTGCGTAGGACCTACAGAGGTAACGGAGAAGTTGGAGTCGATTGGGACTTGCCACTCGGTTGCAATCACTGGATGAGCATCCCAAGTATATGCAAATGTACTTGTATGTATATATTTGTATCTTTACCATACATCATACATTTATATATATATTTATACGCATATATACTGTATATATATATATGCATATATACTCTGTATATTTATATATATATATATATACGCATATATATATAAGCATATATATATATATACGCACATATTTATATATACACATATTTATACGCACAGACACACATATATATATATACATTTGTATATACATATATATACGCATGGTTTTATTTATTTATTTCTGTTTCAATTTGCATGTTGTGATTCTACAGTGTTGACATGCGTAAGATATGCAAATGAATAATAACAAAGAAACGATATATATATATATATATGTATGTATGTATGTATGTATGTATGTATGTATGTATGTATGTATGTATGTATATCGATATAGAATCATGGGAAAAATGCAAGAAGGACTGGAGGAAAATTCTGGCATTCTGGCGTTCTTTTTTTGGAGTAGGACCAACAACAATGACAATAGAGCACCATGATGCACGTAGGAAAGCGAATGCAAGTGAAGGGGAGCAATTGGCATTCACGGTTCGAAGGTCCCGTTTTCCCACCACTGTGTGGTTCCTCAGACTTTCTTGGGAGCATTGGGCTATATTTAAACCTTACTGTAACACTGTAAGATCTCTGCAAAGACAATCATAGTTGATTCCCAGATTCATGTTTGCAGAATAGTCCCTGGTTCGTCCCTGGTTTTCTGTGGAATTTTCCTCAAATCCAACCATGCACTGGTATCGTGAAAAACTATTCTGGCACACCCCGCGGCCCGCTGGGCACAGTGATACGGAGCACAGACGACCGTAGGCCGTAGTCTACCAGTTTGCTAGGGAAGCCATGACCCATTTGTACATGATTATGCTGATTTTCCTATAATTTTCATGGTGGTTTTCAGTGCAGCTATGTGAGATTACCGTGAGTACCATGAGGTTGCCATTTGCTTGACTCTGCATGATATTCTTTTTTTTTCTGTTTCCCTTGTGTACTACCAGCAGCGTATGAAATGTGGTTTTAAATGTATTCCTCTAGTGTAGGTATATGAATATGGTCGCCCGCGGAATTCATCTCAAACAGATGAGTACTAATGTCTACAGCTACAATGCAATCCCCTTTCAGCAAATAGAATGACAAAAATTGCATATACATAGTATATCTATAATTACGTGTGCACACACACACAGATATAGTATGACAATATATATATATTATATATATATATACAAAACTCGCATCTCTTTGTTTCAATTTCGCTGGTGAAACCCCCAATCTAGCTCCAAGGCAATCTCATGTAAACACCATGAAGTAATGCAACCCTTTAAGCCGATGAAAGTGCCATGAAGTTTGTAGACCCTGAATGTAGCCATGAAAACATGGTATTGACCCATCATTTCAGAACTTTGACACATCTAGGTCCCAACATCCACCAAAATATCCACGGTCCAGGTCTGATTTTCCCACCTGGCAGCTTGGAAGCAGCCATCAAGGTGCGTAAAAACTTCAACCTGGAGAAGAAGCAGGTGCCATGGCTATGGATCAAGTTACTTCTGATTTTCCATGGGAGGATGGCAGGTTTTGATCATGAAAAGTAAGGATTTAAGCATAAAGAATGAGGATATGTAACTTTGGGGATGGTCAGTCCATATCTGGAGGAATTTGTTCATGACGTCACTTTGACGTTACTGGAGCGAATCATCCCCAAATGGCCTCTTGATAAGATATGAAAACAATATGATAACAGATGATAACAACTATTTTCGGGTTAGTGAATGATTATAAGCCGGGAGACATATCTGTGTATGTACAGTATATATATATATATATTCCTATTTGAGAGGGATGAAGATCCATAAATCCTAGCTAGTTTGATGTGAGCAGAAAGCCATATGGGTATACCCCAAAGCGGAAATTTCAATCGACATATATATATATATGGGTTTTGCTTGTTCATGTCACTTTTTACACATCATACGAATTCATAGGAACACATAATTACTCTCATACATCCGATGTCTTGTTTTCAATCATATCTACATCTATAGATATATATACAACACATCGGGCACATTTAGCGTTGAAACCATGTTTTTTTACTTTCAAAGATTCATCACGTTCCCATGGTTTCAAAACCGCTGCAAAGGCGATTCAGCTTCATTGCACCAAAATGCGCCTGGCATGGCAGGGGGACGGTGATCCATGGTGATCCCATCAGTTCGCCATAGGGCCATAGGATCTCAACCAGTCGATTGGGATGCGAAGTTTGTATGTGTGTCTCATTTATCCACAGGGACAGGTAGTTGAGCATCGAGGAATTCAGGTTGTTCTTTTTTTTCAGGGTGTCATTTCCTGGGTGGATTTCCTGATGAGTGATGAGGAAGTTGGGATGAATCAATTCTACATTTGAGAATGGTTTGGTGAAGAATCAGGAATAGAAGAAACATGGAAAAACCAAGCAAAACCCATCAACAACCAATCAATATATATATATAGTTATAAATATTTATGCATTTAATACTATATATATTATATCAATATACATTTTAAATATATATCAGTATAAATCCTACTTATGTTTGGTATATTCCTCTTTGTGCTGATTCCTTAAGAAGGGAAAAGGCATCTATCAATGACTGTAGCGAACGTCCCTCCATCTATCCTTTGTGGCACCTGTGAGGGGCCCCGACCATCAAGGGAAGCTTTGCAGGAAGCACTGGTTTCAACATTGGGTATGTCGGTATGTCCCATGTATGTTCCATTGGAATCATTAAGCCAATCCATTGAATTGTGGTTTCCTCCAAAAAAAAACAAGTGGCTATATCCGTTTGCCCTTTGAGGTATACCATATGAATGAATGTCACAGTTCTAGACGCAGTCTCCTGATATTGTAGTCATACTGTGGATGGAAGAGATCCTGCACCAGTTGATAGGTGGTTCATCCCATTATTTATAAGGTTTCAACCAGCCAAGGTGGTGCAAGATTTCTTCCACCCACCGTACCATGCAGACAGGTCTTGCACATTCTGCTAGCCTTTTCTTTTCCCTGTGCTTCAGGTATGACAGGGCAGTTGTTCTGATTCGCGATCCCTTGGATGTATTCAGGCCGCCTGGGCTATGCCGGGCTATGCTGGGCCAAATTGAAATGCCATCGCAACAGAAGATCTGGGGATCTGGGTCAAATGTGGAGCAAAAATAAAGTTCAGAAAGGTATTGTTGATTGCTATTTGCTAGTTGCTTCACAAGTCCCCAGCACCTATAAACCCCATATTGTTATATATTGTTGACCTCCCGCAATTTACAATTTACAAAGATGTGAGGGTTTCCTAAAATAAGGTTTTACCCCCAAATCTTTCCAAATTAGACTATTAAAAACTTTCAAAAATGTGAGACTGAGACTTTGTACAATGATTTCCTGCCATTTGACAGTCATTTGACATCGTTTGAATACGAATCACCAAAGTGGCAAAGGCCTTAGAGTTGTGCCACAGGTCGGCTTCTTCATTGCGATGGACTGCTGATCATATCCAGTTTCCAGTTATAGCATTTTCTAAAAAAAATCGACATGTAGAATCTGTCCGAAGAAAAGTCTGAAATAGCCTTAATGAACTTTATATACCAGAAGTAACAATTACCGTTTACCTCGCACAATGTCAGACTGGCAGGTTTCAAGTTGTAGCACTAGCATGGATATTCCAGGAGTTCCAACATTTGATCTTGCCATTTCTTGCATAGAGCACCTCTTGTGAATGACCGCCAATATCCATATT